CACATTGTTAGGGTGAAAAGTCAAGATCAATTTAGGTCCCTCATTGGTGGAGTTACGTTTGGTAGGAAAAGCATCTCTCCTGGTGATTGCTAAAACTTTGTTTAGAGCCCCTTGTAGAATGTGTTCCGGATAGAAACGGGCACGGAAGAATTCAAGAAGTTCAACTGATTTATCAAAGAAGTCAGAATCGTCAGAGCACAACCTGCGCAATCGAAGGAGCTGTGAATATGGAATAGAATTTTTACACGGTAGTGGGTGAGAAGACGTATAGAGGAGATAACTGTGAGAATCCGTGGGTTTGTAGTAGGCTGTGGTAAAATATTAGGCCAGATCCTTTCAGTGGTTAAAGTTAAAACATTGCCAACATTTGTTTTTATCCAGGGTGTGTTGTATTCTTAGCAGCTTTACACAACGCTTATTTCTGCTTTCAAATTTTTCAGTTTCAACAAATTTTGGGAAATATAACAAATTCTGTGACTTTTAAAATTTTTTAAACAGACATTGTGATTATTTCAGTGACAGAAAAACCTGGTGGTCAGTTTGTGGCTATCCTGGTATCACAGGTGGTTAAATTTGCATTTTTGTATGCTTGGAATTTCAGTTTAAAAAGTCTTTTTTTTTTCCTGCTTCACTGAAAAAATAGTAAATAAATTAGCTTACACCTCATAAAATACCACAACAAATGCCAGTCAATAAAACTGCAATCTGCTGTTAGTGACTTAAACATATTTTGTTCAATAGTTTGACTGTCACATGAACTAGTAGTACCTGTCCATTCTGAAACCACTCAATGTTCGGCTGTGGACTTCCTGTGACGGTGCAGGAAAGAATGATTCCTTCTCCTTCACTGACTGAGACTGGTGACAGGGTGTTTGTGAATTTTGGCGCTTCTTCAACTGGTTTGGCATTTCCTTTAAAAAAATAAAGGCCAGTAAATGCTCAAGAATTCAACAAATATTGTGCCAGAATTGAAATGAAAGGAAAAAAAAAAAGACATTTATAACTCATTCAGTCCCTAGGAATGCAAGATACGTTCATTGGTTCCTACCTAGAATCCCAATAAATGCAAGAACCACCAATTTTATGCTTCTCTTGACTATCTATTGGGCCTCTGATGCTAAAGCCCTGGGATTCAAAGAGATAATGGAATGCAAAAAGTTGGAGACTTCATTTGAATTTAGAGTGCCTGAGAGGCAAAGAACCAACAGCCTGCATACAAATGGGTCAGATCTGTAAAACAGAAAAATGGATGTGCATGCAACTCACAGGTGTTGGAACCAGACCAGGTCGATGAACAACCAGAACTTTCTGCCAGTTTACAGCTGGTGAACATGAAGAAGGAGAAGCAGATCTACACTCAGTTTCCTAGTGTGATGTACAGAATATCACATGTTCTCACTAAGCTCTGAAAATATTGATTTTTCAACTGTCTATGCAATGGATACCATCCCACTGTGGAGTTCCTGGAAATGAAAGAGCTGATAGACTAGCTAAAGAAGGTCCAAATGAACTTTTGTACCAGTCTCTTATCAACAAAAGAAGAGAATAATCAAATCAATCAGAAAGCCACCAAAACCAGCACAAGACGATTGCCACTTATGGACAGACCAGAGCAAGTTATTATTCTATGCCTTAGAACTGGACACAATCCACTTGGCAGCCACATTTACACAAAATTTAAAATTGGTGAATCAGCCATGTGTACATGTAGACTAGCACTTGAGACAACAGATCATGTCCTCCAAGACTGTCCCAAATACAACGTATCAAAGCAAAACTTTTGACCAAAAGAAACATCAGTGCAAGTCAAACTTTATGGGTCGCTGAGTGAATTACAAAAGACAGTGAAGTTCATACTAGAGACAACATTGCAGATATAGATAATCTATTTCAAGCAAATGAAAGAAGTAGAAGACGAAAAAAGATTTTCCAACTTCACCCTCAACAGTTTTCCTTTCAATTTTCAGACTGTATGGAAAGAATTAGTGTTCATTTATGATTCTTACTTGCTTTTCTTGAGCCTGAAGTTTCTTCAGCATCTTCATCTCTCTTGCTTCTCCTCACAAAAGAACTAGTTTCCTCATAGCTATCAATTTCAGCAATATTAGTGCCTGATTTGGTACGTCTAACTGTGCGAGAGGTGTGTTGAACTTCTGTTTTAGGCTTGGTGGAGTTCACATGATCTGAGGAAGAAGAAATTATACTACTGTTATCATCTGGGTCAGAGGTACAAGTATGTATTTATGTATGGAAGTTGTATCCCACAAGGGCATCACACAAAGCGATAGACACCTGGTGTGGAGTTGCTGGCCCCACCTCCAGCCCCTCTTAGTCACCTCTTACGACATGCTGAAAGGATGCAGTGGTCCTCTTCTTTATGACACCAGGCACCACACAGTGAAATCAGTAAATACAAATAGAGCACACAAACTCACAAAAAAGCCCCGCTTTCTTTCCATTTGACCATGAAACAAGTGGTTTTGTTGACCTAGTCTCATCCAGCAAAGTGATTTCATTATAGGTTATTATATCACAATTTGAGAAAAAAAATGCTAGTGTTTTTGCACTTAGAACAATATCTCAATTTTCCATTTGTAAATATAATCATATGAACTAGGTCTACATACTAAAAAATTGCAACCAGTACCAAAGCTGTTATACAGGGGTAGTGCATCAGGACTTCCTGATATAAAAAACCCTGTAAATGCTGGAAAAATGGCTTTCTTGCGGCAACAAGGTTGTGGGCAACAGACAAATGCATTAAAGCAATGAAAGGTGTGAATTTTATATGTGTATTGTGTGGAGAATCTTGGGATGCAGTCCAAGAGGCAGGGGGTTGCAGCTTGAAATAGTTTGGGAATCACTAATTCTAAGAAACACATTCATATCGCAACATTCATATTTGATAATATTGCAAATACAGTACAACTTCGATTAAACATCACTAATTTAACCGTCAGTTTCTGTTATCCGTCATCATCTAAACAAAATGTGTGAGTACCAGCAAACAAACAAACATCTTTAAAACTGTCTAAAGATTACATTTACCCCCTATTGTTTGAAGCTGGAAGCGACTGTTTTAAAGTAATCTCGGGTTCAAAATATAACAATACATTTCTGTTACCCCTGGAGACTCCGTCCAGGGCATCTGCAGGGAGTTTAGACTGGTCGGCGTTCGGGGCCGCGTTAGCGCAGTCGATAGGAGATTCACATTCAAATATAATGAGTATACTACATCCACAGATCCCTAATACATCTCCCTTGTGGGAGACAAATGTATTTTTGAGAGTTTCTGCATGCCCCAACTAAACATAAACAAATGTACAAGCATAATAATGTGTTAATCAGTGTACATACATGAGTAAATCCAGTCACAACTGGTGCGTTGTTTAGGAGTCAAAGAGTTAAGTGAGTTCCACTAATAATCCTACTTGGCAGACACAGCAAAGTAATACACGGCAGACTAACATAAGAACTTTCCTGGACGCAAAGATTCGAAACAAGTATGTCATATTTGGAGTTTACATATAAAGACGTGTTAAGGCATACTGGAAACAAGGGGATAATGGGCTTATATTTTTCATGTTTAAATGGATTAGTTTGTTTAGTATTACGCCAGAAACCTCAGTGTTTTTTATTTTCCTTCAGAACTCTGGCATTAGAGATGTAATGTGAACTAATCCAATTCTGTTTCTGCTAAGTACTGAGTCCTTGCACATTGTGCTGAAAGGCCAGTACTCTAAATTAATCCATAAACATATTAATCACCCCATATTAATCCATTAACTTTTTCAGTATATGAAATCAACATATTACCTTCTACCGTGACCCTGCAACTTGTCTCCTGCTCTCCCAAAGGATTTCTGGCAATACAGGTGTACTTTCCTGTATCTTCTGGCAAGGCTCTAGAAATTTCCAAGGTGCAGATTCCATGAGAATACTGAATTGTGTAGTGGTCACCGTCATGAATCTCTCTGCCATCTTTGTACCACTGAACCTGAAAATAATCAGAATCACTGTTATGTTATACAGTTAATAAGTAAAATTCCAATGAAATGAAAGGTGAGGAAAAAAAAATTGCTTAGGATGGATAAGATCTTGAAATAAAAAAAAAAATAGTTTATTAGAATGTTCTATCTCTGGAAACCACAGGGAAGTCTAAACAGAGGGAGACCTAAAAAAAACAAAGAGAAGAGAATTAGCGCCAGGTAATCATAGTATGAGGAGGTCATATAGGAGCAGGATATGTTTGCAAATATGTTTGTTTTACAAAAAAAAAATGATTTTACTATGAATGTTTACAATAAAAATTATCATAAAATATAGTGAAGATATGTAATCAGGTAATTACAATAGCAGATTTGAAGTAAACAGATTCCCCTCCTCCCCTCCCCTCCCCCTATAGTTGCTCCATTCCTGTGCCAGTGCAAATCACACAGAATGACCATCGCTGTCACTTGCAAAATAGCTGGCACAGATGGAAATCTCAGGAAACATCAACAGCACACACAAGCATTAAATGCCTAAGGCAGTGGTTAGAAGTGCCATCATCATTGATGGGAGCAGCAGTCATAACAAACCCACAGTTGCACATAAAATTAAATTCACAAGTCGCCATGAGTTCAATAGCAACAGGCCACTTGTCATCTCCTGAACCATGTTAGGCACAGTTAAAAAGCATTCCAAATGCTCAGCTCAGTGTCCTGCCCTGCACTTAACTCAGCAGCTGGTCAATGGAACTATATACTTTTAGCCCACATAAGGAGAACAATGCAACCATTGCCAGAAGCAAAAAACTGCCCCCCCCCCCCCCCCCCCCCCAAAAAAAAAAATAGTCAGCCTGCCTATCCATCATACTCTGCAACAATACAAATGTGTCTATGGTTGAGGCAACCAGAAGAGCCAGAAGCAGAATGTTCTACATACCTTAACAGGTATAGTAGGAAAAAAAGGAAGCAAAAAAAAAAAAAAGAAGAAGAATACCAAACAGATTTGTATACCTTTGGTGGAGGATGGGCTTGCACACAGCAGATGAGTTTAAATTCCGAAGAAGCCTGGATTGTTCTAGGGCGAAGGTCAAAGCTAAATGCTGGACTCTGTTCTTGTTTGGGTTTTTCAAACTCTTTCTCTTCAAATACTCGTTTTCTGCAGGTAGAACGAGGGTACATTTTAATTTAGGAAATAATTAGAATTTATAAAAATCAGTTATAAAAATAAGATTAAGAAAGAATGAAACACTCATAAACAAATACAAAATATGATCTGCAGTAGGCATTAAAGATAAATGCAACTGAATTAATGCTGGGGGAAAAACACTTATTTTTTACAAAATGTTAGTTATGAAGGTCATCTCAAGAGCTGGAAGGACAAATTTCCCACAGAGATTTAAAACAATGCATTGGATAGGATACACACTGAGAAAATTTGATAACAAAATAACTAGAACATCCTTGTATTGGAACCCACAGAGTCAAAGAAAAAAGGTAGACCAAAATAACACACACAAAAGAGAATGAGGCGAAAAGACAGGGTGGACATGAGGTGAGCTAAATGTGATAACTTAGGAGAGGACGACGTGCCATGGTTGGTTGAGGGCCAATACATCATAACATTTCTGAGTAGGTAACCTTACTGCATATGCTGATTAGCATGCTATAATCAACATCATCATCATCATGTGCCCTGCCAACTGGCGTAGGTGCTCATGCGTCTTCACAGATCACGATCCCTGGTTGCCTGGAATAGTTCTCTTGATGATATCCATCCATGCCATTGTTTCAGCCTATCCAGCATCATCTCTCTTGGTCTGCCTCTACCCCTTTTTCCATTGATCTTTCCAGTTGTCACGATGTTCTCCAATGTCCCTCTTCTCATTGCGTGGCCAAAGAACAGTGTTTGTGTCTTTCTTACTATTGTATACAGAGATCTACTTTTATTAGCTTTTTTCAAGCAATCGTTGCTATAATAATACTGGGGGGGGGGGGGGGGGGGGGGGGAATCTAGACAGTTTGTGATGAAAGTACTTTGAAACTATTATATCTGTATGAACACATGCTGTGTGGCACACAAAATAGGGACATCTTTTCCTTATCTGCCAGGCTCTAATAGGGTGAACACAGAGTTCAGTTGAGTTGAGTCAAGAATTTACATCACAGCACTCGGAGCATTCCCATGTGTGCTCCTTCCTCATCTTCAGCAACCAGCGCAAAGCACCATTACTGATAGGACCGGTCACAATCTGGTTATATGTCCATCTTGCCATTCCTCAGAGTGTAGTGAGCCGGCCAGACGCTCTGGTTACACCCAGGTGCCTCAATCTCTCCAGGCTCTCGATGGCTTGACCAAATAGATAAGATGAGACAAGGACACTGGCATAATCATCAATTCTGGTGATGGTGTGAGATGGTGAAACATGAAAATGTACACTTATCAGTATGGCACAAGATGATGTAGATAGAAAGGTAAATGAAGCATGAGCACAGAAGTTTGATGCATCCAACCTACAGTCCCAATCTGTTGTATTGTCATTTTTGTTTGGACCCTTCTTCTTCTTCTTCTTCAGCATTCTGAACCCTTGAGGTTCACTGCTGCAGATATCACCCGCCTCCATTCATCTCTCTGGCTGGCCTTCTCTTTCCAGTTGGTGACACCAAGTGTTTGTAGGTCTGTCTGGATATTATCTCTCCATCATCTTCTTGGTCTGCCTCATGGTTTACAATCATTCAACTATCTTGTGCATACAGTTTTTAGCTCTCTGTCATCTGACATTCTTTCAATATTTGGACCCTGAGGAAAAAATAAATCTAGAGGGACAATGATTTCATACACACATAGATGTCATAGCAGCAGTGACCAAATGGTTCAATGGGCAGCAAAAGTCCTTCTTCATAAACGGTATCCACCGTCTTCTGAAGCAGTGGGATGCATGGCTGAATACCTGCCATGACTTTTTCTGATGGGGTTGAGTGCATTCTTGGTTCCAAACAATTGCTTTGTTTAATTCTGCCCCACATGCTAATATACTTTTTATACACTTTCAATAAAAACATAGAGACAGGTTTTGTAGGATCACATGAGAGGAGTGAGGCCAAAAGAGCAGAATGTTAGACTGGCCTGCTTGCCCTGTCATGGACTCTTTGATAATAAAGTTTGTTTCCTCACTCATTCCAACTTTCACATCAAACCATCTGGTCTTCAAATGCTAGAACAGTGATGAATTCTACAACTCACTTTCTCATTGATGTTGTCTCTCTGCTTGGTGTAACCCGCCTATCTAACCCAGCTGTAATCAAAATAATAATGACAAATTAATAATGAAAGATAAATAAATAATAAAATAACATAATTAACAACAAATGGTAACAAATAATACAGCTGTGATCTATTTTATAATGTTATAATTTTATATTGTTATGTTATTATACTTGTTATATTTTAATGTTTTCTACTATGAACTAGATAATTCTGCTAGAGTGCCCAAATATTTGGGGACTGCATTGGGAATAATGGAAGCAAAGAAGAATGGATATTATGCAGTCGTCCCAATGTTGGACATAATTTTGTTGTTTTAAAACCTACCACGGCTATTGCCGGGAGCCCTAATATAACCCAACCTTTGAGTTAGAATTTTGAGAGCAATCATCTTTTTTGTGGCTACATACATATCTGAGTCGTGGACTATCTCTCAGTCCTTAAGAAAGAGAATAGAGGCTTTTGAGCTGAAATGCTATAGAAAGATTCTCAGAATATCTGGGACAAAGAAGAGGAGAAACACTGACATCTTGAAAGATCTGAACATCAAGGAAGATTGGCTAATAAACAGCATCCTGTCTCAGAAGCTGAAATATTTTGGTAATATCAAGCGCCACGATGGACTGGAAAACATTTTAGCAGAAGGCATGGTACCAGGAAGGAGGGGCAGGGGCCGACCGACATGTAGATGGGCAAAGGATATAAGTGACTCCTTGAGTATGAAAGTACATGAGGCAGGAGAACTAGCAAGAGACCGAGTTTCTTTCAGGCAGACTGTGATGAGAGTGACGTTCTGCAAAGGACCTCCCACAGGATGATGATGATGGGTTGAACAGGGTTTCTTGGACCTGTCCCCTGTGAACCTCATCCAAATGGTGGCACTTTGTGTCACCGGGTGTTTATTACTCGTAGTGATGTCCTGGTGGGGTTGACTCACAAAGAAAAAAATAACAATGTAACCTGTCCTGTCTGAGATGACTAAAGAAAGTTGGCTAGCAGCTGAAATTGACAACAAGCAGGATGCACCCTCTTTGACCCAGACAGCATTACCATTTACACATAAGTGCAAAATGCTAATCTGCATTGCATGTTTCTGATAATGTTCATGTATTAAAAGTAAAGTACCCTTTTCCACACCTCCAGGCCTACTGGGCGCATAGGGCTAGACCTACATTTTATAGACTAATCGGCACTCGGTAGGTAATGTGGTCAACATCATATCAACTGCTTTAACTTTTAGGACTTTATCTGGTAACCATTTATGGCTGGGTCGACCTGGGAGCCAAGGTTATTTTCTGAAAGAGTTTGGCTCATTCAAGACCTGAACCTACAACCTAGGGATCCACAGGTGAGCATTTATTCCCTACATCATGGCCGTTCTCATTCATGCATAGCATATCCATAATGCTCTACAGAATCATTCACAAATGTTTAGTGGTACAGATGATTACTTGATGTAAGAAGTGCTTTGTATGGTCCAAATGTCTCCATTTTCTTCCACAAATTAGTTTTTTCAAATGTCTAAATATGAGAAAAGTATGACTGTGAAACTTGGAGCACAACTAAAACAGATGAAGCCTCATTACAAATTTTTGAAAACAAGTCTTTCGAAGAATCTTTGAACCCATCAAAGATGCAAACAGCGGGAAACGGAGAGTGTTAAGCAACAACAAAATTAATAATCTGTTTAAATCACCACTGATTACTGGCTTCATGAAATCTAATAGACTTAAATGGCTTGGGCAAATTGAGAGAATGTCAGGCTTGGGCAAATTGAGAGAATGTCAGATGACAGAGAGGTAAAAACTGTACACACAAGGGAGTTGAATAGTCATAGACCATGAGGCAGACCAAGAGGACGAGGGACAGACTTGCAAACACCTGGTGTCACCAACAGGAAAGAGAAGGCCAACCAGAGAGATGAATGGAGGCGGGTGATATCTGCAGCAATGAACCTCATGGGCTCGCAACGATGAAGAAGAAGAAGAAAAAGAAATATGAGACGATAATAAAAACTTCAACTGGCGGTCTTTGAGACTAAGTGGTTAAACCATTTGCTATGGGTTCTGCAGGTTATGAGTTTGTTTCAAGGACTGCATTGTTTGGTTCATGAGTGCAATTTTAGGCAGATTCCTAGGGTCTGTCACTGGAGCTCCCAATGTGGTTTCCGGGACCTCATTTTAGGGGGAAAAATAGAACAAACCCATTACTCGCTTAAGGGGAATTCTGGCTAGAAATTTAAAAATACGGGTACTATTTTGTTTTTAATGAATGACCAACTAAATATCAAAATATCTTCTTGAAATTTCGTGAGCATGTACTTGATATATGATTGTTCACTAATGTATTATTTGTTTTTTTTTTCCAAACTTGTTCTATGATGCTAAATTATTATTTAATTCAAAATACTGTAAAAGTAAATTTTAAAAAATAGATGTTGGTTTTATACAAATATTTTCTGAACTAACCTTAAAGAAGTCCTACATTTTGGAATCATAGTAGTACATTGTTACAGTTAAATGCCCTACCTCTAGTTTGTCTGTACTAATAATACTTTTGATGTTATGAAGTTTTAAATTTGAGGTTAAAAAAACTAGCAAATTATAAAATTAAAATATTTATAACTCAACATATATTAAGTATTTCTCAAAGCTGGTGGTAGGGGACCTAGCTGGCTGTTATTGTTGTAAAGCTGTGTACCAAAGTTTAATTATTTATCTCTAATAGTTTAGGAATAATCACCAAAAGATCAGTCACACCCACTAAATTTTGGCAAAGTTTTCACTAAATTTTAAAGAGAATAATTGCATTTACTCGGCTTGAATGAGCCGATGTCCTCCAGGTAATCTTTCCTGGAGGACCTGGTTCTCCTCTCTAGTAAGTCTACTTGCCCTTTTAGCTATTCCGACTTCATATAATACATCTTTGGATTGCTGCGGAGCATTTTTTATGCAGCGCACATCCTTATTTAGAAAATAATCCTTATTAAGAAAACAGTCTATAGGAAACTGTCCAACACTGAGCTCCACTGCCTTCACAATATCCAAGAATGTCCTAGCACAATCACTGAAAAATCACTGCTAAAAAAGCAGCTGTAGTTAACAACCAGCAGTTGTAGCAACTTCAATCACTGAAAATACAATCTTACTTCCTAACCCTTGCCTCTGAGTTTCAACTAATCTGAGGCTATGATGACAACTTGCACACACTATTTGTGATGAAACATTCTGACCCAAAATGTCCATATAAATAATAATAATTATGTTGCCACTGGGAACAAGTTTAGATAAATAATTCCTTTCACTCTCAATACCACTACTAAAGTCATCGGAACATCTTTGTTTATCCTCTAGATTTTCATTAATAATTTTGTCCATAAACAGAGGTAGCGGGCCTGGCACTTACATATTTTGAAATTACTAAAACCTTATTTTTCTAATCAGAAACTGGACAAGTGTCAGTGTCACTGCTTGAAACTAAAACATGCGGGTCCGATTGAAAAATCTACCAGTCAAAGTCACTTTATTCTTTTTAAAGCTGCTTTGAAGCAGAAGTCAACTGGTGTCCACTTCTTTGGGAGTTTACACCTCTGTTATGGAAATGGAGGCATAATTATGAACTAAATACTGATAAAATATCACACAAAAATCTTGCTGTAAACACACTGCAAATAGCCGAAGTCGGTTAGCGGAGTAATCGTTATTTATAAATAAAGACTACAGAAACAGGGAGTAGTGCATTGTTTTGGATTGAAAAGTACAAAGATTTTCTGTCAAATGGTGACATACACCCATTTATAATCAAAATAGGTTCTGTTGATCAGATTTTAAAATTTTAAACTGCGCATGAAAATAGACATGTTCATCTATAATGTTAGCGGCCTAGAATGTGTAAAAGCAAAAATATGATATTTTTCACATTTCTAGCCAGACTGCCCCCTTAACAAGTTGGAAATGCATCTGTCTGAGAGGCAAGGAACCAACAGTCTGCTTACAAATAAGCCAGATCTGTAAAACAGAAGTAAATGCCAAACTCAAGTTCCAGAATAAGACCAAAGTCCACAAAGAGGACGAACAGCAAGAACTTTTTGCTGGAGTTTACAGAGAAGAAGAAAAAGAAGAGTCACTGGAGCTACAGAATTTGTGCTGTGTGGGATGCTCTTGGGAGGCTAGAGCCATTCTGTAGGGTAAAACCTAATACAATGGAGTTAATCCTCCTAATTTTGAATCTTTAAACTTTTGAAACCGCTACAGAAATCAAAATGAGATATAAATACAGGGATTGTAGAAGTGTAGTTAGAATAAATCAGGGAACATCTCATCCTTTCACAGTGACATCTGAAGTAAGACAGGGGTGTGTCTTATCACCACTGCTGTTTATCACCTACATCGACAGTATATGCAAGAATGCCAAGCCCATGAATGAAGATCTTAGTAAGATCAACAAATTACTCTTTGCAGATGACCAGGCCTTGATAGCAGATACAGCCATGAAATTGCAACATCTAACATCCATGAATGAAGAATGTAAAACAAATAATATGAGAATCAACACTGAAAAGACAGAAGTAATGTCAATAGGAAAAAAGAAGGCAGATCTAAACATAGCAATAGATTACAAAGGCATTAAAAAGGCATCCGAGTTTAAATATCTGGGAACTACATTTACCGAAGATGGGAAATTGGATAAAGAAATCGACATTAGATGCAGTAAAGCAAACCAAGTATTGGGACAGCTAGCCCCCCCTCTTACAGCATAAGACAATCCCAATCAACACAAAGAGACATCTTATTCAAAGCATATTTATTCCAACTCTGTGCTACCAGTGCCAGACATGGTCACTCACAACAAACCATAAAAGAAAATTAGTAACCACGGAAATGAGATGTCTGAGAAGGGCTGTAGGAGTGACCATAAGAGATAAGATCAGGAATGAGCTTATAAGAGAACAAATCAGCACAGAACCAATTCTGGATCACATACAAAGACAGCAAGTGAAATGGTTTGCCCACTTAGAGAGAATGGCCTGTGACACCATACCATAAAAAGCATACATGGAAAGAGAAGAAGGACGTTGAGCACGGGGTAGACCAAGAACAAGATGGAAGGATAACATCAGAGAAACTCTACAACAGCACGATGTGCTTATGGTCGAGGCAGCCAGAAGAGCTAGAAACAGAACCTTATATCTCCCTCGACACCCACAGCGGTAAAAGAGGAAGTGAAGAAGAAGAAGAAGAAGAAACTTTTGAAACATCAGCTGCTCTTTGCTATTCTTTTTTATGATGTACTTAACTGTAGGTGTTATAAATGATAGTGTGAACATCTTGAAGATAACATTCACTTGTACTTACGTTGAACTGTCAGCTTGGCTCTCTCATCCTTACGACCAAATGAATTTTCTGCTCTGACAACATATTCTCCCTGGTCATCCAGTTTAACCCTGGACACTCTCAGCTCATACTCAGATCCACTGTACTTCTGCATGTGCTTGTAGCTCTGCCCAAGCAAGCTATCAGACTTATACCTTTTCAGAAACAAAGGAAACTGCTCAAAAAACAGAACTACATGTACAGGCCTTAGATTTAGAAATCTGAGCTTGATAGAGATTAAAAATATTTTGACTGAAACTTTATAACTTTATATAATCTAATGTTAACAATGAGAGGTAGACAAAAGTTATTTTAAAAAAAATGAAAGATCCCTTTTCACGCCTTAGGCGCATCGGACATATGGGAAGAGCACCCATATTTTTACAGACCAATCGGCTCTAGGTGGGTAATGTGATCAGCGAAATATGCCAGACATTAACTCTTTGAGTCCCAGGGGGTTGAGCATCACAGGCCCAAGGGGTAGTCAAGAAAGACGTAAAAATCGGCGCATCTTGCGTTCATTGGGCTTCTAGGTAGGAATCTATGAACGCATGATGCGTTCCTTGGGACTCAAAGAGTTAATTATGCAATGTTTTGTTTGTGTCTGCATTATTTAAATACAATGGGGAAACATTGTTTTGAATTTATAGAGTACTATACAGTGTGGCATGGAAACTCACCCGGGTACAATGAAGAAATATTTCAAGAAATAAGCTTTATTTATACAATTAGGATGTACTAGAATGAACACAGATGTTAGAATGGTGGCAGATGATATTGTCTTGATGGAATTAACTGTCCAGAATTTGAAAAGATCATAAGCAGGATATCGGTGAATAATGCTGTTTGGGGTTTCATGAGAAACTTACCAGGTAACAATTGGTGCAGAGGCTGCGATAATTTTACAGTCAAACTTGGCAACCTCGCCTTCTGTTGCTATCTGACTGCGAGGTTTACGGACAAATCTAGGAACTGCCTCTTTGCGATCTAAAGATAATGACACACATTTTTGTAAACTGCTATAATGTTTTAAAAATTAAATTAAAAGTGGGTCATTTGAAGCAATGAATAAATTTAATTGAATTAAAAAGCTGTTAGTTTATAAATATTATGCTGTCATTATTTTAGTTCTCAGCTTTGTAAAGAAAAAAAATCCTGTTTGAGTTGCAACCTGTTAAATAATAAATCTTAACTTTATTTGCAGTTATTACTTTATAGTGATTGATATTACATTTTTTTGGGTCAGGCAAAGGAATAGAATATTTTGCACTGCACTTTGGTGGTGGATACCTGTGAGTTAAAGTGATTAATTTGTGCATCTTTATTTAAACTTTAACAGAAAAGTGGCATATTAATTTGTATAGTAGCAACAACACTGTAGAAGTTAGTCAAAGTTGGTTGTGTTTCCTTTACAGGACGTTGCAGAGCCAATCCCAGCATTTTTTGGCTCAGTAGTTGTGACATTTCTTTCTGAACAGTCAGCTCTTGGTACCACTGTCGTACCAATGCAAGACAAACCGTCCGCAGCTGGGATTAAACCTGGCACTACAAAGTGTGCTTCCAACCTGCAATCAGAGTAGTGTCTGATGCAATAAGTTACTTATTTCTTGACATACAATTAGCTGTATCAATGTTTTTATATTCACTATGAAGCCTACTATCTGATACTGGAGTCATGGTGGCAAGTGCTCCTGTCTGCCAAGACAGTTGTCTGAGCTACTAGCTGATACTGGAGTCATAGTGGCAGAGTGCTCCTGCCTGACAAGGCAGTGGTTTGAGCTACCAGCTGATACTGGAGTTGTGGTGACAGTGGGCTCCTGTCTGCCAAGGCAGTGGTCTGATTTCAACTTCCATCAGTGACAGCATTAATTTATGTTCAAACCAGGATAGCATCATGAATATGAGCACAGGTTTTCAGAATTGTCTTTACTCGCACAGGACTGGAGGCTACCCAGGAGGGTAGCCATTATGGGTGCCCAAACTGTAACTTCTATGGACATTGAAAGGGATATCTATGATCTGCCATCTAAATTTAGATTGGTATATCTCAGGGTGGTAAACTTTCAAGCAGCAACCTGGAGTTCAAACTAATCAATCAACTGATTGTTTTCAGAATTTCATGGGCACTGTCTAGGAAGGAAACATGGTGAGGAAGTTAACAGGTTTACTGATTACTGATTTCAAAATCGACATCATAGCACATCAGTCATACCCACAGATGCTCTGTCTCCCGCAGCAAATAACGTAAGGTGTAGATGTTAACTGTTCCCATGGAACACTGATTATATATACGCTGATCTCTTCCTCTCATCCTTCCATCCTTGCTGGATCCACACTTAGATAACAGGAAACCCCACATCCCTATGTAATGGTCTACTATATACAAAGATTTAACACTTTACACCCCAATAGCAGCATCTGCCATATAATCTACTGTCATTCCTCGAAGACAAGACCAGGTCTAATAAAAATGTTTGCTCCAAATTATGCATTAGGTCTTAATTTCGGGCAACATCTTTTTCAACAAAAATATACATTTAATCAAGAAAATATTTATACATTTATTCAAGCACTGATGTCAAAATTATTTTGTTTTTTGTTTTTATGTGTACGATCATGCTTTTATAATTCAAAATATTCATTGTTTGTTTAAACGGACAAATGGAAGCCGTCAATTTGGCTGAAAATTGTTAACTAGCATCTGGAAAAATCACGCTAAGGCTTTTCTTCCAGGTTAGGTCTTAGAAATGGAGAAAATGTATTATGTTTTTAAAAATTAAATAGCTTAGGGAACAAAAGGGATGTTTATCTACTAACCAAAGTAGCTGTCATAGATCTGATACTCCTGCGGTCTGTGTTTACGAAGTGAGCTGAAATTAGCAATGCGACCAATAGCTGGCTGCGGTGCTGGCCAGTCAGCCTATTGGATAAATCATCAACAAACAATGTTATTGTCAATTTGATATGTTATGTTATATATCAAAATCTGAAACCATATATATGTGTGTGCATGCATGTGTTCTTTCAAAGTTATTTAGTAAAATTAATGTAGGGTCAACAATCTAAAACCATATATGTGTGTGTGCATGAATGTGTTTTTTCATTGTTACTTAGTAAAAATGATATGGGGTCAACAATCTAAAACCATATATGTGTGTGTGCATAAATATGTTCTTTCATTGTTATTTAGTAAAAATGATGTGGGGTCAACAATCTAAAACCATATATGTGTGTGTGCATGAAAATGTTCTTTCATTGTTATTTAGTAAAAATGATATGGGGTCAACAATCTATAACCATATATATGTGTGTGTGTATGAATGTGTTCTTTAACTATTATTTAGTAAAAATGATGTGGGGTCAATAATCTAAAACCATATGTGTGTGTGTGTGTGCATGTTCTTTCATTATTATTTAGTAAAATAATGTGGGGCCAACAATCTAAAACCAGTTTGTGTGTGTATGTGCATGTTCTTCCATTGTTATTTAGTGAAAATGATGATAGATCAAAAATCTAAAATCAGATATATGTGTGTATGCATGTGTTCTTTAATTTTTCAGTTATAAGGAAATTATGTCAAAAATCTAAAACCAGATATATGTGTGCATGCATGTATTATTTAATTATTTAGTTAAAATGATGCTAGATAAAAAAAAAATTGAAAACCAGATATGGGTGTATTCTTTCATTGTTATTTTTAAAAAATAACGATGGTTCTTTATGTCCACTTACATATTCTAAAAAAAAGTATTTTTACCATCAGCAATATATATATATATATATATATATATTTAAATATATATATTATATAAATATATTTTAAGGGACCATGTTCACCCCAGGGGCACATCAAGTATATGATGTTAGACTCACATTTTGATAGACTAATCGACTCTAATTGTGTGGCTGAAACATGCAAAACAATCAACAAATCCATCACCCAAGCATTCCGAGAAGTGCAAGACAAATACAGAAAACCATGACACTGGGCTACAACTTGGTTTTAGTAAGACAACAAAAGAAGAAGAAGAAGAATCAACCCTTGATGGGTGAAATCGTCAAGATCCTAAAAGCTTTCTTTAATCTGGAGGACATTTCTTGATTCCCACTTTAGGTTTGGTCAACCTAGGAGTCAAAGACACTTGAAAAAAAATAGAAAATATCCAAAACATCTAGGTTGGCAGGCAAGTGGCTAGCCCCTGCATTACTAGGGCTCCCAATATTGACAGATTCCTCATTATATTCAGATGGACTGACAAGATATTTCACTCCCCATGTGGGTTCAGGGTCTCAGTGTTAGGAAAAGAACAGAGTTACTGCCTATTAACAAGCAGGTCATCCAAGGTGACTAATTCAGGGTAATTCCTTCAAAGCTGGAGTGTGTCTGAGGAGAAAGGAACCAAGGGTCAGCAAACAAACATGAAGATCTGTAAAATGTTTGTGCACCCAAAACTTAAGCTCTGGAACAAGACCAAAGTCCAGAAATGGACCCAATAAAAATTCTGAACTTTTCACTGGAGTTTACAGCTGATGAACTTTAAGAAGAAGAAGTAGAAGAAGAAGAACAACAACAACAAGAGGAGGAGGAGGAGACAGAACTGGAAGAAGAAGAAGGAGGAGGAGAAGAAGAAGGAGGAGGAATAGATGAACACCATTTAATACATGATATAATAAGTATCATACAAGCCAACTATACTTCTCCAGGCATTTCATGGCCTGCTGTGAAAATCAAACATGGTAGATACTTTAACGAATCTTAAATCCACTCACTAACCTCTAAGGCACAAAACAACAAAGAATACTACAGATCTGTTGAAATCTGAATTCTTACATATTTGTCTTTGATTTTCTGCCTGATCTTGTCATATCTGCTAGATGGGATTCTGCTATTCAAGTTGCTGTGATCACCCTGCAGAGATAAAGAAGCTAATTTCATCTCATATACTTATCAATAAAATTAAACATGAACAAAATAAAATATGAACAAAATAAAATATATACTTCTATGTATTCATTTGTAATCATATATAAATTTGATATTCTTCTCCCAGTGGAGCACACACCCTCAACCAATTCACACCACACAATAATGCATTTTAATAATCTAAATATTCTGTTATGGGCAGCTTTCTTAATATTTAACATTTCTGCAAGAGATACAGTAATTTCATGAGAAAATGGTAAATAATTAGGTTCTAAGTCTTCTTCTTTTCTTCTTCTTTTCACCTGGATCAATGTCTGCTGGAAAGACCTGGTGGTTTGCTCACTTCTGGTTTCATTCCAGAACTTGAGTTTTGTGTGCATATCCATCACAAGTTAACAGTTCTTTAAGTTGGACAACAGTTCCCTTTGTGAGGTCAGGGCCCCATTTTGAAAAGGGGGGGGGGGGGAAATAAGCTCAATGTGCCTTAACAAGCATTTCACCAAAGGTAACTACTTAAGGGTTTACTGAAAACAAATGTATTTGACCAAAAGGCACAACTATCGCAGCCTAGATGTAAACCACAATAAATGTGCCAACCACCCTTTTAAGAGCAAATGCAGAACAAGAAAAAATACAAGAATTGAACAACAACAATAACAATATACCAAACAGACATACAGCAAGACAATTGAAAGAGAAAAATTACAACAAGGATGTTTACCTTTAACCAAGCATGTTCCAGACTATCATGAACTGTCATGCGTTTTCTGAAGGAAGCCAAACAATATGTGTCATAACATTATACAATGTACATACTGCTAATTAACTTTTCTAGTACCCTTTGATTTAAAAACATGGGTAGTGTTACAAAAACAGGATTTAAAAAAACGGGAAAAAAAAACACAACATATTTTTTACAAAATTATTTTTAAAACATTTTAAGAAGGTTGAAAACACAGTGACTAGTCCAGCAGACTGTCAGTGGTTTATTCAGCACTCATAGAAAAATGAATAGACTTCACAAACTGATGATTAAAATGAAAGGGACAGGACCCAAGAGTAACAGAGCCAGAGTTCGAACATACAGAAGATGGACTGCAGAAATATTGGAAACACAGACAAGTACTATAAACAAAGTGAACAGAAGGGCCCGTTTCAGAGATATCTTTTTTCCCTGACACGGGAGGCATTCCAGGAGTATAGAAAAGAAGAAGAAGAGACTTTTAAAACCAGGATTTCTGCAAGAATTTTCAGCCAGCGAGCACAAACAAACACATAGCATATACTGTGCTAAAAGTTAAAATATCCAGCCAGACTTCCTCTGTGGTTTTTCTCCAGGTTCCAATTATCTTCCACTTCCATATTATTTTATGAGGGAGACACAACACACAGGGGTCTGTTCCAAGTGATGTAAAGTCAATGTCAGATAACAGCTTCTGATAAATAACTTCTCCTCTGATTTTGTTTAACTCTTTTTGCTTACACAATAACTTGGACTTGCTTTAATACAGAGGAAGAGACCAGTAATCTATACCAAAATAATACAGAGTACTATTTTCTGGAGTGTAGGAAACATGAAAACCAAAGAAACACCATTAACCGACTATATGAATTTCTGTAAATTTCCTATAACAATGGAAAACCTGTTGCACATAAATAGCCACAGGTCAAGGTCAAGCAATTTATTACTAGATCTAAAAGGATTGAATTATAAATGGATGAATGTACAGAATATATACAAATATACATATAAACAATAATGAAATTAATGCTTGAATAAATGTGTACTTGAATAAATGTAGATTTCTGTACCTGGAGTAATGAGTGCAGTATTCTGCAAAGAACTTAGTAAATTATTCTTATGTTTGAAGACAATAGATAATTATCATCCCTTTGTGTATTAACTGTCTTCGTTTAATAACTTACTTTGGATCTTTGAGGAGCAAACTTTTAATGAAGTCTTTGGCCTCTGGTGAAACACTAGAGAAGGCATCATTATCAAACTCCCAGTCACAGCGCCTGACATTCTGCAGCGTCTCCAGGTCGTCTTCTCCAGCAAATGGTGACAGACCACTAAGTCTATGTCACACACACACACACAAATCAATGTTAGTTAAAATAGATGTTGATTTCAAATTATGTTTTTTTTATCTATTTTTGTCCCCCACTTTTCCTCCCTCCTAAGGCAGCATAAGCTCTCAGCCAGCTCTTGTCAAGACATCATATCCTGTGCTATCACCTGCAGTTCCCTCCAATTTTACACACCTCTGTCTCTAATTCTATTCTCTCTGTACATTTAGTCGGCGTCTGTTGCTTAGGCGTTGTGAATGTGCTTTGTAATGCCGGGGTGCTGGGTTCGATCCCAGCTGTGGGCCTTGTGCCTTGTGTTGGTTTCAACAGTGGTATCGAGAAACCGACTGTCCAAAAAAAAAAAAAGGCAAACTACTGGATGTAAATTTGTCTAGACAAACCACAAAAGCCCAAAAATGCTGGGGTTGGTTCCGCAACGTCCTGTAAAATGATAGGCAACTAACTAGCTGTATATTTATGTCCGAACTTATTGTTTGTTGCTCTTTAGGTTTAAGTTTCTTATTCAAGAAGAGATGCAGAGGTGGCCTCATCTGTTGTTTAGGGCTCAACTAGACATCTCCACTGTATTACAAGGAACAGGATTAGTGTTTCCTTCAAAGTCAGCCAAGCACAGCTGCCTGAGAGGTCAGGTACCAACAGTCTGCACACAAATAAGCATTTTCCTGACTGAAACAATCTGTGTGCTTATGTACTGGACTTGGAAAAGTGTTGATCTTCCAGAGAGTTCACAAGCAATAGCTGCACACACAAACTGCATAAGATGCATCTTCTGCCAGTCTTGGAAGATGGAGGAAAAAATAAATATATTGATTAGGTTTACACCAGGAGGGTTGAGCTGAACATTTTGCCTTTCCTTTGAGTGTTGACTGTCAGCCAGATCCACTGATTACTCCCTGCTGCATTATCTCCACAGTGTAATGATCTATTCAGGCTTTTGCATTGTTCACTTGCTCTCAAAGGTTCTTGAGCACATCTGACTTGACATGCATCAGTTCATCACTGACTGGTGCAGCACCAGCCAAACTGTCTGCCTGCCTGTTTATATCGCAACATACTGTCACTATCACCACCTCCATTTTCACACATTCATGTGTGGACAGTAATCAGCACAGGAACTGGTAAATAGTACTGAACCGCAAGCGTAGTCGACAAATGATTATCATGCTCTCTAGCTAGCAAGATAATCAATAAGAAAGGAAACATACAAAAAAAAAATTACTTCAATGGATAAAAACTATATAAAAAGCTAAATAAAAGGGGAAGGGAGAAAAACACACCATACAGGAACAGAAGCTTTATCAATGAATTGAACAAGGAAGACTAGAAATTATAGACACCAAACCCAACAAGAGGGAGGTAATATGAAATAGTTATAAAAGATTATGAAGCAGAGGAACAAGAAGAGATGTTGCAAAATAAAACATAAATAAAGGAAGGAAAACATTAATAATAGTTATAATATTAGTGATCATAACAACGAAAATAAAAATTTAAAGAGAAAGTAAAAAAACAATGGACACAAAAATAGCAACAACATAATTTATCAACTTACAAAACGTAAGCCAAGACCCCGACAGCCCACATATCAGTGTAGAAACCCACGGGGTCCCTGTCAACAATCTCAGGGGCAGCAAACTCTGCTGTGGCTGTGGTCACTTTAACAATTTCATCAGGGTTGAGTTTTGTAGCCAGGCCAAAGTCAATGAGCTTGACACTGGAGGCTTTCTTTGTTTCACAGATAATGTTTTCTGGCTGTAACAGACATGTGTAAACGACAAAACTTTCATAAAACATTTATATTAGTTAGTCAAGTGAAAGATTATCCTTACTGCCTATCGGACAAGTCTATAAGCACTCAGATCCCATCTTCAGTATATCCTTCAGCCCATGGCGGCTGATCACATCAGTTCTGTGTTGGTTTACGTAGGTAATCATTTTCTCCTCGATAATTTATGTTTATGGTAGTAAGGATGTCAGAGACTGAATATGAATTTGGTATCTGAGTGTATCGAGGGTGAATTGTGGTACATGGGAAATGTTGGCCAAACGGTCAAATTGCTTAACCCCTGTCAAATAAAGAGTGTGAAAATCACGGACGTAGAAAAGCTAGAACATGTGGGTGAGAAAGATTATTTAACACGTGTGTCACCGGGGCCCTCACAGGAAGCAAAGAATAGTGACACTGCACCCTACCAGGCATGTCGTAAGAGGCGACTAAGGGTAGGGTTGGGCTTGAGGTTGGCAACCTCATCCTGTAAAAACCATAGCCACAAAAACCAACCCACCATGGATAAGTCAAAAAGAGAAGCAAGTAAAAACCAGCCAACCAAGATGAGGGGAGGCTTTTCAACGGTATGGAGGAAGCTGTAAGGAGTCCGGATCGTTGACATACCTCCTCTCAGCTTGGAAAACCTCCAGAATTGGCACCTGGAATGTTAGGAACCCACAGAGGCATAGGAATAAAGGAAGGCCAAAAAACAATGGGGAAGAGAGCTGGAGAATGAAGTTAGAAAGATGGAGAGGATATGGGGAGAGTTCCATGCAATGGCGAAGGATAGAACGACTTGGCGGGAGTTGGTTGAGGGCCTATGCTCCATTGGGGGCTAGAAAGTCAGAAAAAGAAGAAGAAGAAGAAAAAGAAGTAAGGATCTAGAATGATGGTTTTATTCTTGCACAAGTCTGTGTCGACTCTAGGATAGTGTGGATGTGGAACATACGCTGAACCAATCTATGTGTTAATGAAGACTGTACTTGAGTTTAACTGAGTTTCCCTGGAACCCTAACTATCCTGCGGACCTGACTTTCTGTCCAGTCTGGATCATCAATCAGCTGCTGTCAAACTGAGTGGCTTGTGATTGTCAAGCATGTGCCTGGATTCTTCTGATATCAATTGGTCAAGGAAATGTTTGCTAGCGATGTTTTGGGAGATGCTGTGTTATGTAGTTGAACTGTTGTTACGCTAGATGTATTTTTCCTCTACGTGCAATGGCCAACAAGTCAGCAGTGGTTGAATGAATAAAAACAATGTCAGTAATCACCTGTGTGGCATTGTTTGTTGTTCAACCTGTGGAGTTACTTTATTGTAATGTATGTGTGAGATGTCTGCAATTGACTAGAGACAGAGTTTGAAGTAAGAGAGTCGTTGCAGAAATGAAGGCTCTAAACGGAGAATTGGGACAGTAAGGCTGAAGAGAATTTTGACTTAGACATTATATCCAATACAGGGAGACCTGAGATCAGCAACTAACCGGATATAAGAGAGGGCCATTTCCTGATCACAGATGGGAAATATTAGCCTGGTGATTTAGGAATATAAGAGATTAATATTGAAGACAAAGCTGTGACACCCAGTGTCAGACTGCTTATGGATAAAAAACTAGAAGAAAAACAACTGTTGCTGTGAGTATTTTCTGCAAAAGCCTGTTTGTAACAAGAGACACTGCTATGACAGTCAATTTTGACCTACTGGTGGCTAAAGCAATACGTCGAGTTGTCTACTAAATTCGGAAAATCAACAGAAATTGCGACTCCACAAGAATAGAAATTTTTTAACAGTATTCCTCTTTGGCTACTTGTATAATGTTAATGTTTGGTGACACCTCTTTTGACCTGAAGTTCTTGTTGTCTTTTGAGTGTTGCTGATTCAACATCATCACCTGAATCAACTTCTCATCCTGCCTCCTTCAGAGTGTTAAAAATGTTGGCCCGGTCCATTGTTCTTCCTGTACCTACCATAGCCCTGCCAGCCAGCTAGTCCGCTCGTTCATTTCCTCTTAACCCACACAAATAAAACTGATTCCTTTCAGATAAGATTTCCTCAGTTACACCAACATTTTCTTTGAATCCACCCTGTTAAATTTATATAATTTATATTTTAAGTATTTAAAAAAAAAAAGGGGGAAAGGGGGGGGGGGGGGGGGTGGAGTTAAAACATATGACCAATGAGCAGACAGGCAAGCTTGCTATTGTGTCATTGTGGCCCACCAAAACACTAAAAGGATTGATTTTTCATATTCAAAGTCATTTTTTGCACAAAGCTAATTTAACCCCCCCCCCCACACACACACACACATACATATTTATATATATGTTGGAAATGGAACATGTTGTGACCACTGGAAAGATCTGTGAAAGCAGGGATAGAGGAAGACAACGAGAGAAGATTCTTTACAGTCTTGTTGCATGGCATGGAGGTGTGTCAGCACACGAACTGATCTAACACAAAGAACAAGAATGGGTGGTAGATAGGCTGTTTGCAGTGGTGGGACCTAAGCTGCACTTCCTTGGGGAACGTAGGCGGGTTGGGGTTAGGGCCAGTTCTAGATGTTTTAGGGTCTTAAAAACATAAGAAAGCCGGGAAACCCAGTCTTACGACACTCTAAAATGTTGGACTGTCCTGTAAAGTCATCTGGGGTCATATCACATGTTTTAATAGCAAAAACCACTAAAGAACATGAAAGACTCATAACAATTATTCAGAAGTAATTACCTTGATGTCCAGATGTACAATGCTGTGCTCATGCATGTGCTTCAAGCCTTCACAAACTTGTCTCATGTAGTTGATCACCTCAGCTTCTGACATCTTGTAGTCTTCTGCAGCAATTCGATCAAATAGTTCCCCGCCTGACAGGCTGTCGATGGAAATCATCATATTTCACAGATATGCTCCTGGCTGATCATAAATAACTTCTCTATAAAAGTACACTTAAAAAACATCAACACTTAAGCTGTAACAAACTTTAAACACAGATGTCAGTAAAAGATGTAGAAAACAAATAATAAACAGCATTATACAGGTGGTAGTTGAAACCACATCAATGAAGTTTTTATTTCCTCTTCATAAATGAATTTAGTTGAGTTGAGTCAAGAATTGACATCACAGCACTCAGGGCATTTCCATGCATGCTCCGTCTTCATCTTCAGCAGCCAGAACAGAGTTCCAATACAGATGGTACCGGTCACAATCTGTTTATATGTCTGTCTTGCCTTTCCTCTTAGTGTAGTGAGCCGGCCAGAGCCTCATTCTTTCCAGGCCATAAAAATCTTCTTTCTCTACTGATTCGGTGCTTGTTTTCAAAGGTCCTTGACTACATCTGCCTTGTTCCTCTTCATAAATGACCTTGGCTCTCAGGTTGACCCAGCCTAAAAATGGGTACTAGATTATGTCCTGGGAAGTAAAGGCAGTCAGCATGATACTGACCACATCTTCTTCTTCTTTATATCCTCTTTTACCGTTTAGAGATATTAGGTGCTTATACATGCTCTTCTGGCTGCTCTGAACATAGACACACTGTGGTACTGCAGAGTTTCTCTAATGTTATCTTCACCTTGTTTTTGGTCTGTCTTTTGCTCTACATCCCCCTCCTCTTTTGGTATGGCATCAGACCATTTGATTTGCTGTCTTTGTATGTAATTTAGAACTGGTTCTGTGCCGACTTTATCTCAAATGACCTCATTCCTGATTTGATCTCTTCTGGTCACTCCTACAGTCTTTCTCAGACACCTCATTTGCCTGGGTACTAATTTTCTTTTGTGTTTTGTTGTGAGTGACCATGTCTGGTGCTGATAGCATAGAGCGAGAATGAATATGTTTTGTATGAGATGTTACACTGTGCTGAATGGGAATGCCTTATGCTGTAAGAGGGGAGCTAGCTGTCTCAATACTTGGCCTGCTCTACTGCATAGGATGTCAATTTCTTCATCCAATTTACCATCTTCACAAAATGTTCTACGATATTTAAACTCAGATGCCTATTTAATATATGTATGCTCTAATGCTATATTTAAATAAAAATGCACACACTTACAATTCTAGAATGAGCACCATTTCATATTTGTCCTCAAAGGCATTGTGAAGGTTGATCAGTTTTGGGTGATGCAGCTGGTTCATAATAGAGATTTCATTCTTCACTGTGTGCTTATCCAGGGGATAAGGTGTGTTGATGAACTTGGCCACAAACACTCTTCCTGTAGCTTTCTCAATACAGCGATGGACAACACCAAAAGCTCCACTGTGGATATAAGATGTAACAAATGAAAGTTTAAAGTATAAGTCTCAAATACTGTGTCTATACTGAATAATTAACTGCACTGTCAGTTGGGGGAACTATCTTATAATGTCCATTTGGGTCAGAAATTATAAGAGGTAGTAATTTACCCAAAATATAGGGTCTGCATATTATACAATGGTAGCATATTTTTACAAAATGATTTGTTAGAAAATATTCCATACAAGGCCTCATTTGGAAATATTGGTTCAGGGCTGACAGAAATGGGAAACACAAATTATAAAGTTTTTTCCTGCTGTAAAAGTTTCTGTGCTTGGGGTAGGGGGATTGGGGTTAGGGCCAGTTCTACATGTTTTGGGACTGTTAAACACGCTCACATTGTGGAATATAGAACACGCTATATTGGCGGCCAGTGACAACAAAAAGTAAAATACTGTTTGTTGGTGGCCAGTCACTAAGCACGACACCCCCACAACATAGGAGAGGCCCTGCGGCATGATGAAGCATGAATAAGAAGGAAAGTCACTCTCTTTCTGGGTAAAAAAACATTACTATAACCGACTTCAAATAATTACATGTTTTCTGCATTAGACTTGTAATTGTTCTTACTATTTTTATTAAAGTAATAAAGCAGACATCTGTATTCCTTGTTTCTCTCTCTTACTCTCTCCACCCACTCAGACACCTCCAGAATGAGGGATTTGTTTCTTTTACTTGTCCTTGCTCATATCATGCAGTATCATGCCTACATCTAGTATTTATCTCTCTGACTTTCGCTTACTCTTTTCCTATCCAGTTTATCAGATGTCATTATGTTTTGAAATTTATTTCCCCTCACAACAAGTCAAAAACTGTCTTGACAGTCTATATCTAATTTCTCTAATCAGTTTACAGTTGTCATCTGTTTTTTGGCGTACTGCTTAACTTGTTTTTCTTTCAACCCAGGGTATTCTTTTCATTTTATCCAGAAATCATACTTCTGCTGCCTTTAGATATTTTCAAGCTTGCCTGCTTATTGTCCATCAAAGTTTGACATGTGTCCAACAATGCAGATACTACAAGTATGGAGTACACAATGTTTTCTTATTTCAGTAGACTTGTTTTTAAAAACTGGTGGGTATGTTTTCCATATTGTAATATGATAATTTTGTGATAGCAATTCTTATTTAATCTCTGCAAGATATTTTTCCTCATATGTTTTGATTGTTCCACAATTATTGTACCAGTTCACTCAAGAATTTCCTTTCCCCATTTACATGGATGATACACTGTATTGTTTCTTTCTTTCTAGAGACGGCCATGGCTGCATTTACTTGTAAGCTTTCCTGCAACTGTGTACAGTTACCACATCCCCTGAGTGCTGTATATCCTGTACAGTGTCTGCAATCAATAGTGCATTATCTGCCTTGTTAATATTATTTCCTGCCACTGCAATTTCTCTTCTGTACTTTTAATTTCTAGCATTTTCATTATCTGTGAAGATACTACACACCCCAGTTGCATGACCAATCATGGTGTGGCCTTCTTCCTTGTTTACTTTTATGGCAGCATGTTCTTTCTTTAGTATACATCCCACACAAGTCTAAGGTCCTTTCAGGATCTGTTTCATGTTAGTATGACTGTCTGCAATGGTTACCATAAAATGTTCCTGTAAGTAAAATGGGCCTGTAGGATATTCACCTCATTCCACATCGAGTACCTTTATGCTTCTAAACAAGAATCGGGCCAACATGATATACCCAGTACAATGCACGAGAACGGCTACTTTAGTTTTTCACTTTTATTACCCTGTACCACTGAAGGTTTGTTACATATTCAAAAACTGTCCATGATAAAAATTATTTGTTTATTCTTGACACTACAAAACAATACTTGGAACAACCAGACTAGGCTTTTATAGCACTGTCACTCAATCGAGGTTATACATTAATACAAATTTGATGCCCAAATGATTCTAATCACAGATGTTTACCTGCCGAACTTTTCAAGGATTTTTCATTCATACAATGTATCACTCATACAGAAATGCTGCTCATTCAAAGCTATACATTAACAGGAGCAAAAGACACAAGATGGCCTAGGCAGGGGCATACCTAAGTGTTGATGCTGATATAATATACCCTCTGCATAGCTGCCTACAGGTATTTGCAGATTAGTGCCTAAAGATGGGCAGAAGCAGAGGACACCATTCACCAAATCTAACCAGGACTGACACTGAATAGACAGAAACACCAGAAACAATTCAGCAGCACATTGAGATAATAATCACCCTGGGCAGGTATGGCAGAGAATGGAGCCAAACATCCGCTGATGCTGAGATAAGAGCCCCATCTACGAGCGCACTTAACTAGGTGACAGAATTACCTATACAGACAGCTCAGTGATTTGTGGGATTGGTATGGGCAGGCATATAAGTGCAGATGAATAAGAGGACTATAGAGGAAGAAAGTCAGCAATTCTGTTCAACTATTTCTAATTTGATGATGTAGGCAGCAGCTGTGGGGCACTTGCATAGCCAGAAGTACAGAAGGCAGTTCATATACTGATAATGATTCACTCACTGAGCATGCTTAAGAAATGCCCAATGTGCTGTGATGTTGACAGTGGTAACATAACATTAACATAACATCAATTAAAATGTGAAACCCCCCAAAAAACTAATCACAGACAGCTCACCTGCCCAACTCCTCAAGGATGTCATAGTAATCATAAACACTTCCTTGTTTGACCTCCACTGGCTGGGGCACGTATTTCTTCCAGATATCCTCATCTAATAGGCAAAAAATAAAATATGTCGCACATATAGATGCACATTATTGAAGAAATGTTAGAGCAAATGCTGCAATATGTTATACATTTTTTTTTCATTTACAATGCAAGAAAACAATGAATAATGCATCTGGATTGCCTGTGGTGTAAGACACAAACAGTTTTTATAAGTAATGTTTAAAAAAAAAAACAGCTGTTCGGATTGTCCTAAAGTGGCAGCTGGCTAAGCGGTTAGGACACTTAGCTCTTAATCAGGAAACAAACATTTGAATTATTAGTGTCACAAACCACAGAAGAAAAAGAAGAAAAATGAGTTAAAGTAACAGTAAGAATGAAAGAGATAAGTAACATATCAGATGCTAGTTGTATTAAAACAGTTTTTAAGTTCAGTAAAACCTTGTTAACAGGAATTTCAAGGGACTAAAAATCAAGCTCGTGTTAAAATAAAAAAAAATAAAAAAACTGCTAACTAGGGTTTCTGACCAATAATAATAATACATCCTATTTATGAGTCGCTGAGTGAATTACAAAAGACAGTGAAGTTCATACTAGAGACAATATTGCAGATATAGATAATCTATTTTAAGCGAACAAAAGAAGAAGAAGAGGAAGTAATACATCCTTGCTGTGATGAAAACTGTGTTTATGTTAATGAGTGTTTATCTTAAGTGAATTTATGTTGTTAACAAGGATATACTGTATGTGAATTACGTTTTATACTACACATATGCTTCAATCTCTGCATTTCTATATAGTTGTACACCTGTCTGAAGTACTAAAAACAGCATTTAGTGAGGTTTTCTTGTAAATAAAATGGCTGTTTTAAAGCCATTATGGCTTTAAAATTTTCTCATAGCTTTAGTATTAGACATCCAACCAGGTCACAGGGTCACAGAATCAGTAAAACAATACACTGTTAGTAAAATTTTAACAAAGCAGCCATAGTAGAATATTGGTTAGACGCTTGCCTGCCAGCTTGAAGATCAAGTGTTAACATATTGTTTGAGGTGGATTTTTTTTAAAAACTGACCCTAGCGTCCATTTTAGGACAACCTAAATTGAGTATTAGATACTGCCCTAGGAAGTAAAGGCCACTGGTATGATGCTGACCACATCGTCCATTGAATGCAGATAGGTATATAATTATATTGATCCAGCACTGTATGCCTGATGTGCCAAAGGCCTAGAAACATCATTACAGTTTCTCAACTCGTTCAGTACCAGAAGATTTTCTTTTAAATACTTAAGGAGATAACAGTCACAATGAAAAGATCATGAGTGTTCTACTTTCAAACAGGCAACATATACTGTGCTTATGTTAGCATATCTAGCCAGATTTCTTTGACACACACAAACCACATGTAAAATATACAATCAAACACCGTTCATTGTTTGATATACACTGACTGTAGCTGATAATGCACTGTATGTTGGTTGGGACAGATAGAATTGATAAACACAGATGATACTTACAAAATTTGTCATAGTCAAGGATCTTAGGACCATCATACTTTCCTCGGATTCTGCGGCCATGTTCATCTAAAAATTACAAGGGAAAGGACACTTTAATACATTTGTCAAATTTAAAACATATATATATATAAAAGTATACCCAAAGAATGTTTAAAGACACTCTACATAAAAAACACCATGAAAGTTAACATATTTTCATTTGTTTTGTTGTATTTTCTGTAAAATAATATTCATACGCAGATTGTAATTGGTTTTCTTTCCATTTTAGGGGCTTTGAAAACATTGAGATTACTTATTTTGGCTGTCCATGTAATTTTAAAAAAAATGTTTATATAAAGCAATATTCCTGCAACTTCAAGCTTCAAACTTCTATAGATCAATATTCATCAGTTTTTGATGCCAGGCAGATAGACTGAGATGCTGCACCACCGGGTGGTGAACTGATCCATCACAAGCTAAATGTGGCCAAGAACCATTTGAGAGCACTGTAGAATCACAAATAAATTGTAATGGTTTGGAGAGAATGGTGCTGTAGGGAATGACCAGGGGATACGGCGAATACTCCAAACTCTGAGCAAAGGTAAGATGGACATACAATCAAACTCTGAGCAAAGGTAAGATGGACATACAATCAAACTCTGAGCAAAGGTAAGATGGACATACAATCAAACTCTGAGCAAAGGTAAGATGGACATACAATCAAACTCTGAGCAAAGGTAAGATGGACATACAATCAAACTCTGAGCAAAGGTAAGATGGACATACAATCAAACTGTTCCTGGTCACCATCAGAAATGTCGCTCTCTGCTAGCTGCTGAAAGTAAATATGGAACACTTATGGAAATCTAATTAGTGTTGTTATGTTGGTTCTCAACTGAACTCTTCTTCTTCTTTGTATTCACCAGATGTAAATTCTGATGAAAAGTTCTGTTTGTTCATTAACTTGTGGACTTTAGTCCAGAACTTAAATTTCACATGCATATCCATTTTAATTGAGAAACAGAAGATCAAATGGTTTGGTCATGCAGCCAGAACAACTACCAATGCAGGTGCTACACATAAAAGGATTTGAAGTGAAAGTAAGAGGTCGTCCTAGGAGAATATGGACTGATGACATTAAAGAGCTTCTACTATGTCACAGAATGACAGTAGCTTTTGCTGCCTATCAAGCAATGTATCGCAAACTGCTCCTCCCTACAACGCTTAACGGCAGAAGTGGAAACTGATGATGATGATTCATTTTACAAATTTGGCGTATTTGTATGCAAACTGTCTCTCAGGCAGATGCACTCAGGGTTAGAAAGAAACATCCCTATTTTGTTAACTCTCAAGACATTGTACTTGTTAGTGGAGCAGTGAGTCTATCCCCTACGACCCCAACATGGGCCCCTGGAACCCAGAGATGGATAAATGAACTCAGCATGCCTTTAAATTTGACCACTGAGATGTGCCACTCACCCTCCAACTGTCTCTTCTTGCGTACAGACTCCGGTTCCTCAGTCTTGATGGGAGCTGTGGGCTGACATGGGTCACTGCGACCATAGAAATTGTCTGCAAACACACGGAATGAGTATTCTTTGTTGGGAGAAAGTCCTGACACATTATGAAATGTGAACCTAGGAAGAAAAGAAAACAATTTAATAATAAAACCATCTCAAATGTGTATTTCTGGAATTAACTCTTTAAGTACCACAACATTAAGCTGGACTATTCCAAAGTCTTGATACTATTAGTGAACATAAATATGTGAGAGTATATTTGGTACATTTGAAGCCATACAGATACTAAGGGTTTTTAAAGTAATCAACAATGTTTTAATAATGATTTTTAGGCTGACATTAGACAACGCTGTGGTTTGGTAATCATGGGCAACACCTGATCACACATGATGCACTAGCTGGGACTGAAAGAGTGGGTAGAAGGCATTCAAAAGTCATAATTAACCTACAAGTATTTGGATCTATACACTGGGCATGCAGGAGTAAAAAGTAATGAACAAGCTGACCAGCTGCTAGCAAGTATTACACCAATGCATACGTGAAGAAGCATGGACAGAGCTATCATTAATGTAGTACAGACTGGGCTGGTGGACAGCGATGCTATTCTGATGCAACATGATTGCGTGAGCTGGGAGTAAAGCTTGATGTAGCCTGTCTATGCTTTCTTTGAGACCAAGACAGGAGACAGTATAACCAACTGCTATTGGGAACAATCAGTAGAGGTACCTTAGAATGGCTGCTGCATCAGAGGACAGAGCACACATAGGAATGTTTAATACGCAGTGACATCAATTGTGATAAAATTACATAACATTTCTGACACTCAACGAAATCAAAGACATGCACATAACAATAAGATGAAATATCTTTCAGACAGCATAACAAACAACAATACAATCCTACCTTGTGGAGGCCACTCTAACCCACTTATCACTTGGTGGTTCCTGTTTCTCTATAGTATACTCCGTAATGAAACTACCACCATCATTGAGAGGTGGCTTCCAAGACAACACAACAGAGTCATCTCGAATATTCTCAACCACTGGGAATCTGGGCGGGTCTGGACGATCTGGAAATAATTGAAGAAACAGTGTAAACATACTCTCATTTCATTGTAACTATAACAAATAGAGACTGATCTTCATGAAATCGGGTAACAGTAAAGAATTAGTCAGGCACTCCAGACATGTCCTAGGTGCTCAGATTCCCTTTCAATATATATATATATATATATATATATCAGCATCCTGTGGTTAATAATGCCAGTTCTATGCTGGTTAAACAAAAATTCTTGTAGATCCTGTGTGCCTCTTATGCCTGGCTGAACAAAAATTCTTGTAGATCCTGTGTGCCTCTTATGCCTGGCTGAACAAAAATTCTTGTAGATCCTGTGTGCCTCTCATGCCTGGCTGAACAAAAATTCTTGTAGATCCTGTGTGCCTCTCATGCCTGGCTGAAGACAAATTCTTGTAGATCCTGTGCGTCTCTTATGCCTAGTTAAACTAAATTTCTTGTAGATCCTATGTGCCTCTCATGCCTGGCTGAACAAAACTTCTTGTAGATCCTGTGTGCCTCTCACGCCTGTCTGAACAAAACTTCTTGTAGATCCTGTGTGCCTCTCATGCCTGGCTAAACAAAAATTCTTGTAGATCCTGTGTGCCTCTCATGCCTGGCTGAACAAAAATTCTTGTAGATCCTGTGTGCCTCTCATGCCTGGCTGAAGAAAAATTTTTGTAGATCCTGTGCGTTTCTTATGCCTAGTTAAACTAAATTTCTTGTAGATCCTATGTGCCTCACATGCCTGGCTGAACAAAACTTCTTGTAGATCCTGTGTGCCTCTCACGCCTGTCTGAACAAAACTTCTTGTAGATCCTGTGTGCCTCTCATGCCTGGCTGAACAAAAATTCTTGTAGATCCTGTGTGCCTCTCATGCCTGGCTGAACAAAAATTCTTGTAGATCCTGTGTGCCTCTTATGCCTGGCTGAACAAAAATTCTTGTAGATCCTGTGTGCCTCTCATGCCTGTCTGAACAAAAGCTCTTGTAGATCCTGTGTGTCTCTTATGCCTGGCTGAACAAAACTCCTTGTAGATCCTGTGTGCCTCTTATACCTGGCTGTGCTGATGTTTACACTCAATTTTCCGATTTTCGCAATCTTAGTAGTGATGTGAGCATGCTGCTCTTAAAATCCTTGCATCGTCCTATCTCTCTAGGGGCATTAACAATATCAGCCATCTGCAACTAAGGCTGAACTGTTAGAATGAGTATGATTCTTCATGACTTAATGGTTACACTGTTTGCCTTGTGTTCTAAAGATTGTGCCTGCTGTCTTTTGGTCTAAGAGGGTAGGTATTTTGGAGATCCTTGGGGGCTGTCACTGGAGTTGCAGAGTTTCATGTTTTGTGCTACATTCATAAAAGGTGAACAGCCATTCAGAAGAGAGAAACTGCTCTATATATGAGAGATGGTTTACAACATGCAAATAAGTAATTATATACTTCACTACTTTTCGTCCTTCTTAGGACGTTATTTTTTGTTATTTGAAGCTCCACTCTGGCTTTTGCCAGGGGCCGCAATATAGGCAGGTCATCATTATGGCCAAATGTCTGAACGCGGTTTCTGGGACCTCTCCACGGTGATCCTCATCCGCATGGTGGCACTTTGTGTTATCGGGTGTTTATCGCTTGTGTGATGTCCTGGTGGGGTAAAAAATCCAATCCAATCCAACATGCAATGGAAAAGACAGTCAGATTTTTAATCAGGTTTTAGCTCTCACCATCAGTTCAGGAACCTTTCACTGGCTTCTGAGGAAGGGGAAGGATCACATTTGGGAAAATGCCAAGTACGATGCCATCAGTTTTTGATTCATTCCTTCACACTATCCAAGAAATCTGATTTGCTAGCTAACCACTTACATTGGGTATATCCAATACACTTCAATACACAGGAAAGTATACCTTACTTATAAATTCTACCAGATTCTCTGCCTCTCAGGACAGTAAAAAATTGCTTGGCTGGCCATTTTGCTAACCCCTCATCTGCATCATGATAGCAAATGATCAGTTCGGCTGAAAACTCACCATTGACTTGAACCTTGAAAATAGCAGAGTCTGACCCCAAGTCGTTTTCCAGTATCAGTCTATAAGGTCCGTCATCCATTTTGCTTGTGTCCTTGATTGTGAGAATGGCATGCCGATCTGTCACTTCTGTGTGAAACCTGAAAGTTATTTCAAAGTAAAAGGTCACCATACAAAGTAATGTAATACAAGGTAATGTACTAGAAAGTACCACACTGAAAATAATGCATTTTGTAATTTATCAGAAACTAAAGCACTTGAGAGTAATATATCAGAAAGCAATGCATCAGAAAGTAATGCGTTAGAATCTAATGCATAAGAAAGTAATGTATTAGAAAGTGAATTAGAAAGTAATACACTGGAAAGCAATGCATTTTAATGTAATGGTCAGGAAAGTAAAATATCAGAAAGTAATGTATTAGAAATTAATGCATGACCATTGTAATGCATTAGAGCACTTCATTATTTACATCAGGAATTTTCAACAGTGTAAAGGTAACTCCATGGCAGATATTGTCAAAGGTAGTTTAATAACACCTAAATATATAAAAATAAGTCCTTGGCAAAAGTGAGGTGGGGCAAATGGTTCCTCCCTTATCACTTTTTTCCAATCTGGATAAATCGCTGGCACTTGATTTATAATGCTGGGTCAAATAAAGAGATGCCCCAAATTCTTGTAATCTATGTAAAGAAAATAGTATCTATCTCAATTTGCTTGTCGCAAAAATATTTAGTATTCATGGCTATTATTTTCCAGATAGGGAATATATAAAAAAAAAATTAACATCAAAAAGAAACAAAACAATCCATGTATTACAATGTTTAACACTTATCAAAGTAAAAGGAAACTAGTTTGAAAACAAAATGTAGAATATAGAAGAGCAGCACTGTGTACATACTATTTCTTATGCAACAGTGAGTATTGGAAAATGACAACAGGAATGACTCATAAATTAGAGACTTTCCACAATAAATGTCTAAGGAGAATCATGTGAATATTTTGGCCAGACACAATCATACATGAACTACTTAGGAGAAAAACACAATCATACATGAACTACTTAGGAGAAAAACACAATCATACATGAACTACTTAGGAGAAAAACACAATCATACATGAACTAATTAAGAGAAAAACACAATCAAGACAATGGGGATGGATGAAAATGTATGCAGAATGACCCACGACACTTTGGTAAGGACATCTCTGTGATGGAGGGCAGATGGAAAAAAGAGACATGCATGTCTTAAGGTAGAGCTATTCAACTGGTAGCCCACCAGCCAAATCTGGCCCACAGAGCCCTAGCAAATGACCAGCTGATCATTGTCGAGTTGTACTGTATTAACTACTTTTTTATGCTGGGGCTCAGGCTTCGGGCCCCTGACAATTGCCGTTTTCAAAATGGCCCTGAGCAAACTTAGCTGAATAGCCCTGACCTAAGGAAACCTGGAGAAGGGCAGTAGAAAGAGAAATGGAGGAATGCAAAATGACATGAGATACCATAGCCACAAAACCCTGGACTGGCAGCAATGGATTACCTATGAATGCCTTATTTATCAACAGTAACATAAAGAGAGTATAGACATATACTGTTGTGGCAAAAAGCTATGATAGCACAGTCACCAACATGCTTGCATCCCTGCCTAGTGGTCGCACGTTTGAATCCTCACCGAAATCCTAATTTTTAAAGCTGACCTGGGCCAACAGATTGATCTAGCTCAACAAATGGGTGACAAAAGATCTAGAAAATGGAAAGCAGGCATGATCCTGACCCCATCACCCACTGAGTGCTGACTGGTTAATCATTATCCTCTTAACCAGGGAGTAACTCAAAAGCAGAGACTGTGCCTGCTTGGCAAAAAGGTCCTGGATTCAAATCTACACAAAGGCAGATTTTCAAAACTGACTTTGGCCTTGAAGTTGACCCAGGAAATATGTATCAAGGAATGTTCTAGGAAGTAAAGGTGGTTGGTGTGGTACTGACCCCATCACAGGTTATCACAGTTCTAAAGGGGCATCCAACAGTAGATTTGTTCCTGTGCCAACGAAAACCAAACATTGTGTTCATCACTGACCCTTGTGAATTATGAAAAACTTGTCACAGACTACACCCTCTGCCAAGTCACTAACATACGCATGCATTAAATGCATAAGCATAAGCACCAACACAAACAGTCCGATACTAGAAATGCTGTTCATCATTAATAAAAGCAGCTGTTACAACAGACCAGTAGTTGCACACACAATAAATCTCATAAGGCGCCATTAGTTATTTCTGGCAACAGGCTGCTAGCTATTTTCTTAATCTGCATTTCACAACACAAACCAAAATAGTCTATAAAAATAGGGTCCAATCCCATATGCCACTGGCCAAAAGGGTTCTTATACCTATTCAGTATGCCACAAGGTAAGCATGCAGATCCAGTACTCTACAGGTCAGACAGACAGAAGAATGAACAGCTACATACCTGGCTCCTTTGATATCTTCCTTGTCTCTGACCCATTTCACAGTTGGTTTGGGATTGCCAGTGAAAGGGATCTTTAAGACAATATTCTCACCCTTTTCAAAAGTGCAAAGGTCACGGAATCTAGGTGGAACATTGATCTTTGGAGGAGCTGTGTGAAGAGGATAAAAGAAATAAATAAGCAAAACAATAGCAGAAATATCAAATCATCTTATTAACGGATTTTAACTACATGGTGATTGAAAACTAACTCTATATTTTAAAATACTTATAAATAATTTATTTGTGGCAAATTTAGTCTTGTTTTTTTGGGGCTTTTGATCTTTCATGAATAAGAATCTAATACAAAAATTAATTCTATTTGTATCTGTGATTCATACTGATAATTTTGTTCAAAATTTGGAAGCCCTACACACATGGCTGGACGTCTTACCCTATAGGAGCGTGCCTAGCTATCTGCACATTTTATGAAATATGGAAATCCATTGTTCGAGTACCAAGACAATGGAGGACAATTAAAGGAGTATATGCTAAAGTTGACACAAAGCCAATCAGGAACTATCATGTAAAACTCACGGCTACTAGGTTTGTGGCTGATACTCGAATAAATGGAGTATTACTTTTCAATTACCCTGTACTGTCCATTAAAACGGAAAAAACAATTTCTGGCTTCTCTACTGTGAAGGTTGACAAGCATGGACATGTGCAATCACTGCTGTCAACGTGAGTACATATTGTGAAACAAGTCCCCAAACTCTTCCACAGTGCAACTCTCATACTCTGTCTGAAAGCCATGAAAACTATCTTATTATTTTTAAACCCCTGTCATGGGAAACAAATTCTGTTAAGCTGCGGATTGTAAAATGCACACTAACCTTCAAACACAGAGCAGCACTCAAATAATTTAAAAAAACCCATTATTATTATTGACTGGCATTTTTTAAGGCATCTCAGCACCTATCTATCTATCTCCTTTTACCCCACCAGGACATCACACAAGCGATAAACACCTGATGACACAAAGTGCCACCAAGTGGATGAGGATCACCTGTGTAGAGGTCCCAGAAACCGCGTTCAGTCATTAGACCATCTTTATGGCAGGGCTATATTGCGGCCCCTGGCAAGAGCCAGAGTAGGGCTTCAAATAATGAAAAACTGCATCCCAAAAAAAGGGATGACAAGATTAAAAAAAGGTATGCATCTCAGCATGTGCATACTATAAAATTTATATCAACATATAATGAAGCTTAGAGGTTAATCTTTTTTGATTGAAATACATGAACCACATAGTCTATTATTTTGCTGTAAGCTTTATCAATGTTAGTCTTGGATTAACCACATGATACTTCCTTCTGTTTGGGCAACATGACATAAAACACTGGGACAACACTGCTGTTTGTTTCTGAAAGTCACTTCTATAATGAAAAGTAGAGCTAATTTTCTACATCCTGCTTTTACCAAGAATAAATTATAATTCTGTTTTAATAAAATGGGTACTGAAATTGAATACTGCATGGGCATCATCATCATCACTATTTTACAGAAGGTGCTTTGCAGAATGTTACTCATTATGGTCTGCATTATATCTGCATTATGTTATATTATCACAATCAACACCACTGCACACTGAGAAATCCCATGCATGCTCAGTCCTCTAATGCAGCAGCCAAGGTACCTCTACTATGTTGTTCCAATGAGAAGCTGGCTATAATGTCTCCTATTTTAGCCCTGAAGGCGGGATAGATATGTTTCACCATGCATAACTCCCATGTCATGCAATATATTTGCCGTTATCTACTAGCCTAATCAATATAGCATTGGTGATATCTGCTCTGTTCATGCTTCTTCCAACAAGCTTGTGCACTGAAATTACTGATTAGAGAATCGACATCTGCATCACAGCATGCCGCGCACACCCACAGATGCTCCATCTCCCACAGCAAATGTCTTGAGGTGTGGATGCTAACCGTTACCGTAGCACACTGGTTATACACACGTCGTTCTCTTCTTCTCATCCGTCCCTCCTCGCCCAAACCACAATTACTTGTTCATTCTTGCACATGTTATTTCATCTAATCTTGTGTTTTTTGTCAACAGTCGCTCACATATGGTCTTTAGAATATTTCCCTTGTCCAATACGAGTGTTCCCGTAGCTTTCGCTTTTGTAGCCAAAAAATCCTCTCTTTCTTTCCTTTGCACTCCTGCATCTCCCGGACAGCATATCCACATGATTCCCTGCAATGTTGGCGTACTGATGCATGGTATCCACTCATGTCACATTTGTCCATTTTGAACCTTCCGCAACGCTACCTGAGAATCAGACACAATAATCCCTCTGGTAACTTTGTTTTTTGCTATCCAGTTCATAGTGGCAGTGATGGCCTCCACTTCCATTTTCATTCTTAAAGTTGCAGATAAAAAAAAAAAGAAGCTCCATTCTGTTCTGCCACAAGTTTTCCTTTCGTTCTAGTTGAAAATCAGTAACCAGATCTTACACCCTGATGAAAAGAACCATCGGTGTACACTACTGCATCATCTAACCCAGCCTTTTCATCTATTATTTGTTGTACCTCTAATTCTGCCATACCATTACACCACTCTCTACATTCTCTTCCTAATGTGATAATGACCTGATGGAAACTTGCTGTGGGTATTTGCTTGACTGAGGCTGCCATCTCGATGGTATCTACAGCTAGTGCCATCCATTACTTTCTTCTTTTCAACCGGTCTCCTTTTAATCATTCAGATTACCATGCAACAGACGCCTTTCATCATTGGCAAGTTGCATATAGGTCTTGGTTTGCCACAGTGACAGTCTAGACTTTACAGATGTCAGCCCAAGCAAATACCTAATTGTTCTAACTGAGCTATCTCCTGTGCAACCCAAGACAATAGTCATTCCTTCATTTTTAAACCTTTCAGGCTTTGTACACTGTAAAGTAGATAGGGTTAATATTCCTAGGCCATAATCGATTACAGAAAGGACCAAATGGTTGATAATAAGACGAATAATTTATGTTCCATGTGTGTCACCATCATCGTCTTTAGTGACAGTGCACTACTTGCCAATTAGTCTGCTAGTTCATTACCTTTTTATTGTTGCCATGGCCAGGTGAGGGAGGTTAAGTGCAATTCATGATGCTTTCTACACTGAGAGTTTTTACTGCCTGCTGCAATTTGTTGACATATGTTCTTGGAGTCTGAAATTATTACTGCATGTTTGATTACTGATCTGTTTCCCACGCTAGTGCACTGAAAGCAGTGGTTATCTCCATGGTCATGCTTGGTAAAGTGTTACTACCCTCTTTTATTGTTTCCTACCATCCTCTGTGATATTTATGCTCAAGCTGACTTTGATCTGGGCTTCATGAACCCATCTGTGTAGATGATGATTTTTTCTGAGTGAGACTTCCGATCTGTCAGTGTCCTTACCTCAGTGTCTACAGCTGAGTGAATCTGGTTCCTGCAGCACCTCCCTGGTGTAATGACAACCTATGAAAGGTCACACATGCCTAGTGGTATATCTGTCCATTCTTTTCCATGACTCTCAATTCCTGGCACCAATCACTGAGTCTGTTTACTTCATGCTGTAGCACTGTTGTCATTTAGTGCCTGTTTCTTCCTTGACTGTACAGCAAGCACTGTTCTGCTCAGGCCTCTGCTTTGTACAATTCTGCTGTGTGCACACTGAGGAGCACCGACAATAAGAAGGCAGGCCCATTAAGACACACTGAGGCTTTGGTAACCATCCACCACATCACAACAACAGTTCTTTCGAACAGTGCTGCTGCAAAATAGTTGACCCATTTTGTCTCTCTGCGCAAATCCAACAGCAATCTGATGAGCATGTTGTATGGGGTGCAGTTGTACACATCTTCTAAGTCAATGGCAGCTGCAACTGTTTCCATTCCAGCCTGGAAACCTTTGTAGGTGATGAATGCAACTACTGCAGCATTGCAGCAGGTATCTATCTTCGGTTGATAATCACCTAGTGTAGCCAGGAATAGACCACCTGACTCAAATGTTAGGTTCACTTGTCTTGTCTTGTCCACAATTGCCTCACAGCGTAGTGGGGAGTTCACTGTTCTTGCTAAAAAATTTGTCCACATATTAGCATGGTGTTCTACAGTGTGATGATTCTGTAGCCATTCATTCTCACATGATCTTTCCCAAGGTTGAGAACAGGTCAAAAGTTGACTATGGAGCCAGGCATCAGAGATAATGTCAGTTTTAATGGGGTGTGATTTATCCTGGATAATATATCTTATCTGTCATTTTGTAAAGTCATTGTATCTCATGCTGTCAGGTGCTGGCGCCATGTCTGGACAGGTCTTCAGTGTTGCTCTGATGCATACCTGACATCAATCTTCGTCAGCTGTCTTCCACAACATATTTCTCTTGGGTTACAGTGGATGTTCTTTGCTTTCCTTATGACTTCTGTTAAGATGGGCTACCTTAATTTACATATGTATAACCTGAACAAGTTTGAAAAAAGCAACAACAAAAAAACCTTACATTTAATTTCAAGTTCAGCTCTAGATATCCGACTTCCCCCCTTGTTGGTGGCTCGAATGGAGTACTCATCAGCATCTTCACCGTAGACATCTTTTACTATCAAAACATGTGTGTCTCCATCAACTCTGATCTCAAACTTATTACTGTCGAAAATTTCCCGAACACCTTTGTACCTGAAAGAAAGAATTTTGGTTGGTTAGCTGTGTATCCTCTAGAAGATTGGATTTTAACACTAAAATCCAGTGTACGGGCATAAAGGGGAGCAGTGTTAGCTTAGTGGCTAGATGCTTGTCCGCCAATCTGAAGGTCTAGGGTTCAAATCCCTAATGAGGTGGATTTTTGTCAAAAGTGACACTGGCTCAAATGTTCACCCAGCCCAAAATGGGTGCCAGGTAATGTCCTGAGAGGCAAAGGTGGCTGACGTGATATTTACTACATCAAGCAGTGCTGATTAGTCTATAAAAATATACGCCTAGCACAACTCATTGCACAATACATTTCTCTTGTGGGTTCCAGGGCCCCATTTGGGAAAAAGGAAGGTGGGGTGGGGGGGGGGGGGGAGAAGTGAGAATGAATAGACTCACTGCCCTCCCCTTACAAGAATGCCATAAAAGCTGACTAAATACGGTTGTTTTCTTTAAAGTCAGAATGCATCTCCCAGAGAGGTTAGGAACCAACATATTGCACACAAACAGGCCAGATATGTAGAATGGATGTGCATGCAAAACTCAAGTTCTGGAACAAGATTAAAGTGCAAAAGCAAATGAACAACCAGAACTGTCCACCAGAGTTTACAGCCCATCTACGCTAAGAATAATACAATACAATACACTTTTTCATTCCTTGAATCTGTTTTCTACTGATATTACTTTCATTGTGTTGATAAACTAGATAGAACACTACTTCTCTGAACATATAGCCTGATGGTATTACTTTAATACTACAATACTACACAATAATGTCACTTAACTAACTATCCCCCTATCATTCAGTAAGAAAGGAGGACTAAAGACAAGAGAATCACTGATAATTATCATTTATAATGGTTACTATTATAATACTACTATAATAGTTAAAAAATTACTCCATTCAATTATCTTTTTTTTTTTTTAAATTGATAATGAACAAACGAATAAACAAACAAACTTTATGTTCATAGGGTTAGGAATTGGGCACGCAGGCCTGTCTAACATTCTACCCTTCCAGCCCACTCCTTGCTTACAGTTATTCATGTGTACATCCTTTAATATAATAAAATAAAATAAGATAAAACAGCAGCTAAACAAACAGGATTTCTCACTACTGCAGCTGAAAGTTAAACTTACCATTGAACATCCGGTTTAGGGTTTCCTGAGACTGTACATTCAAACCAGGCTGAACCGCCTTCAACTGCCTGGACTTTCCTTAAGCCTGAGGTGAATTCAGGAATCTTAGCAGCTGTAAATAGTAATGTTAAGATGGAAATTATTTCACAAGTATTGATTCAGCATTCACTGAAGTAGAGACAAGAATTACTGATTCATTGAAAATATTAAGATGGCAAATATCAATGAGAAAATTTGTCGTCTTCTTCTTCTTCAGAATTCTGAGTCCTTGAAGTTCATTGCTGCAGATATCACCCACCTCCAATCATCTCTTTGGTTGGCCTTCTCTTTCCAGTTGGTGACACCAGATGTTTGCAGGTCTGTCTGGACATTATCTCTCCATCGTCTTCTTGGTCTGCCTCACGGTCTACGATCATTCATCTCCCTTGTGTATACAGTTTTCACTTCTCTGTCATCTGACGTTCTACCAATATGCCCCAACCATTTCAGTCTATTAGCTCTCATGATGCCAGTGATCAATGGTGGTTTAAACAGATTATGAATTTAATTGTTGCTTCTCACTTTCCATTCACGGCTGTTTGCATCTTTGTTGGGTACAAAGATTCGTCGTAAGATATAAACCTATAATAAGGCTTCATCTCTTTTATTTGTGCTCCAAGTTTCAGAGCCATATAAAACAATTGGTCTTATCAATGTTTTATAATGAGAAAGCTGACTAAATTAAAAAAAAAATGATAAAAGTAGCTATGCTTTGAAAGACAACTGAAATTCAACACAACATGCTAACTAATTGCATGAAGAAATTTATACTCAAGAAATAATGAGTAAGAAGGTAAATGTGAGTGAGATCTGTGTGTGGCAAATGCTGCCATTGTGATCTGACATATTAGGCTGTCACATATTCTAGGTTACAGATTTTCACAGTTAGCCATATGTGCAAGCTTGAGAATATTTTGCAATGTGAGGAGTGTGGCAAAGTGTCCAAGCAGCAATCAGATTTATGTAGGTTTATAATCACATTATGCCAGGATTGTAAGGACTGGCAAGCAGCTGCTGTAGAATCAGAAGCTTAAGAAATTATTCATGACAATTCCTGCCCAGATAATACAATTATCTATACAGATCACTTGTGTTGAAGGGCAGAAGAAGTGCACAGGGGTTCATAACAAAAGCGAAAGGGTGTCTCTTTGTGTAACAAAGCCTGGCATATGATACAACACCATCTAGTTTGCGAATAGAGGTGGAGGTGGTTATTGGGGCTTTCCACTGCAAACACATGTCCAGATTGTTAACTGACTCGCAAAGTGTGTTGAGAAAGGTGGAGACAGGTTTGTACCGTGCAGAGCGGCAAGCATCGCTTCAGATGTCGAGGGTGGTTAGCATCCTTCAGATATTGTCTCCAGGGGATGCCAATGTGTGTTGGGAAATAAACAGACAGATAGGCTGGCTGGTTCTGCAAAACTTGGTAGGTGAATTGATGCATGGCGAGCTATATGTTGTAACAGCCCTTGGGGTGCCAGTAAACAATGTGAAGTCACAAACAGATCATCACAGTCCAAACAGAATGGTGCAGCGAGGAGTTACAAGAGGATCTGGCTGATGCTGAACACTCAAGGGAAAGTTGAGATGGACATACAATCAGACTGGTATCTGTAAAATCGTTTGCTGCCAAAGATATGGGCAGAGCACATACAGGAATGTCCTGACTGCTACGATGCTGGTTCTCAACCCATAACTCATAAGTCAGAAGATAATCAGATGTGATAACTAGCTCCTATTTTGCACAATGTTTTTTCCCAAGCATTTATAAGAAAATTCTGAACACTGACAGGCATTTATTTTAAGAGACTGGATTAACATTAGTAGAGTATATTGGAATATTACTGATTTAATTATTTAACTCTTTGAGCTCCAAACAGTTGTTACCTTAACTCCTCTTACCCAACGAGGTGAGTTTAAAAGCAGTACATACTTTGGTCAGGAGAAGTTTAACAGACACTATGAGACAGAAAGAGTTAATGTAATAATTCAGATCAATTTCATCATCATGTAGCAGGTCCTGTGCAAAACGTCGCTCTCATCTCGGTCTGTCTGAAAGAAAATCAGTCTCTCGCCAGCTCTCCTGCCTCATGTACTTTCATACTCAAGGAGTCACTTATGTCCTGTGACCATCTTTGTGTTGGTCGGCCCCTGCCCCTCTTTCCTGGTACCATGCCTTCTGCTATTATTTTTTCCAATCTATCGTGGCGCTCAATATGACCAAAATATTTCAGCTTCCGAGACAGGATGCTGTTTATTAGCCAATCTTTCTTGATGTTCAGATCTTTCAAGATGTCAATATTTCTCCTTTTCTTTGTCCCAGATATTCTGAGAATCTTTCTATAGCATTTCAGCTCAAAAGCCCCTATTCTCTTTCTCAAGGACTGGGAGATGGTCAACGACTATGTTGCTACAGGGAAGATGCATGCTCTCAAAATAATAATTCAGATACAAAAAGTTAATATAATATCAGTCTAACAGAGGACTGTAAGAACCCTTTGTAATCTTATGAATGATCAATGGCAAAATATTTGGTACTGAAAGTTGAGAATCAACATCATAGCATACTACCAGGCATACCCACTGATGCTCTAACTCCCACAACAAATGTCTTACAACATCATAGCATACTACCAGGCATACCCACTGATGCTCTAACTCCCACAACAAATGTCTTAATGAGCAGACTCTTATGGCTTTGCCAGAAGCACAATGGTTGTACACATGTCTTACTCTCCCTCTCATTCCCAGATCCATATTCAATTCCAAACTCACACATCATCTCATGTTATGTTTTCTTATATTGTATCTTCCATCTGCATTAATTCATAAATGGTCTTCATAATGTCTCTCTTGTCTACACAAATCCGCTCATTCATGTCCTTGCACTCCTGCATATCCTGGACAGTGGGGTATGACAGTGCTAACAACACCAGTGTAGAACATTACTCCCTGTGCGGGTTCTGGGGTCCAGTTATGGGGAAATCAAATGGTAGAATAACTGCCTCCCTAACACACACGTCAGAGCAGTCAAATTATTAGGGAATTCCTCTGAAATCGGAGTGCATCAGCCTCTAGTTTTAGAGAAAAACCAAAGTCCAGAAGTGGACGAACAACCAAAACTTTCCACCACAGTTTACAGCCTGTGAACACTAAGAAGAATAGGAATATTATTAGCATCATGAAGAAGAAATTACCATGGGGATCTTTAATCTTGATGGGGTTACAAACAAAGGAAGGTTTGCTCAAGCCAGCTTCATTCTCAGCAAAAACACGGAACTCGTAGTGACGGTCCTCAAGGAGGTTTGGAATATTGATCATGGTTGTGATGCAAGGATTGGTGTTGACCCGAGACCATTTGTCTGTTCCGTGCTCCCTCTTCTCCACCCAGTAGCCGGTGATCCTACCACCGCCATCTGATTTAGGTTTGCTCCAGGTCAAGCTGACAAAGTCTCCACCTATTTCTGTTGCTTCAGGCACACCAGGTGAGTCAGGAGCATCTGTACAATAAATGGAAATGATTGATAATATGCTGTCTTCAAATAACTCATTCACTATTTGCAGACCGAAACCAGACTTAAAAAAAGAAGACCTTGACTGTCAGGTCGACTTAGCCTTGAGTGGGTACCGGGTGCAGTCCTGGGAAATAAAGGCAGCTGACGTGATGCTGACCACATCACCCATCTTGTGCAGATTGGTCTATAAAAATATAGGTCTAGCCCTATATGCCCTTAACACCTAAAGGCGTGGAAAAGGGACATTTACTTACTTACAATTTGCAGACAAACAGTTTGATTGCTACTACACAAGAAATATTGAACAAGAAAGACAGGGTTACAAATACCAGCATCAGAGAGAAGGCTGGAATAAGACCATGCTTGGATTATACTGACAGAAAAAGAATGAAATGGTTCGACCATCTAGTCAGAATGCAGCCAGACCAGACGGCATATGAGACTTTACAGCATAACATCTGGGAGAAAGGCGAGAGGAAGACCAAGAAAGAGATTGATAAATGGTGTAGCAGAAACCTGCTAAAAAAAAAAAAAGATGAACAAATCCATAACCAAAGCCACCCGAGAAGCGCAAGACAACTACAGACATTCACAACACTGGGCTATGAACTGGTATCACTGAGGCGAAAAAAGGAATAGAAGAAGAACAGTGCCTGTTCTATGGTGAGACAAGTACTTATTCAGTAGTTAGTCAAGATTCCAAGCTCACTGCAGATGGGTTGCCCCAAGCAACATACAGTGTTTTCCTGAAAATAAGCCCTAGCATGATTTTTCAGTATGCTCATAATATAAGTCCTACCCCAAATATAAGGGGTCACCAATGGTGTAGCAGCTAGAAAACATTTGAATGCTGGATCAGAAGATCGTGGGTTCGGGTCCTGATAGAACCAGGCTTTCTTTAAAAAAAAATGAACTAGACTTCCAGGTGGACCCAGCGTTGAGTTAGTACCAGGTGCAGTACTGAGAAGTAAAGATGGCGGACGTGATGTTGACCACATCTCCCACTAAGTGCCGATTTGTCTCTAAAATATAAGTCTAGCCCTATACGCCAAATACGTGGAAAAAGGTCCGTTACTTTTACCACAAATATAAGACATAGTAAATATCATCAGCCAGACTGGGCATATTTAATTATAAAGTAATGCACAAATAAATAATTACATGAATAATATTACTGACATTAATGCTTTAAAAAAAAATATAAAATAAATCGTAATTCACTATTTCTAAAATAATGGTACACACACAAAATAATCATATCTCCTCAAAATTAGGCCATAAAACTCTTTGAGAAGAAAAATTAATATGATATATGAGATAATATTATATTGGAGAATATGGTACCAAATAAACAGGCTGACAGACAAAGTCAGACAGATGTACCAACAGATAGATATCTGGGGTAAAAACAGATAAACAAAGTTAGTCAGACAGACATACAGGGGCAAAAAAAAAAAAAAAACCCCATAGATACCAGTTGGTAAAGACTGCAACAAACATATAATTAAGAGGAATTAAAAATAGATGTGAGATGAGATGTATAAGAAATCTGGCAGGAAGAAAATGAGAGGAGACAGTCACCAGTGAAGAACTAAGAACAATGATAGGCGCAGTGCCAGTAAATGATTTCACAGAACATCAAAGAATTGAATGGTTTGGCCACTTGATCATAATGGAAGAAAATAAACCAGCAGATACAGCGTAACTGGAAATAGCAGGCTAAAAGTCAAGTGGCAGACAAAGAAAGAAATGGGTAGAAGGAGTAAAAGAGACTACAGAAACACAATATCTTCTTTTTCTTACAACGTGGAAGACCAAGGGAAACCCTACGTAGAACTATCATCAGGGAAGGCTCGCTCATGGGCCACTCAAACATCCAAGACCTACAACGGATTGCAACGGACCGCCGTGCATGGAGAGTCACGACCTCTGCCCTATGTGCCGCACTCGACACGAGAGGAAAGACTAAGACTCTTACAACATGCTTTTTTGAGGAGACAGTGGGTCTATTCTAGTTTCCTCACAATGAGGCCTCGGAACCATCACAGGAAGAAACACCATATTACAATAACACAAGCTACACAGCTAGCAAAAAGCAGGAAACTATATGATAACTTCTCTCTGCATCACTTCAAGGCATACGCATTGAGACAAAAGAAGAAAAAGATCAGAACCAGAAGGGAGAGCTGTGGTAGCATAGTGGCTAGATATTTACTTGCAGACTTGAAGGCACCGACTTCAAATTAACACTGAGGCAGATTTTTTTCGAATTGACCTTGTTTTCCAAGCAATCCCAGCCTACCATGTGTACCAGACAATGTCCTGGGAAGTATAGGTGGCCAATGAGTGTCATTTGGTCTATACAAATATGAGATATACACTAGAAGTATCACTTATAATATAAAGGTCCTTTAATTTGCAAGTTGTTTTTTGACTTACAACCTATGCGACTTAAGACAGTTCATGCAACAAATAAATGAACAGATGTAATGGAGTACATATTATATATTTCTCACATTACGTACAATAACTAAACATACATGGACTGCATTTTTGTATTCTGTGTAAACCCATTTGAATGAACACAGTGTCAAAAAATTAAATTTAGCTTAGGTCCAGTATGAATTATGACCTGTTAGTCAGAATGGAACTTTGTCGTAAATCAAGAAGACTTCGTACTTTATTTCAAACTGAAGGACTGGGAGCAACAAAATGAGCAAAGAAATTAAAAATGAAGATTACTAATAAAATAATGTAAAAAAAAATAAAAAGCTAAAATTAAACCCAATTCATAGGTTGTAGACCAACTACCCTATCTCCTTTATTAGTTACAAATAACTCAATTTTCATACCAAATGGCATCTTTGCAATGATAGGACTCTCTGCTTGCAAAAATTCTCCAGGACCATTCTCAGTGACAGCTGCCACTCTAAAGAGATACTGACTGTTTTCATACAATCCTTGAACATCAATATTTGTATCCTGATGAGAAAAGAGAGAACAAAATTCATATTTTATTCTTTTTTTTTCCCCCAGACTCTCCACAATAATTTGTGTACGTGTTTCATTTAGAATAAGATATTTCTCTCTCTCTCTCTCTCTCTCTCTCTCTCTCTCTCTCTCTCTCTTTCTCTCTCTCTCTCTCTCTCTCTCTCCAATGAGCAATAGAGTAGGAGAAAATCATTCTGTGTGTGTGATAATCATTCACCACTTCAAACACGTGTTCTCAGCACTCTTCTGCACAGTAGTGAAACTAGGCTGACTTATTCATACCATGAGAAACGGCTAAGTAGCTTTCACATGTTATGCTTAAGAAAATTACTTTGCATCACTTTGCTAGCCAAGGCCACTAACATGGATATATTGGAAAAAGCCGTTATCACAACATATTTCTCAATGCTGTCCTCAAAGGCTCAGATGGCTAGGACATATAGGAAGGATGGTAGAGTCCCTACGATAGTCTTCTATAATGAATTGCAGATAGGTGGAAGTAAGTAAGTAAATTTTACCCCACCAAGACATCCTACTGAGCGATAAACATCCGGTGACACAAAGCGCCCCCATGCAGATGAGGATCACCCGTGGAGAGGTCCCGGAAACCGCGTTCAACAGTCAAGTTATATTGCGGCCCCTGGTAACAGCCAGGGTGGGGCTTCAAAATAATGAAATATTGCATTCCACAAGGGGGATGATGAAGATAGATGGGTGAAGATGCCAAGGTTTGCCCCTACTACAATGTAAAGATTTGTGTAAATGGAACACAAATGATACATGTTTTAAAGAAGATCCTAGGGAACTTGATGGTATAAACTGTGTTGCTAGCAGGGGGAAATTAGAAAGGTAACAGGGATGCAGGAGAAAATGAATGCAGATAGTTTAAGAGCTGCCTGAGAAAAAAAAAGCACTTTAAACACATGCAACGGCAACAGCGGTCCTGAAATCTCATCTTATAATATTGAACAACGTTTCTCAAACTGAGCGAGTCATGCTAGTGACATTATCTATTGCTATGGGCAGTGATTCCCACACCTTGATACAGCACAATATAACACTATCATCTGGAAGGATGGAAAGGTGCAACAACTTCCATTCTGCATTTTACTGTGCGTACATTTCTGAAGTGAAGCTCCATGGCTTAGAGGTCCACAAATGTGGTTAACAATCTCATGATCATCAGGTGCTAGAATGTGTTCCCCCTGGGGAATTGTTTAAAAAAAAAATACACACACACACAACTTGTGGGTTTTCGCACAATGATACAATGATGCCGTGGAAGAGACTGGGGCCTAAGCAGGTAACATGCCCAAAGACTAACAGTGATATACTGTAGCCATTGTAAGTAAAGGATCATTTTCTATGCCTTTAGGTGTATAAGGAACCTATTCCACGCCTTTAGGTATATAGGGCTAGACCTATATTTTATAAACCAACTGGCATTAGAAGGGTGATGTGGTCAGCATCACGCCGGCCACCTTTACTTACCGGGATTGTACCTGGTACCCACTCAAGGGTCGATCTGGGAGCCAAGGTCATTTTTAAAAAAAGTCTGTCTCCACCAGGCAGAGAACCCACAACCTTCCGATACCCGGTGAGCGTCTTGTAGCCATTGTGAAGATGGCAAATAATTAAGAAAATGTTTATCTGAAACTGAAAGACCCAGTGCTATCTGCAAATATACTTCTTTGTCTCACTTTATAACCAATTAAAAACCAATGTCTTACCTTACAATGAGACGAAACTGTAACCCAGTATGGTTTGCCAATCTCCTGCCTCTCAATCAGGTAGCTGGTGATTTTGCTTCCTCCATCATCCTGGGGAGGTTTCCATGCCAAACGGCACGAATGTTTGGTGATGTCAGACACAGCCAGTGGGCCTGTTGGGGCTCCCGGTGGACCTAGGAAATTATTTAGGATGATAAATGACACATGACACTGTGTGTGGCGGGAAAAGGGGGCGAGGGGATCTCTACTACTTTTTTTCTGTTGTCTGCCATTTATCCTCCAATGTAGCAAGAGTTGCCAACAGTTAGCATCAAGTCATCATATCCTGTCATCATTACCTGCATTTCACTCCATTTGGCCCTGCCATCATCTGTTTCACTTCTGTCTTATTCTCTTTTAAATGGGTTTTATAATGTCTCTGTATTATAACTGACTGTCCAAGACAAATGTTATACTATCTATTTTTATAACTAACTATCCTAGACAAAAGTTATGTTGTCTATATATAATTCACAGTCCTAGACAAATATAATATTTTCACTATATTATAACGCACTATCCCAAACACACATTACATTGTCTCTATATACCCATTGTCCTAGATGTTACACTGTCTCTATATTATAACCCACTGTCCTAGACAGACATTACATTGTCTCTATATTAAAATTCACTGTCCTAGACAGATGTTACATTGTCTCTATATTATAAACCACTGTCCTTGACAGACGTTACATTGTCTCTACATTATAAACCACTGTCCTAGACAGATGTTTCGTTGTCTCTATATTATAACCCACTATCCTAGACAGATGTTACACTCTCTCTATATTATAACCCACTATCCTAGACAGATGTTACATTGCCTCTATATTATAACCCACTGTCCTAGACAGATGTTACAGTGTCTCTATATTATAACCCACTGTCCTAGACAGACGTTACATTGTCTCTATATTATAACCCACTGTCCTGGACAGATGTTACATTGTCTCTATATTATAACCCAATGTCCTAGACAGACGTTACATTGTCTCTATATTATAACCCACTGACCTAGACAGATGTTACATTGTCTCTATATTATAACCCACTGACCTAGACAGATGTTACATTGTCTCTATATTAAAACCCACTGACCTAGACAGATGTTACATTGTCTCTATATTACAACCCACTGTGATGGAGGGTACAGTTGATAGAAAATGTAGAAGAGGTAGACTTTGGCAAACGTGGATATGAACATTTAAGATGCACTGGCTATAAAAGCACATAGGGCTGGAGAACTAGCTAGAGAAAGAGTGACTTTCAGGCTTGCCATGATGAGAAAGAACTTCTGTAAAAGTCCTGCTGACTGATGGCCAATGATTTAATTCTCATATCCACAGGTATTTTAGGTCTCGCTCTGTCTCATTTGCCCAGTGGGTTATTTACGATGTGCTTCAAAAATACCATTTGTTTAAGGATACGTTAAACCCCAAAATTGAATTTGATTAAATCTGTTGGAAACCATACTTTCTGTAGGTACATACTAGTTAAAGATTGAAAGAAAATTAATTTTGGAACCTAAAATCAACATATTTTTACGGATATTGATAGAAAATTTCATATTTTATGCTGAAAATAGCCACATTTTTACTCAAGATTTGTTAATGTATTTCAAAAACTAATAAAGATGGCTTAATGAAACTTTGCTCACATATTTAACATTATATTTAAAACTGATTGTGCTAAATACTTTTCACTTAAAGTATGGTTTAAAAGTTATGTTCACTTATGTGGTACAATAATATTTTCCCGAAAGAATTAGGGGAAAGGGTTACCATATGTAACAAAAATGCAAAAATATTCAGGCTGTTGTATTTATGTTAGTTCAGTCAGATTAACTTATCATTTCCTATGTGTGTGCCATGTATGAAGACAATATGTTAGTAACTTTTTGAGATATTGTATGCAATGTGGTGAAAGAAAGTCAAAAAGCCCTTGAAGTCAGTTAAATAACTCAATGGCTAGTTAACTATTTACCAAAGTACAATGAGAGAAGCTGTTATCTGTAGGTTCAAATTCCAGAACTGCCTGAGCTAAGCTGAGTTTTAGTTAAGAATTGACATCAGAGCACTCATGGCATTCCTATCTCTCTATTTTAGGCAGTCAGCACAGAGTTCCAGTTCCAAATCTTCTTCTTCTTCTTCTTCTTCGCATTCACCAGCTGTTACTCTGGCAGAAAGTTCTGGCTGTTCATCCACTTTTGGACTGCAGTCCTGTTTCAGAACCTGAGTGTTGCGTGTGTATCCGTTTTACAGATCTGACTCATTTGTATGCACACTGCTGTTTCTTTGCCTTTCAGGCAGATGCATTCTGACTTTGAAGGAAGCTCCCAATTAGTCAACTCTTGTGACATGCTTTTGGGTAGGCAGTGTAGCTATTCTTGTTTTTTTCCTACAATATGGCCCCAGAACCCACTCAAGGAAAATTCCAAATAATAGTAGCAGTTTGATTGTATATCCCTCTTGCCTCTTCTCTGAGTGTTGACTGTTGGCCAGATCTACTGCTCACTTCCTGCTGCATCATCCGTTCTAGCTGTGAGGATCTGTTTGTACTTCAGTACTTTTCAGTCCTAGCTGTGCCTATATCTTTCATTTTTTATACTGTCTAGCATATCTCTGATTTCTGCTTCTCTTTCCTCCACACTTTCAATGGTTGTCAATGCCTAAGTATTTTCCTCAAGTCACTGAAGGATATTTGGTAAGGAATACCCATGGGTTTCTGTTAAACATTTTTTGGAGAAGAGTTGAGTTGAACTGATTCAAGAACCAGCATCACAGCACTCAGGGCATTTCCATAAGGGCTCGGTCCCCATCTTCAACACCCAGTCCAGAGTTCCAATACGAATGATACCAGCAGCATTTTGATTATATGTCCATCTTGCTTTTCCTCTGAGCGTCAATTATCGGGCCAGATCCCCTTCTCACTTCCTGTTGCATCTCTCCCACCAGACTGTGGTCTTCTTCTTTCATTCGCCTGAAATAAGTTGTCAATATCAGCAGTTTTGTCTCTTGTATAAATTTTACTGACGTAGTTAGTTCATTCAGTGGTCCACAGAGTTTACATTCCACTGACTGTGGTGATCCATTTGCTCCTCTGAGTTGTACACATTCTCCTACAAGGCCCTAACCATGTCTGCCTTATCATGCATCAGTATTCCATCAAGTTTTGCAGAGCCAGCCAGTCTGTCTGCCTGTTCATTTCCCACAATACTGGCATAATTGGAGAAAAGATCCAAATAGTTCTCCTCACCCGTGACCTCCAAAGTGAAGCATGTCGCTCTGCACGAAGCATGCCTGTCTTAACCTTGTTCAACATGCTTTCTAAGTCACTTACAATCACGATGCCCGATTTTGAACAAGTGGGTCATAAAAGGTAACTAAGAGCTTGTTGAAACCAGAAACCAGATCAGTGTGTGAGCACAATGTAAATATGTGTGCTGTGTGTTTCCCTGTGTGTGTTTATAAGTAAGTGTCTGTGTGTGTGTCTGTATTTTTGTCTGAGTGTGTGTGTCTCTGTGGGAGTGTGCGTGTGTGCATGTGTGTGTCTCCATGCATGACTGTATTTATGACTGTATGTTTGTATGTGTGTATTACGTATGTATGTATGAATGTATGTATGTATGCCTGTATGTTTGTATCTATATATGTTTGTTTGTGTGTATGTATGCCTGTGTGTATGTGTGTATGCATGTTTGTTTGTATGTATGTATGCCTGTATGTACGTATGTGTGTATGTAATGTATGCATGCATGTATGTGTGTGTAAGTGAGTGGGTGAGCGTGTGTATGTGGGTGTATGTATGCACGCGCGGGTTTTTGCATGCACTTTACAACTCATGCTTTTGTGTTCTTTTATAATATTCATAATATGCATAACATCATATGATCATAACATGCTTTATTAGTAAAATACAACTGCTGTGCGAAAGATGGTTGACTGGAAGGGCCGAATATAAGATGGGCCTGCGTGCCCAATTTGTGACCCTTTGAAAATAAAGTTTGTTCGTTCGTTCGTTCAGATATTTTTGGCCAGAAGGTGCAGAAACTGCTGACTTCAAAAGTGCCAACCACCCTTTTCATGATAAATGCAGAAGAAGAGAGGGAGGAAGCAGAAGAGAAGGAGGAGGGAAAGGAACACAACACAATTACTGGTTGGGTGAAGGAAGCATTAGACTTACTGGTGACCTTTAGCTGAAATGGTGCTAATGCTGTGCCACTGTCATTGCTGATTTCAATGGTGTATTTCCCAGAATCCCCTCTTTCTGACTCTTCAAGAAGAAAGATAAATCAATTTAAGAATGGAATATAATTTACACAATTTATATGTTCACCGCTCGTATAGCTAGAATTCTTCTTCTCTTCTTATTTTTGTTTTCCTTTCTAAATTCTCTTCTTCCTCTCACCTGATTCTGTTCTATTTTTCTTCTCCTTCCACCTCCTCTTCTCATCCTCCTTTCTACTACTACTCCTTCTTTTCTGCAGGTGGTCATGAGTCTCCTGTCCTGTTAGCTTAAACAGCTAACAACACCCCCAAGACCCTTGCATTTGTGTTTGTTGAGGGATAGGGAAGAGAAAGAGAGGCACTATTCGTCCTTTAGTAACACCTTACACTGACTGCTTTTCTTTAAGTGCCTTTGCCTCATTCACTTGCCACATTAAATCACTCTTCCTTACCATTACCATTACTTTAATTCCTTCAAATGTTTTGAAAAAACATTTACACACAGATATAATTTTAATTACTTTCAATGCAACATTAATTCATTGGAAACATCACATTCTTCAGACAGAAGGAGTTGATGCTACAACTTTCTGGAAATAATCCTCTGCATGCTCTTTCTAATGTCTTGTATTAAAACAACTTTACTGGACACTGGAAGAACCAACACCAGCATTGTTAGGCTGCTGTTTGTGATGTGTCTTGATGCTTCATTCCCCCTCTTGTTTGGTTTCCCCCTCATCTGAGTTTGTTTTATTTTTTTAGCATGGCTCTCTGTGACAGCTGGTATCAAGCTTTTGTTTTCTGATGGTCAAATTATCTAACATGATGCTCTTTAATGAATTCTGTGACCGGTTTCAGTGCTAGTCTTCTAATTTCTTCATTTTTAATTTTATCCCCCTCCCCCTTTCTTAAAAAAAAAAAAAGCCCTTCTAAGACAACCAATTTTGGTAGTTTAAATTTTTTACTCATTAGCTGAGGCAAGAGTTCATGTAGCATAGAGATGACCAATAGTTCTTACTGGATTTTCTTTTGAAGACAGATGTAATATTTTATGGTCAAAAATGCTTTTAGTTGTCCCACTACTTGATAAACTATTTTTACACCACACAAACACTATATTTAACCAGTCATACTGACCTTTTATAACAAAAGTAGCAAAATCATCAAACAGACTGATTTTGATGTTATCACTCTCCTGAACCTCCTTCCCATCTTTCTTGACCTTGAGCTCAAAAGGTCCTGTGCCACTAAATGGCAGTTTGACCTTGAACTGATCCCCAGCAGTTATTTTCTGATCCTTGAGTTCTTTCTCCAGTTTTGGTGGAGCTTAAATACAGAACATTATGTGAACAGTCAATAATTATGTATTGTCAGAGAAATGCTGTAAAAAGATAAGTAAAATAAACACTCTTGATAAAAAAAATCTATAAATATTATTTTATTGTAACTAGCCAATGCTGGATACAGATATTGTTTTACTATGTGCATTCTAGTAAATGGAGAAGTGGACAGTTCATTTTTCAACCCCCACCCCCAAGACCCTTGCATTTGTGTTTGTTAAGGGATAAGGAAGAGAAAGCACTTACACAAATATATATATATATCCATACACACACACACACATGCACACAAATGAGCAAAATAAGTAAGCGGTTATGACATAATCACTAACGTGGATCAATGGAAATAACTAAAACTCAGTGGATACAACACATTTTGAGAAATCCTGATTATTTAATTACAATGCCCTTGCATCGGAACCCACAGGGCACATGGTTAAAGTCATAAAGGGAGAATTAAAATAACATGTGGATAAGGCAATTACAGACATATACATCAGATATGGAAGATATGGAGTTACATGCGATGACAAAGGACAGGGCAAGCAAACTAACAGAGATGATATTATTCATACATGATCTAGAACTGCTGTTGCTGCCTCTATTTAATGCTCTGGGGGTGGGAGTGGGGGGAGGGGGGTTGTAAGGGCACAGGAAGGTCTTGAGACTAAGGATTTATGGTTGTATGGCAAGTGCAGTTGCAATAAATTGTGCAGATTAACTCTTTCAGTCCCACAGTATAGCATCAAAGGCCCAAGGGTTCGTAGTGAGAGAGACGTAAAACATCGCAGTTTGCATTCATTTAGCTTCTAGGTAAGAACCTATGAATGTGTGATACATTCCTTGGGACTGAAAGAATTAAGGAAAGATATTTCATTAATTAATGAAGATTTCTTCTTCTCCTTTTGTGTCTGTTGTGTGTCTGTGTGTGTCTGTGTGTGTGCCTGTTCTTAGAAGGGCAGTTGATATGTTTTGCTGCGGTCTATAGTTCCGCTATAGTATCTGTGCCTTTTGGCCCAATACCTCAGATTTTAGCGATCTCCCAAGTAGTCGCCTTTTATGATATGCTTGTTACAAAGCAGTTATGCCTTACAAAAAATGAATTTCAGAAAAGCAATTCATCTGTATTTTTTCATAAAAGGTGGTTGGCACCTTATGTTGGGGTTTACAACTAGTAATCAAATAAATCAGAATATTTCATCTGTTCCTTAAAGTTTTTTTAATTTATTAACAACACCTTGTGACCGTGAGAAAGTCTAGGAAAAAAGAAACTACCGGCAAATTAATCAATCAAGAGGTTGAAGAAAGCATTTTTTAAATGAACTTTATATATCTAATGATCATTATACCCAGGGATATTTTTTTGACTAGGTAGTACCAACCAATGTCTTTTAGGCATCACTTTGTCAGCGCAGCTGCAATATAACTGTGTGGTGTGTGCCAGCACTTTTTGGAGACATGTTGTGGTGAGTGCCAGCACTTTTGGAGACATTTTGTGGTAAGTACCAGAACTTTTTGGAGACATTTTGTGATAAGTACCAGCACTTTTTGGAAACATTTTGTGGTGTGTACCAGCACTTTTTGGAAACATTTTGTGGTGAGTACCAGAACTTGTTGGAAACATTTTGTGGTGTGTATCAGCATTTTTTGGAAACATTTTGTGGTGAGTACCAGCATTTTTTTTTAGACAATTTATCGTGAATGCCAGCACTTTTTAGAGACATTTTGCTATGGCGAGTTCTAGCACTTTTTGCAGACATTTTGTGGTGAGTACCAGTACATTTTGGAGATATTCTGTGGTGTTTACGAGCACTTTTGGACACATTTTGAGGTATATACCAGCACTTTTGGACACATTTTGAGGTATATACCAGCACTTTTTGAAGACCTTTTGTGGTGTGTACCAGCCCCCCCCCCCCTCCCCCCCACCCCCTAAGTAAAAAAAACTTTTTAAAAAAAACAACCTACCAAGAACTGAAAGATGAGCAGTGCATGTTTCCCGTCCCAGTGGATTCTTGACCTCACACACAATGTCTCCAGCATCCTTGTCATAGATTTCACTGATGATGAGTGTATGAATATCTCCATCAACTTTGATCCTGTTTCTACCAGCAGAGCCAACTTCAGTGCCATTCTTGAACCTGTTTATGTTAAACACAATACTGAATTCATTATTTTGCAAACAGACGCTCACAATTGGGCTCACAGGTCTTGCATTCAAAATTAAAACTGGCACATTGAGGCCCATTTTTTTCTCTCAAAACCTGACTTTGACTCCTAGGTCAATTGATTCTAAGATTATTATCAAGTAACATCTTGGGAAGCAAAGGCTGCCAGCATGATGACCACATCACACACTGAGTGGCGACTGGTCTATAATAAATGATAAGAGCCTGTGACATTGGTAGTCATGACTATCCGACTTTCCACAATCTTGTTTCTAGTGTACTTTTAATCAACTCTGACACAGGTGATCCTCCATGCCAAGATGTCAAACTGTCCGTCATCTTTTCTCTCGGTCTCCCTCTGCATCTTCTCCCCTCCAACATTTCTACTGTCATAATGTAATCCAGTGTTCTTCCTCTCATCACACGACCAAAGTATCTAGACTGTCTTGTTTTGATGTAGGCAATCAGTTCCCTGTGTGAAAAAGATAAGGAGAAGATATTATGATTTGAGTGCTTGGTCTGCGACAAACTCAGTACAAAGTATCGGCATACTTAAAGTGACCACTTTTTCAGTGTTTCTAGCCCTTGAGGTACATTGCTGTAGATATCACCCACCTCAATTCGTCTCAGTGACTGGCCTTCTCTTTTAAGCTTGTGACTCAAAGTCTTTGTAGGTCTGTTTGGATATTATATCTTCACTGAGTTCTTGGTCTGCCTCGTTGTCTATAGTTATTCAACTCCCTTAGGAACACAGTTTTTACCTCTCTGTTATCTGCAATTCTCTCTGCGTGCACCAGCCATTTTAGTCCATAAACCCTCATTATGCCACTGATTAATGGTGATTTACTCAGATTGTCAGTTTCATTTTGACCACTGCCTTTTTTTACAACATATTCAGGTTGTCAACTGAAGGTGAATTAAGCTGAAGAAAAAGATATCTAGTCCTTTTGTTTCTTACCATAGAACTTCGGGTGTTGGTGACCCTGTGACCTCTACACTTAACACGGCTTCACCTCCAAGAGCAGCCTTGACATTGTGGAGCTTCTTGACAAAATAAGGAGCATGACCCGCTGAAATATTTAAAATAAATTAAAACTGGCACAAAAGCAACTTATAAATTTTAAGACATGCAGACTGCTGTGTTTCAGTGTAATAGAGAGACTGTAGAGACATTGTGGAGCTTCTTGACAAAAAAGGAGCATGACCGGCTGAAATTTTTAAAATAAATTGAAACTGGCACAAAAGCAACTTATAAATTTTAAGACATGCAGACTGCTGTGTTTCAGTGTAATAGAGAGATGAACTTTCAACAAATAGTGAGGCAAAGAAGACATTATGTAAGATCAGAAGAAAAGTACATGCAGTAATGTGTGTAGACAAAGATAATAACAAATGTATACTAGTTTAGGATTTAATTTTCAAACTGATGTACTCCAGGTGGTGGCTGACTGATTTGCTGGTGACATTTCTGGAAAACTGAGTTCTAAGTTTGATGACTTGGTGTCTAGTTCATCTGAAGCTGTTTTGCAGAGTTCTTCTTTCCTTCTCCAAGGTTAAAAAATAATGTATTATGCAAGAATGACACAGCCTAATGTGTACAAAAATAGTTTAGAGAAATAAAATGGGCCAGCGTAATGCTGACTACATCACTAAGTTAGTGCCAACTGGTCACAACAAAAAATATGGAGCTAGCTTGATACACTCAATATGTCTCAAGATGTGGGCATCTGCGCTTACAACACAGTGTAATCCAATGCAAGTATTGATTAGCTATTGTGTTGTTCCAAAAGTACTTCATTTTAACTGACTCATGTAAAAGTAACAATTTTCTGACAACTGTTATAGCCAATAGTTGGAGTTACTTAACCAAAATACTGTAAATATACCAAGAGAAAGGAATTTATACAGCTTTACAATGCAAAAAAAAACATACCACTTGATAACTTTATCTGAAATGTGTGGGGCACACATAAATGTCTAAAGGACATGAATAAATAAACATAACAAATATCTAAAATAAGAAAAGAATTACTCAGCTATAAATCAGAAGGGTAAAATAAAATATTAATGGTATACACACAACAAAATACTATAAAACAGAACGAATGTGTCTCTGTCTCTCTCTCTCTCTCTAACTTCTCCCACATCATGAACAGTAGCTATGTGAAATTTGCACATTCAATTTAGCTGGCATTTCTTGGTCAACTGAGCTATTTTCAGCTGTCAAGATTCAACATTATTACAATAAAAATCATTGCTGTTTACAGCAGCAATTATTCAAAGTCACAAGCTTGGATTTGAACGTGCTTCTGGCATAGATAGCTGACTGTCAAAGGTAACAGATCCTTTAACATTGTTCACCATCACCAATGATCAACAAGAAATTAATATATTGTAAATAGCAAAGTGGTGACAGAAACTTGTAATAACAGGGTAACTATAATTATAATCAGAATGCTAAGATTTCTTGAAACTTCTGTGATTTGTCACCTGCGCTCAGAACTCTGAATACAGAAAGATATGGTTCTGACTTTACCGCTGCCCTGGTAAAACAGGCAGTCATGTTTGATCGTTGTTGAATAATTTGTACTTCAATTATAAAGGATTCACTTATCTGCTTTATTTATGTTACCATAGTATGCACCTGACAAGATACAGCAAAATATGCCAGGCAATAAATTGTGCAATCTATTGTTTGTGTCTTTTTTGTTCAAATAATTAAAATGAATAAAGGATGGGTATGAATTCTGGGTAATAAAGCTAGTAAATTATAACTGCAGTAAACGCTCACCAATTTTCTCCTTGATTTTTATTGGAGCACATGGCAGACTTGCTTCCCCAGTGCCAGCTGCATTAATGGCAGCAATACGGAACTCATACTCAGAGTTTTCAGGCAAACCAGAAACTGTGAAATTGTTATCAGTCACTGGGTACTCATTAGCTTTTGTCCATAATGACATTCCTTTTTCTCGTTTCTCAATAACGTAGCCTGAAAATGTGAAAAAAATAAGCCCTTTTATAGATGCCTTTTCCTTGTTCTGCTCTGTTCAAATGATCAGTTTACAATAGACTTTAATGGTGAGAATGACTTGTAGAAAGAGAGACACAGGAGGGCAACATAAGAAGATTCTTGACAAGTCTTTTGCTGCTGCAGTTTGTCTGCTTCAAGATTGCAGTCCACAAAACTGACACCTCAAAGATGAGAATCCTACATGTACGAACCCCAGTAAGCCCTGTTCAACCATGAGGTTATACTGCCTCCATACCCCCTCCCTCGATGGTTACAAAGTAAGAGTCCTGACCAGTCAGGGACATGGCACAGAGGGGTTTCAGGACACGAAATCATTCAATGTAGGTTGTGGAGAGGCATGCGTGGCCACGCCGGTCGGCAACACACTTGATGATGATGATGAATTGTGAAATACAAATAACATACCATACTGGAATAATGTGTAACTATCTGTAATACTTCTGCAAACCAAATGAGTTTTACAGCTGGATGTTATGGTATATTGTAGACAAACAATAAAAAATATGACTAATGTGGCAAAAGTAACATTATAAAAAGCAAATGATCCCATAAGCCATCAGTACAAAAGAACATTTATTAACTTAGCCAATAACTTATCTTATAAGAAAAATGCAACAGGAAATAATTATTCTTTTAGAACCTGAATTATTTCCCTGTGTGGCTTCTGGTCCCCACTGTTGGGGGTAAAAAAATGAGACCCGCTGACCCCTAACAAGCATTTTGGAAGAGTTGATCAATTAGGATCTTTCCTCTAAATGTGGAGTGCATCTCCTTGAGAGGTGAGGAACCAACAGTCTGCATACAAATAAGCCAGATCTGTAAAATGGATATGCATGTAAAACTCAAACTCTGAAACAAGACAAAGTCCAGAAGTGGACAAGCAACTAGAACTTTTTGCCAGAATTAACAACTGGTAAACACAAAGAAGAAGAAGATACTCAAAGTACATCATGATGACAAATATGTGAGGAATCTTCTCTTAATTTGGTAATATTTTAATTTGAAAAGAAGTGACCTGTGATTTTAGAGCCACCATCGTTTCTTGGTTTATCCCACTTCAGTTCTACAAATGTCTTTCCAACCTTTGCTGCCTCAGGAACTCCAGGAACAGATGGCTTGCCTAATAACAGAACAATGACATTTTCTTGCATTTCCAAAGTTTGAATGTTTTGAGAAAATGTTAAAAAATAATTATTCATAGTAATACTGGTTGGCTGATGCTCCTGTGAAAGAGTTTTTTTACTTTTACTTTTACCTGGCATTCAGGTCTTCCATAACCTGTGTAGTTCACCAACTATGGGCTAGGTCTGTCTCTCCTTTGGCTCATAGTAGCCGCCAGCATGGACAGCAACCACCCCCAGGGAAGCAGCTTTTCTAAACCAGTAGAACACAGCCAACCTAGTTTTAACCAATCAATAATTTAGGGCACGCCTACACTGCATGTAAAGACTGGATTCAGCAGATTGTGCAGATAAAACCCCCTATGGTTCAATGGACAAAAAAGTGACTACCAGCATGCACCGTGGAGAGCTTTTAGCATAGCAAAGTACACAATAATGTAGTAATGAGCTAGCAGACCAACTGGCAAGCAATGCACCAAAGCATGTGGGAAGAAGCATTGAGAGAGCAGATATAGTCAACGCTGTACAGACTGGTCTGGTCCATAATGATGAATCACTGACACTAACACAATTGCGTGAAATGGGAGTAAAGCATGGTGAAGCATGTCTATGCCGCCTTTTAGGCTGAGATAGGAGATATTATAACCAGCTTCTCATGGGAACAATTAGAAGAAGTACCTTGGAATGGCTGCTGCATCAGAGGACTGAGCACACACGGGAATGCCCAATGTGCAGTGAGGTCGATTGTGATAACATAATATTTAAAAAAAAAAAAACACTGGTCTGCCTCAGCACCTGGACACATCTCCACACATCTTGATTTAGTTGGATACAGGTAGAAGAGTAATGTAAAAATTTGCACAACTCTTCTTCATTAATATCCAGTTCATCATGCAAGTCATCCTTTCATCCACTCACTCATTTTATTCACAAATTCTGTGTCTGTGCAAAGTTCAGTCTTATCACAGGTAAATAGGAGTTGACTGCAAGAAATGCTAAATATTACACAAAATGTGACTAAAAAGCTCAACAGAGGCAATGAAAAAGACCCACAAAAACACAACCAAACACCTCAACCAAACAAGTAAGTACTAAATACAACACACCCTGTGACTGGAAAATGAACGGAAATGGACAAGACAACAGAGCTAACTAGAACAAAAAAGAAAAGGCCCTTAAAAGTCGAGTTGATTGCAATAAATGCTAAATATAACGGAAAATGTGACTAAAAAGCTCAAAGGAGGGAATCAAAAAGACCTTGGTTTTTTATTGCCTCTGTTACTTTGTTCACTTTGTTTTCCAGTCACAGTCTGTGTTGTATTGAGTTAGATTAGTTGTGTATTCTTTACAGGACGTTGCAGAACCAACCACAACAGCCCCTGGCTGTTGCATGGTTTTTCTAGGCAAATTTATGTCCAGTAGTTTGCCATTGCTTTCTGGGTGGTCGGCTTTCTTGATACGACTGTCAAAACCAAAGCAAAGCGCATGGCCCGCAGCTGGGATCGAACCCGACATCCCGGCATTATGAAGCGTTCGCATCGACTTAGCCACATAGCCGATACTGTATTGAGTACACCATTGATAAAGACTTTGGTTGAAACGTTCAGTTGTATTTGTGTGCATCTTTTCCATTTCCTCCGTTGAGCATTCCACCCACCCACCATCTTCCTAGCAGATAAAAGGACTCGCTATCACCATCATTTTTGATAGATGAAAAAAGAAACAACCTCTATCACCTGGTATGGTATCATAAAGCATTCTCTTTAAGTGAGCAAACCTTTTTATTTGTTGTTTTTGTACGCAATGCAATCCTTATGAGTTGAGTGGAGTTGAGTCAAGAGCTTACATCACAGCACTAGGGGCATTCCCATACATGCTTCATCCTTATCTTCAGCAGCCAGTGCAGGGTTCCAATACTGATTGTACCAGTCACAATCTGGTTATATGTCAATCCTTATGACTTAATTCCAAAATGTATCTAAATCTCTCCTGGTCACTCCTACAGCCTTTCTCATACATTTAATGTCCATGGTTACTAATTTTCTTTTATCCTTTGAATATTCTCTCCAGGTTCTGCTGGTGTCTTGTGAAATGAGCAGGCAGATAGACTGGCTGGTTTGGCATCACTTGGTGGTGAATTGATGTATGACAAGCTAGATATTGTTAGGTCCCTCTAGGAGCGAGTGAACAGTGTGGAAGCACAAATAGATCAGTACGGTCAGAGCAGAATGGCGCTGTGGGGAATTACCAGTGGATCTGGCCGACGCTCAACACTCAAGGGAAGAGCGAGGCTGATATACAATCAGTTACTGGTGCCATTGGAATAAGAACTCTTTGTCTGCTGCTGAAGATGGGGATGTCCCGAGTGTTATAATGTTGATTCCTAATTCAACATTCAACAATAATCTTCTTTTCTGGTTTGTTGTGAGTGACCATGTCTGGCTTTGGTAGCATAGAGTAATTCTTGCTCTAGGGTACAAACAACTTTAGAACAGACTTTAAAGTTAGATATGATTATCTGGGAACTGTACCAGTTAAATTTGTTTATCATTATTGTTGTGTGCAATCCGATAATCCACACTACGGGCAACCGATAGTGAACATGAGGTATGACGAGGACACGAGGTTACTTGCCGACATAAATTTTTTAGACAGATGACAGTTGCAAGAAATGTGTTAATGGCAGAGGTTGGAAACTAGGATTAACTGTATTTTACTTGATGCCGCAGTTGGCGGGGAGCTTAGGCTCTGTACTCTGGCTTAGAGGTGAAAGGAGTTCTTCTACTTGATGCTGCAGTTGGCGGGGAGCTTAAGCCCATTGCTCTGCCTTAGAGGTAAAAGGAGTTATTCTAATTGATGCTGCAGTTTGCGGGGAGCTTCGGCTCGTTGCTCCGGATTGGAGGAAAGTAATTATCTAACCGTCGTTTTAATACAGTGACTGTAATATATGCATTTCATTGACACCATTTATGTCTGTGAGGTATTGATTAATAAACTTCTTTGATTTGCCTGTCAACAACGTGTTTGTAGCAGTTTCAACGGTTGACTTTGTTACGGCGTATTCCAGCCCGCCGTTGGTCTTTGTCATTGGTTACCCCTAGCAAATAGTTTACTTGGAATTTGTACGGCATGGATCCGGGACTACACCTCATGGCCTAATTTATGAACAGAATATCAACGTACAGTAATGGAGACCAAATAAGAGCCGTACAGAATGGGAGGCCAAGCCGCTCCGTGATATTTAATTTTCTAGATCCTGTGGAATTGATGCTTCGTACATACGTTCAGGTCAGCGTGGTCATTACACTCAAGCATGTTGTCATCAAGCGTTATCAAGTTGCTGTCATTATTTGAGATGAAATCACAATCACTTCTGAACACTTTCGTGGTACCATTATCATCATTGGATTTACAAGTCACTATTACTGCTAAACACTTGCTGTGGATCGTTATCATCTTCATCGTATTTACGTGTCATCGTTGGATTTACAAGTCACTATTATTGAAAAACACTTGCGTGGACCGTTATCATCGCAGCGTCACTGCACTCACGTGTCATCGGATTTAAAGCACTTGACGTTGGATATCTTTCGCAGCGGCTCGTCACTGGAGTTTGTGTACATCAGCTCATCATTGGAGTCTTTGCACACCTACCACATTGTTGGAAACACATCGGGTAATGTTTTTTGTTGCTGGTTCGTGTGTAATTGCTGCGTTTGCTCTCATTATAGTGGCCGAGGTGTCAGTGTCACTGATTGTTCTCGTACTGTGTATTTGATAAATAATTTGTATCTTTTTTCGCGGGAGGTTGGAGCGGTGCGCATTCAGAGTATTATCCTAAAACATCGAGGATGGTGTGTTGAATGCTGAATTCAGCATCGGATGTCGTAAAAGTGGCCTGGAGTTAGTGGGGTACTTTAATAGTATAAGACTTTTGCGATCTCTCTTGCTTTACTGTCTGCGTCTAGTCTGTGACGGTTCTTGACGTCATTCTTCGTGTTATCGTTCCGTAATTTCTAAGTGTAATTTCTTTTTTGACAGGCAGTTTGTATCGTCATTAGTTTTCTAATTCGTCAATTCCACAGCGTCGCTTTGTACGTTCGTTGGATTGATTAGTGTGTTGTGTCATTACGTTATATTACATATTGCTGTGTTCTGTAAAGCATATAGTCCACAAATATACGCGTAATTTATAATTCACATAAGAAAATTACATCTTTTGTGGAGTTCATAGAGCTGGGTCGTTCCCTGGGTTTGGACTCTGATAATCGTATCGCCTTCGCCGAGGCTAGAACTAGGGATAGGGAGGCTCAAGAAAAAGAAATTGTGCTTCGTGAAGAAAGAGCACAAGACAGGGCGCAGAGAAAACTGGAGGCAGAATTGCAAATTCAGATACTTAAGGCAGAGAAGGAAAAGGCGGAAGCAGTGGCACAGAAACTCGAGAGGGAATCACATCTGTAGATTGCTCTAGAGAGAGAGAAGACAGAACTACAACTTAATCTAGCTGAGGCAGAAAGGCAAAAATCTAAAGAAGAAGAAGAGTTAAAAATTAGGCTTGAAAAAGAGAAGATTGAGACTCAACGATTGCTTCAGGAGAGTGAACTAGCTCTAAAAAGAGAACAACTTCTGCAGAGCATGCAGGACAATGATAAACGACAACAGCTTAAGGAGAAGGAGCTGGAGTTGTCCTACAAACAACACCAACTAAAATTCAACACTGAGCTGGAAATTGCAAAGGTTGAGAGAGATAAGTCTATCGCACTCAAAGAAGCAGAAGGCAGGATGTGTGAGGAATCAAATTCAAATCTCAGACATGACTGAAGTGGTGGCGTATACAAGCCAAGGTTGCCTTTTTTAACGTGTAACAACTCTTTACATGATTTTCTTCAACATTTTCAGGAGACCATGACGGGGGCAGAGATACCGGAAGCGCAGTGGGTATCTCGTCTCAGGGACTTACTAACAGGATCGGGTTAACCACTTTCACCAACCTGTCGCTGGAGGACAGAACGTCGTTTCCGATTGTGCGTCAAAAGTTGCTAGAATCGCAGAATTTAACTGCAGAGGGGTATCGGAAACGTTTTTAAAGACATTATTCCATCGACAGAGATGAGTTTCGGCAGTTTTGTGGCCAGTGTGAGGACACTTTTTTCCAGATGGACAACGCTCGCTGAGGTGGATGGATTATATGATCGCCTGGTGGATCTGATAATTCAAGACAAGATACTATCTTGTTGCAGTACGGAGTTGTGTGTATTTTTCCAAGAGAGGAAACCCACCACGGTTGACGAGATGGTGAAACTAGGCGAACAGTACATGAGTGCACATCCAGGAAGAGCACTTCACAGGGAGAAATTCCCTGATGCATTTGCAGCCGCATCGAGCATGCGAGTAAACCATTCAAGGGGTTCAGATGTCGACTCATGTAGGAAACCCCCAAGAGTTAAGACACATGAGCATGAAAGGTCGCATAGTGAGGATAGATCGAGGCGACCCAACAGATCCAGGGGTTGGGCAAAATCAATCACCCAGATATTACAGCAGGTGTGGAGGTTGTGGATATTGTTTGTCCTGGCGCCATGAATCAAATCGTTGCCCAGATCAAGGCAGGAAACAGGACAATGATGGGTACTCAAATCGTGACAGGAGACCAGAACGTAAAGCAAATCTGAAATGTTACGTATGTAACGGTTCTCTTCTGAAAAGGAATTGTCCAAGATTGTCACTGAGGCAGGGCAATACTGTGCAGGTAATGCGGGTTGGCAGCAACAAAAGTAGAGCCCCAAGGGAAACTATTCAGGTAAGGGTGCAACATGAGATCACATACCCTGCTTTGTCTGCTTTGCCGACGGTGGGGGGATTGCCACTGTATTTTGGTTACATTGGAAGGGTGAGGTGCACTGTGCTCCGGGACTCCGAGGCGAACATAATCGGGGTTGCAAGACACCTGGTACCCGCTTCTGCATATACGGGAAAATATGCCAAGTGCCGTACATTCGGGGGGTACTTAGAAAAGTATCCTCTTGCTATTGTGAAAATTCGTTGTCCCTATTTTACAGGCGTTGCTGAGGTCTGTGTGGTAAATCGTAGCTCGGATATCATTCTGGGTACAGTTCCTGGTGTGAAGTCCTGCACACAGGAGGAAATTGAATGCTGGAACCATGAGAACGATGTCGTTGCTAATGCTGTCACAAGGGCACAACAGCAGAAAGATATAACATCAGAGGCAGCAAATAAATTAACAGAGGTAATTCACCCAAAGGCAGTGGTGTTCGAGAGTGGTGTGAACGAAGATGCATCGGTTACAGGTTCAGTATCACACTCTGCACAATCATTTGCTGAGGTGCAGCGTGCAGATCACACGCTGGATAAATGCTTCGAGAAAACAAGGACGCCGGGCTATAAGGTTACCAAAAATGGTAAATGTCAATTTTTCTTGAGGAATGGCTTGTTGATGCCTTATTTCGAATCGGCGCAAACTTACAAACAACTGGTGGTTCCCAAAACATTCAGGGAAGATGTGCTGAGGACAGCGCATGACACACCCTTCGCAGGTCATTTGGGTATGGGCAAAACACATAGGCGCATTTTATCACAATTTTACTGGCCCGGCTGTTCCACGGATGTCAAGAAATACTGCAAATCATGTAGAGAATGCCAGATTATAGCACGAAAAGATTCGGCTCAGCGTGCACCAATTCAGGGGACTTATTTACCATATCGTCCTTTCGAGAAGGTGGCAATTGACATTGTGGGTCCGCTATCTGTAATGTCTAACAGAGGTTATAGGTACATTCTTATTTTTCTTGATCTTGCGACTCGTTGGCCTGAGGGGATTCCTTTAAAAAAAACATTACCACAGAGACGGTGGCGGATGCCCTAATGTCAATATTTTCTAGACTGGGTTTTCCGGACACCATTTTATCTGATCATGGTACTCAGTTTATTTCTGAGACGATGCAATCGTTTGACAAGCTGTTGTCAATTGCACATGTATTTTCTGCCAGATTCAACCCACAGGCAAATGGAATGGTCAAGAATTTTAATGGGCGTTTGAAGGCTATGTTGGCAAAGGTCACCGCTGAGTTTCCAGCCGATTGGGATCGTTATTTACCCGCGGTATTGTTTGCCTACAGGGAAGTTCCCCAGGCAAGTACAGGATATTCACCATTTGAACTCGCGTATGGTGCGAATCCGAGAGGCCGATTGTCTATATCAAGAATCTCTGGACAAATCGGGACAGAGAAGGCGTCTCCCAGACATACACACAGTTTGTAACTGAATTACATCATAGTAAGGAAGAAGGATGGAACCATACGTATATGTATAGACTACCGCAAGCTTAATCGCATTACTGTGATAAATGCAGAGAATATGCCAAACATAGACGATATGTTCCATAGTTTGGCATTGGCAACAGCAAGGTTCTTCACTAAACTAGATTTGTCAAAAGGGTATTGGCAGATCCCGCTGGCGGAGGAGTCCAAACAATTCACGGCTTTTCAGTCCCCTCTAGGTTTATTACAGTTTAAATATATGAGTTTCGGTCTGACCAATGGTCCGGCCACCTTCACTCGTCTAGTTAGGAAACTGGCTGTCGGTCGTTCCGACTTGATTTATTATTTGGATGACCTTTTACTATTCCATGACAATTTGAATGACCATCTTGCTTCTTTAAAATCTCTTTTTGACAAAATCAGAGCGTTTGGGTTAACAATTCGTCCTTCTAAAATACAAGTAGCCTTTCAAAAGCTTACTTTTTTGGGCCATGTAGTTGGTGACTGTATTCTTCAACCGGGTTCACGCCCAGGGGTAGGCAGAAAAGCCACATTCCTTCCAGATTTACGGTATCTATTATGGAATCAAGGCTGAAGGGTTGCCATATCCATAGTACCGATTCAAAGGGTTAACAACTCATGGTTTCTGGATACTTTAAAACAAATAATTATAATTAAAATACTTTAAAAAAAAAATTAAAGTGTTATGAGTGACCATGAATGACACTGGTCACATAAGGTGTGAAGAAATGATGCTGTGTATGAGATTTTTCTCTGTGCTAACTTGGACTGTGTCATCCAGTAAGGGTGCTAGCGGTAGCCCATCCCAGCAGTTAACAACAATAATACTTACTGTATTTAGGCTTGACATGAACTGGTCCTGTGCTATCACTGGGGATGCCCAAGCCAGCAGCATTCTTAGCTCTGACACGGAATTCATACTCGGTGTCATTTTCTAGCCCTTTAACTGCAAACAGGGAGACATTATTTCATAAATTTAAACTGAAAAACATTACACCAACACTGAAATATTTTTTATGTTAAAGTAACGTTAATTCACCCAAATAAAGTAGGTCACTTTTTATTCACAAATTTGTTGGACTGGTCAACTTTCCTAAAGGTTACAGATGTGTTCCGCTTTGTTGTTTGCTTTCTGCGCTGTCTTGTATTTACGTTTTCATTCCGAGAAAGAGAATGCCTGTGACATAGTTTGCAGCACTCTCTAGGGGGGTTGTGTTAGGGCCAGTTTATCCATGTTTTTGGTGTGTTAAAAGCGCTGTTGTGCTGAAATATACAACATGCGATATCAACAGCATTGCGGAACACCCCCATAACCTTGTGCTAAGGTGACAGGTTCAGGAACTACCAATTAGAAGTGAGCTAGTGTTTATATGGATGAGGCGTGGGGAGACTAACGTTACGTGTACCATTTTTTATTATATGAATATCCCCCCCCCCCCCCCCCTCTTCCTCCAGCCAGCATTACTAAATATTAACAAAATAAAGAAAGGATGCTTGAGCACTAATGGAACATCAGGCAAAAAATGCTAGGCTCAAAGTTTTAAAGACCATTTGGCACTCGGTGGGTGATGTGGTCTACATCATGGAGGTTACTTTTACTTCTCAGGACATTACCTGGTACCCTTTATGGTTGGTTGGCCTGGAAGCCAAACTCAAATCTGAAAAAAAAACAAAAAACTTTAGACCTTTGGGTCAGGGGATGGGCATCTAGCTGCTATTATATCATGGTTCCTTTACTAAATAGAACTTGTGGTCAAAAAGTATGAGCAATAAATGAAATATTAATCTAACTTTTATTGCTTATCTCTCTTGCTGCACACCTTGTGACCGTTGGTTCCTTTCTATCTTTCCTACTGACAGTGTTACATTGTGCTAAAGGAACACATGGGAATCACAGTCAGTGGTAATGGCTAGTGAGACTACAGACCAGCTCATATTAACCCTTTCATCATGGCAACACTAACAAAAATGGGGCCTTGACCCTGTAGGAATTCCAGAAAAATCTCTCCCGGCTCTTAATCTCTCTGCAAGCATTTTCTACATTGTTCATAATACCTTCCTGACATTCTCTGTCCAAGCAACATAATCCATGACATCTTGTTCACGTGAATCAACCTCAATATATGTATCATTCATGTCCTGCTTGCACATATTTTGATACTGTAATTCAAACTGACTTCAATTTCTAACTCTTTATGATCTAGGTGTATGTAACATTTATCAAAAAATAAACTACATTCTATGCTATAAAAGACATCCCATACAACAGGCCCCATTTAGATGGTATTTAAAACTATTACAAAAGTGTTACCAAAGAAAATATCACAATTGTAACTTAGTTCCCTGACATAAAGTAATAACATTATGCTGTATCAACTATAAAATGCTGGAGAACCAGTATTTGCAGCTAGCAATGGGTAGCAAATGACTCACCAGTGGTATACCAGGTACATATGGTGCTAGAGCCCATATTTTTTTACAGACCACACAGTTAAGGCTAACAATGTTCATATACTCATTTCTTTTAACATATGTTTTTAGTTAAATTTCAGCACTTGCACATTTAGTCTTACTTTTGTTTCCTTCACTTTCTTTTTTGTGTGTGTGTGTCTTCCTCAGAATTATATAATTTACCTGTTGCCATAGTCTCCTTTAGTGGAACTTCATTGTAGGTTTTCCATCTATTGGAGGAAGGTTCTTTGTACTCTATAACATAACCATCCAGCTTCTTGCCTCCGTCACTCTTTGGTTTGCTCCACTTCAAGGTCACAGATGCCTCATCAACATCATCAACAGCTACTTGCACAGGAGATTCTGGTGTGGCTTAAAATACAAATTGGAACATGCTATCACTTGACTGCTCATTTGATAAACAGCTATTTCAAGAATGCCTGCTATTTTAAGCATTACATTCACTTACATTTGTTAAATCTGACAAAGGCCCAAGAACAGCTGAAAACTCAGAAATTCATTGATGTACGCGTGCTTAGTGACTCAATGAGCATGCTACAAAAGATCAAGGCTGGGTACAAACGTTAACATGGTTCTATCTGATTCAGCATGCAGCAATTTGCAAAATCACCTTAATTTCTGTCCCGGGGCATGCTGGTGTGAAAGGCAATGAGAGAGCAGACTCTGGCTGGCAGTGCGACTATCAGGAATGAGCCCTCTATGGACAGGAGAGACACCATCAATGCCATATGAGGGACTAAATGCTGTGGGGCTTTCAGTTTCATGGAAAATGATTTTTCTCTATAGACTGCATACCCTGGGTGTACCAGTTGGAGATGTGAGACAGGAAAACCATGCGGGAACCACCCATCATTACATCAACCAGAACAGAATGGGAGTTGTTAGCCTAAAAACACTTGGAGACATACTAAAGAGAAGATCAGAGCACTTATGGTCACGCCTGATGTGTGATGAAGATGATCTCCAACATGAACTATGAACTACATTTGCTAAGTTACATACACCTGCAGGCACACAACATGGGCTTCCAGTTAGAATGGTAATACAGGTAAAATCTGCCCACAAAGGACTACAACGTCACCAGGGTTTAGCCATTATTATCATCAGCTTTGTCCTGTCATACCATTACATGTCAAATAAGAAAATACAGGTTGACCACCAAGACGGCAGACACAGGAGGTGAAGGATACCATAGGCTTGAATGTTTACGAGTCAGACAAACTGGCAGAAGATCGAGTGGATTTCAAGCATGCCTTGACACAACAGCTATGTTCTGCAAAGGCTTGAATATTCATGAGGCAGACAAACTGGCAGAAGATTAAGTGGATTGCAAGCATGCCTTGACATGACAGCCATGTTCTGCAAAGACTTGAATATTCGTGAGGCAGACAAACTGGCAGAAGATTAAGTGGATTTCAAGCATGCCTTGACATGACAGCCATGTTCTGCAAAGGCTTGAATATTCATGAGGCAGACAAACTGGCAGAAGATTAAGTGGATTTCAAGCATGCCTTGACATGACAGCCATGTTGTGCAAAGGACCTACTATATGATGATGACTGATAAGTGCATAAAAAACACCTAGAATCATTTTTATTAAAAGAGAAAGACAAACACAAAGTCATTTATAACTTACTGAATTGATGCTGAGCAACTGTGGAGAATACAGTCTCTAGAGGTTCTCCAACTCCGTGTTCATTCTCAGCACTGACACGGAAGTTGTAGGCATGGCCTGGTGTCAGACCCAGAACTTCATACTTTGTTCCACGGACAAACTTACTAACAGGCTCCCATCTGCCAGTGGCCTTGTCCTGTTTTTCAACGATGTAGTTACTGACTGAGCTACCACCATCCTCCTTGTCAAGACAGAGAAAAAAGTGGACAAAGGAATATTATTTCAGTCTCAGTTTCAAGTGGCTTCATTTTCTTTGCTGCTAGTGTAGTATGTTTCTGTCTACACTTTATGATTGTAACAATTCTTCTCCTTTAGCATTCCAAGCCCCTGATGGTTACTGCTGCAGATATTGCCTGTTACTATTCATCCCTGTGACCAGCCTTCTCCATCCAGTCAATGACTCCAGATGTTTGTAAATCTTCTTGTATAGTGACTATTGGGCCAGCAGAAATGCATGCTAGACACCATCACCAAGGCTCCCGATATAATTATGCACTGTAATAACCTAATGCAATTTCAATTCTGTAACATGCAATTATAATTTTCGTATCTAGTGACACTATAAAAAATATTTAAAAAAAATTAATAAAAAAAAAATCAAAACTGGAAAACAAATTTAAACTTTGCTCAGCAAATTTACATACAAGACAGAATTAAAAACCCTCAAACATATGCTACAATCAAATGGGTATCCAGCTGGGTATCTCATGCACCACTGCCAGTCACCTAAGCCAACTACCAGAAAACATTGGTTCCAAAGCAATTAACATCTATATCCATTAAACATTCTGAGGAGCTGATGTTCTGAAACGTTTATATGACTACCTCAAAATATCTGTCCTTCATACTTTCTATGCTGCTGTGCAAATTATCAGGTTTAAAACTAGCTGAAATAATGATACAAATTGTGTAAATATTTTGCAGGAGATTGGGTTAAGAAGATAAAGCCTTGTCCATAACATGCTATCTTTTGAACTCTGGTAACATTGTTAACATCTAAAAAAATCATCAGATCCTTTGTTGGTCAACAAATCTTCTTTAATTTGCCAAAACTGACATGATAAAATGTGCCTACTGTGAGTTGTGCAGACATAATTGTGAACTTGTGTTTTGCTGGTAAAATAGGCAACTACTTTTGAGTATGATGGATTTAGTATTTCAGTAGAAAAGATTAATTTATTTGCTTCCCTATATTTTATTATTTCTGTAGTATGCACTTGACAACTTGCAGCTAAGTATGCCTTGGAATAAATTGTAGTCTTTACTTTCTGTTTACATTTACAGCAAAGAAACATTGCTTCAAAAGTGTAACACTTTTTAAAAAAATCTGTCTGTATGAATAGTACATATAAAGGCAAAGTCTATTTAGTATTTTTACCTTTGGAGGATTCCATGAAAGTGTCATAGATTCTGGTGTCACGTCAGACACCTCCAAGGGACCCTCAGGTTGTCCTGGAGCATCTGTATACATTAAGATACATTTATTAAACTCTCAGTGTCTCTCTTATGATTTAAATTATCATCCTTAACTTGTATCATTGTGTAGGTTTTAAGGCCCCATTTTGGAAAAACTGCCAACTGCCGACACCCCCCCCCCCCCACACCACCACTCTATCATGCAGGTTATAAAAAGTGACTAATTAGGGTTTTGCTAAAATTGGATGTGTTGAGCCAGAAGGTGTGGATATTGCAGCTTGGCTGTAAACTACAACACAACATGTCAACTGTCCTTTTAAGGGTAAATGTAGAAGAAGTAGAATCAGCTCCAAATATTTTCACTTGCCATCCACTCACTGAATTTTTATATTTATCCTATTGAGATAAATGGGAAATAATTTGGCCCAGTCAAAAACTGTATTATAACAACTTTGCTAACAGTGTGTGACCCTGAGCACAAGCAATCAATTACAAGGGTCCGAAAGAGACGGCATAAAAAAAAGAGTTGCTGGGAAAAAAACCAGGCGATATATTTCAGCTACATTAAAAGACATCAACATCACACACTTTTAAAAACCTGTGTGGTCTCAAGACATGATGTCCGCCTTGAGTGCTAGAGGTTCCAGGTCCAATCCCTGGTAAGGGCTGGAATTTGTTCACGTATACTTGGACTTCTAGTAATTTCCTCTGGTGTCTGGGTAATGAGATTGGATGCCCGTGTGCATTTTTGCGCATGTAAAAAATCCCTTGGCAGTTGGAAATCGAAAAGAGTAGCCTAATAGTGCTGCCCGGACAAAATTTGGAGTTAAAAATCTACCCAAAGTATTTCAGGATCCTTGCCGGTACTACAGAGCCTGTGCACTGTGCTGAGCTTCTTCGGACTCAGACTTGAGTTAGAAGAAGACCGGAGCACTTATGGGTTACTCTCCGTGTGCCATGATGTTGATCCAATGTTGAAAACCTCAGAACCTCAAACCTTTTAAAAACCATACTGAAAAGGCAAAAGACGAAGCCAAGACAGCAAAAAGTAGACAATGATAAAGATGTTTAACTCGTACAGTCCCAGACAGCTGTCATATCTTATCTTTAAGTCTGTTCTAAAATGTTTGTACCCTAGAGCAAGAATTACTCTATGCTACCAGTGCCAGACATGGTCACTCACAACAACCAGAAAATAAAATTAGCAACCACGGAAATAAGATGTCTGAGAAGGGCTACAGGAGTGGTCAGAAGATATTAAATAAGAAATGAGGTCATAAGAGAAACAGTCAGCATAAAACCAATTCTAAATTACATAGAAAGACAGCAAATCAAATGGTTTGCCCATTACAAGAAAATGCTTTGTGACACCATACCATATAAGGCATACATCAAAAGAGAAGGACCTAGAGCAAGAGGTAGACCAAGAACTGACTAGAAATATAACATTAGAGAAACATTACAACAGCACGATGTGTTAATGGCTGAGGTGGCCATAAGAGTAGGAAGCAGAACCTTATATCTCTCTCGACACCTGAAGCAGTAAAAGTGGAAGTGAAGAAGAAAAGGGCTTTTGGACACAAGTAGTTATAGTAGCAACTGAGACAGAACGAGATACAATAATACAAGACACTGACCCCAAAAAATTAAAGAAATTGGTAGCTTATATCTAGTAATCAATGAACATATTATGAGTTTCCTAGTACCGATGAAAGGGTAACTTCTAAAGAGTAACTAATGAAACACTATGTGTTTCCTAATGCTGAAAAAGTTAAAAATAAGGAGGCAGTGGCACACAGGAGCAGCAGTCTTGGCTTAATGACTTAATGAAGTGAGGGAGAAGAAGTTATAGGCAAAAGGAAATGTCCATCCCTTGTAATATGAAACAGGAGAGTGTTTAACGTTCATGAGGTGTGTTCAGGACATATAGCTGATAACTGCCCCCACCCCTTTTTCCCCAAATATATTGGGGCCTTATTATAACAAAGATGACCAGCCATACAGAAAGGAAAGGTTGAAGGCATATGAGCAAGAGGTAGACAAGGATAAAAATGAGAGGATAATAATAAGAAACAGTCTGAGAGAGAGAGAGAGAGAGAGAGAGAGAGAGAGAGAGAGAGAGAGAGAGAGAGAGAGAGAGAGAGAGAGAGAGAGAGAGAGGAGGGGGGAGTTGGAGTTCTACTGTAATCAACTTTCACACTGTGAAATTGATTTAAAAATAAAAAAGAAGTCTCACCTACAACAATGACATTCATGGCTATGCTATCAGATCCCTTTTCATTGGTTAAAATCAGAGAGTATTTCCCAGCATCCTTCAGCTCGGCACTTTTGCATTTCAATGTGATAGAATCTGGCTTGATTTCGAACTTAATGCGGCTGTTTTCTTGGACTGGCAAGCCACCCTTGAGAACAAGATAAAATTCTTATTGAGTATTTGCATTCAATCTATAATCAGGTGCCATCTCTAAATGAAGATTGGCTGCAATGGATCTGCAACACTCTCTGTTGCTTGTTTTGGTAGCTAACTCTCTCAGACTGATGTTCATTCATTTCTTCATATTGTCCTCCCACTTGCATCTTTAAATGTGGAACAAACATTTCAATTGTCTCTTTTTTTCTTTCAGTACAACTCTTTCATCCACAGTCTCTTCAGAACCATTGTATTTGATCATTTCAAGTATTTGCCTTACAAACAGCAGCTGTGGTAGTGCAAGGACTAGGTAGGTGCCTGCATTCTTTTAAGTCCTCCTTTTCTTCTTCACTTCTTCTTCAACCGCTTCGTCAGAGGAGACATAAGGTCCTGCTACTTGTTCTACTGGCCACTTCTACCATGAACACATCATGCTGTTATATTCTCTAATGTTATCTTTCCATCCTGTTCTTGGTCTAATCTGTGCTCTACATCCTCCTGCTCTTTTGGTGATTTTCAGTGGATGTCATTAACAGATGTTCTGCTGAATGTCTGTGAATCCTCAAATGTGAACCATAAATCAGGAGAATTTGAAGGCTGTGCAGAAGTAGTGTCTGTTTCAAATGTTATACACATTGGACAGCTAGCACAGTGAACAATGACTGCTTAGAGCAAGTTAATGAGAGCTCATTACTACCAAAACTGAAGTAATGCAGGTTAGCTGAATGCCTAGTCAGCTACATATCGCGTTGAATGGTACTTGTCTGAAGCAAGTTAAAGAACTTAACTTAAATATCTAGGAAGTATATTCTTGGATGATGGGAGAATAAATCGGGAAACAGAAACAAGATGCCAATGAGCCTGTGCACTTATATACCAAATGACGCTGTTATTAAGACATCCAAATATAAGTATGAGCGCCAAGAAAAAGATTATAAACAGCATATTCATACCAACACAATGCTACTAGTGTTAGACATTATAAAACGCTAACCTACGTACAATTAACACCTGTGAAATGAGATGCCTGGGAAAAGCCGCTAATTTAACCATCTGAGAAAAACTTAGAAATGAAATCAGACAGCGGACAGACTGTAGGAATAACATTATGCAGCAGATTAGTTGAGAAACAGAAGAGGAAATGGTTTGGTCATCTAGTAAGAATGCAGCTAGAACAACTACTAACGCAGGTGCAACACATGAAAAGATGTGAAGTGAAAAAAAGGATGCCCTAGAAAAATATGGACTGATGACATTAAAGAGCTTCTACATCTACATGCAATAACAATAGCCATGCTGTACAAGCAATGGATCACAAACTGTTCCTCCCTACAACGCTTAACAGCAGAAGTGGACATTGATTATTATGATGATAATTGACAGCTAATAATTATATGCAAACAACTATTTTAACTTTAAATACCTGAAGATTATGACTAAAAGTGCAAGAATGTTGGGTTACAAATTGGTTTATATGGGATATTGTCTCCTTGATGTGCTGACTGATTGCTAGGGGTTTGTTTATTTGAAAGACATAAATGACACTCTGAATGTACATGAGATGTTAACGATTAGACGATATCTCATTAATATACTTTATTACAATTTCACATACGATTTGTCTGGTCAGTGCCCACTACGAACTAGCAAGTCCAGCAGTATAATGTGACATTGTTCAGACATCAACCTGGAGTATTCTCTCATTCACACTCAATACCTCTCAGTCCTCTTTCTTCACATTCAGCCATGGCTGCTCTGGAAGTTCTAAGCTTGGTGGTTCGACTTCTTGAGCAACCGGAACTGGTTGGATGCCACTTCAGATTGGATTGTCATCAGGCTGTCATCTTGCTGTCTTCTCTCAGAACAGAACTCCTTACATAGCCAAATACACTGTCACATTCACGCTGAATCTCAGATGCACCCTTTCATCCCAGCTGCCAAGCACATACTAACTGATTAGAACTTCGTCCAACTTTATAACCCCTGTTCTGTGTTTCACGTGCTGGTCTGAGCCCTGCTTGTAATTCTCATGTGTCTCAATTATTCACGTTCTCGTGTATTTCTTTTCTATCCCGAGGTTTAAAAAAAAAAGTAAAGTAAAGATCCCTTTTCACGCCTTTCGGCGCATCGGGCATATGGGCAGAGCGTCCCATATTTTTACAGACCATCAGCACTCTGTGGGTAATGTGGTCAGCATTACGCCGGCTGTCTTTACTTTCCCAGGACAGCCCATCCTGGTACCCATTTAAGGCTGGGTCGACCTGCGACGTCCCATACCACGACAAAAATCCACGCAGCCTGCAGTGGGTTTCGATCGCGGTATGCTGGCTCACGAGTCGGACTCGCAACGCCTTAGCCACGGACGCCGCTATCCCGAGGTTTACTCCCATATTATTACTTAGAGAATCCCTGTGGGAAAATATCAACATTACATACATAACATCTGAAAGAGTCAGTCAGGATATAGTATACATTATCCACTTACGTGGGTCCAGGATACTGTAGGTATTGGGTTGCCACTATATGGGATAACAATTTTGAATTCCTCTCCAACTTTAGCCTTGATGTCTTTAGCTGATGGCATGAGGTCACGGTTTATTCTTGGAGCAGCTGGAAGTATAAATACATGTAATAGTTACCCATGCTTTCAAAACATCATTATCATGTGCTTTTCTAGATGACATAGGTTTTCATGTTTTTACACTAAGGAAAGGGGGGTGGGGGTGGGGTAGACGGATAGAAGTGATCTCTTGACTGTCAGATGAGGTAATAAGTAAAATAGACGATACAGAAAACCTATACCTGGAAAGAATGATGCAGCGGAGTGTGTCTGCTGACTGTGGGCGCCAATCCAGACTTGGAAGAAAGGCAAGAGGAGTAGTTAGCAAGACATCAACAAGTATGGAGACTCTTCACTGGCTGCTGAGGAGGGAGATGGTGCTAATATGGACATGTCCCGAATGCCGTGATGTTAATTTTTCACCCATATGTTTCTCTGCAGACCTTGCTCCTTGATCAGTTCTATTCATCCTATTTCTCCAGGCCACTGTCCTAGACCACTAAAACATCATTTCTATTTGCTCTATATGCGGCTGACTTTACCAGGCATCCCACTGCTCTCAAATGCCTCTCTTAAGATATCACAAAAAAACACTGTTTATCACACTTTTATAGCTGCAGATGATGCTCTACTTTCTGAGTTTTTTCAGACAATCTTTATTATTTACCCTGGCATTTTCTCTATTTTACTGGCATCAGCATTGTTACTCACTGGACAATAAGGAGCCTCAACAGGATGGACCTATATAAGGAACACACATAAGGAAGAGTTTGGAGGCATATTTGTGGTGCTGTTCACTTTTCCAGGCGCAGGATTAGGTCGCTGGACTTTTTTTGTGTTGCAGGGAAGTCATGTTTTCCTTATTGTAAATGGTTTAACCGTTGTCTCTTTTCTGATTTTCCCCCCGCTCGCTTGTGTGATAAGTTTCACATTCTGCTACCTGCGCCATAGTTCAGGGGTATGGAAACAGCGATATTTTTCTCTTCCTATGCTCCTTGTAACTGCTTTCACTCGGGAAGAAGCCACCGCCAATGTACGTAGAAATACAAAAACTTTCCAATTTCGATAGTCAAGAATCGTCGCGCCTGCGACATTTCCCTTTGCAGTACTTCTTACTTGTACACAAGCCCCTGCTGCACCTAAAATAGACTCACAATACAACCTCCCACAAAATATTTCATATGCCGAGCGAACGCAAAACCAAGCCCTATCATAACACCTCCACAACACAGAAGAGGTGCAGAGACCTAAGGAGGCATGAATGGTAAGGGAAGTTCTGGGCCTGGAAACTTGAACAGGACAGATGTGGTTTCTGAGATGAATGTTGATATCATGTACTGGTAGAGTAACTAAAAATGAATGCCACAAGTAGCTAAGAAACCTTGACATTACATACAACTGTAAAAAGAAACCTGCAGTTGTTTTGTGTGTGTGTGGGTCATGTGATGAGAATAGAGGCACAAGAACATCATGATGCTTGAAGAAAATTATGATGAAAGAGACAGAGTAAAGTTACGTTAGTTGCATATCTTTTACAGGATCTTGCAGAATCAATTGCAGCATTCTTTGATTGTTTAATTTTACTAGACAGTTATAGTTCAGTAGTTTGTCATTGCATCTGAAGGGTCGACTTTTATTGCCATTGTGGAAATCAATGTAAGGTAGTCTGCCTACAAATCCCCCTGCAGCTGGAATCAAATGGGCACCTCGGAATTACAAAGCACTTTCAAGACAGCCATACGCAGGATATTTTCAATAGAATTATCGAGAAACCTGAGTAATGGGACCCATTGAGGCATTGAAGATCTACCATTTTCTGGAAATTCATATTGGTATAAAGACATGCAAATCTACGCCATGGAGAAAAGTACATGATGATTATGATGATGATTATGATGATGATGATGATGATGATGATGATGATGATGATGATGATGATGATGATGATGATGATGATGATGATGATGATGAATCTTAACAAACACAGGACATACATGGCGGAGGTTGTGCTTTAATATTGCCACTGCCTTCACTGAAATCTCCAATGCCAGCGTTGTTAACTGCAGCAACCCGGAACTCATACTCTTTGCCTTCCTGCAGTCCCTTGACTGTGAACTCTGTGTCTAGAATTTCTGTCAGATTGGCCCTGTAGAAATAATAAAATAGTTCCTACATGAGTGGAAGCAAAAGAAATCATGGAAGCGAAAGAAATCATGGAAGCAAAAGAAATCATGGAAGCAAAAGCAGTAAAATACAAAGGTTCTGAAGAGACTAGAAATAAACATACAGTTCAAGGAAATAAAATAAAGATAAGGGAAATATTGTGGCCACATTAAAAGACATAACACTCTTATAAAAATCATAATGGAAGGAAAAGTGGAAGGTGAGCAGGCAAGAATCAGACAGTGATACAAGTAAGAGGATATATGGAAGAGATGGACAAATAGCATTCTAAGAGAGTGCACTCAAGGACAAGAGAGTCCATTTGAGACCCAGTACAGCTAATCTTCATTATGGAGATGGTACCTGAATGACTGACTGACTGACTGATTGAAAACATGGTCAGAGCTGTGGTAATGTGACTGACTGACTGATTGAAAACATGGTCAGAGCTGTGGTTATGTGACTAACATGTCTGCCTTCTAGCCCAGTGGTCATATGTTCAAATCTCCATTGAGCCAGATTTTAACAAGCAAGTTGGTCTCCTAGGTGAATCAAGCCTAAAATGGATATCAAGACATGTTTGGAGAAGTAAACTGGTGGATCAAATCACTCACTAAGAGCAACAAAAAAAAAGAAAAAAGTACAAAGTATTTTTTTTTAAAAAAGCAGCAAACTACTAAAAGACTACCACACAAAGAACTATGGTTAAACAACACATGAGATACTTTAGGCAGGGACAGAGCTGAAGCAGTCAGCCTTGGCTTACTTGGTCCATTTTTGATCCCCTTTCTCCTTCTTCTCCAGCACATAACTTGTGATGGGTGACCCACCATCTTTCTTGGGTGGATTCCAGGTGAGAGTAATAGAATCCTCTGTGGTGCCAGTACATCCGGGGGCACTTGGTGCCTCTGGGGCATCTGTATATTAAAAAAAAAAATAACTGACATGAAATTTTCCTGATAAAAATTCTGCAATGGGGAATGTGATAACATTTGACTATGAAACATGCAGAAATAATCAAACTACTGGAAATGTTGAGCATTGATAGAGAAGATGTATGAATAATAAAGAACATGTATTGCCAGCAATTAGCAGCTACAAGAATTTATAACCATTTAGGGACATTTCAGGGCATAAAGAGGGGAGTACGACAAGGATGAATGCTATCAGCTGATTTGTTTTACAGTGAATATAACATGAAATCTATCACGGATGTGCCAGGAACTGTAGTTGGTGGTTATAACATAAACAGCCTACATTGATGGTGTCAAGTCAGAAAGAATCACAGGAATTGATAAATACGGTGGTAGTAGAAAGTGATAAAATGAGCTTCAGTTTGAATAATGGCAATACAGAAGTAACATGATTTCCTAGATAAAATAGTGTTTAAATTTATAATAAAGTCCCCAGGCGTTATTAAGGACAAATACAAGAAATTAAAGTATCTTTGCACATTATAACATAAAGAACAGAATAGGACAGGCCAAAACTGCATTTTATAAAATACAAAACATTTTATGCAATAAATCCATGCTACTGGAGGTTAGGAAAAGAATTCTCACATGCTATTTATAGCCAGTTTTAACATACGACTATGAATCCTGGACAATTTATAAACAGGCCGAACAATACCTTAAGGCCTCAGAGATGTAGTTTTACAGAAGCTTGCAGAATAATCCTTAAAAGACATCAAAGAAGAGCAACCCAGATGTTTTGAAACAGGTGAGGGCTTGAAGACAACTCATCACAAACATCAGAAAGAGACAGTCTTCATTTTTTGGTCATGTTATGAGATGAGGGAAACTGAAACATGCTGTGACCACTGGAAATATCTGTGATCTGTGGAAAGAGATACAAAGGAACAGCACAAGAAGATTCTTGATAGCCTTTTGTCTGGAGGGGTGTCAGCATATAAACTGATGCATGTAGCTGAGGACTGCAGATTGTGAGATTGTGGAGAAGCATAATAGTGTATGCCAGTCGGCAAGGCACTTGATGATGACAAAGTGAAGTATTACTGGTGATTAAAAAAAAGTATTGATATATATATATAATGATAGCATATATATGTATACATATGTGTGTGTGTGTGTGTGTGTGTGTGTGTGTGTGTGTGTGTGTGTGTGTGTGTGTGTGTGTGTGTGTATATATATATATATATATATATATATATATATATATATACACACACATATATACATACGCACACACATATATATGCTATCATTACCCAATAAACAGAACAACAACAAAAGAAGAAAACAAAAAACAGAAAAAATGATCAAACGTTGACTGAAATGTTTGTCCAAGTATCTAGTTCTATGCCTTTTTCTTTTGGTAAAATTTACATTTTGTTTGCCCATGATATTCTTTAAATTTTTTTCAGAAGTCACAATTGGTATCTATTAGTTATTTCCTAACATTAACGCCTTTTACGCTTACTGCCCAGAAAGAATTAACACAAATGTTCTATTTCATCATCTGAAGAAAAAAAAACAGTATTCCATCACATATACATGCCTTACAGAAGATTATAAAGATCAATCAGAAAATATTTACCGAATGCATATTTGGCCAGCACAGGTGTATCCGTTTCCAAATATTCACTGACACCTTGTGGATTTTCAGCAGCAACTCTAAATTCATACTTAGTTCCTGGCTCCAAATTTCTGACCTGGCAGGTTGGCTTAGACAGAAAGCTGCTAACTTTCTGCCAGCGATTAGTTCCAGCCTTGAGAATTCAGAATGTAATAGTTGTTATATTGTACACATTTTGTAGTTAAAATATAAAAAAAAGGAAAAAAAAAGGATTACTTTATTTTAAAGTGAGTAAAGGACCCCTTTCAATGCCTTCATGTATATTGGGAAAATAGGGCTAGATCTATTTTTAAAAAATGACACAGCACTCGGTGGAAGTTACTTCCCAGGACTATACCTGGTACCTACCCAAGGCTGGGCCAACTTGGGCACCAAGGTCATTTTAAACAAGTGGGGCTTCACCAGGACCCGAACACATGACCTGACAATCCATAGACAAGCAAATAGCTGCTACACCATGGTGGCTTCCACTACTTCATACTAACTTAACTCACACCCGATGGATAACCTGTTTTTATGGCCAAACTTACATACACAAGCATTTGCCACAGGAAGCTAATATATATATAGAAGTATTCATCACAGGAAACCAGTATTGTGTTGTGGCTAATTAATATTTATATATATATATATATATATATATATATATATATATATATATATATATATATATACAAGAATTTACCTCAGGAAGCCAGAACTATAGCCATTAAATTCAACTATTTGTCACAGTGAGCTAGCATTTGATATATATATACAACTATTTGTCAAAAGCATCCAAAAATATGTGATTGCTATGTTTAGGAAAAAATGCTTACATTGTGGGTTTTGAGTCCCTATTCGGGGGGGGGGGGGGGGGGGGAGACATACTCACTGCCCCCTAACAAGCATGTCGTAAAAGTATTAATATTATTTTTAGCACCCGGATATGCTAAGGTGAAAGGAAATTATAAAAGTCCACAGACTGGCTGTGTCTGCAGTATTTATTGGAGAAAGAAGTATGGACAGGGCAGACATCCTGAATGTGTGGTTTCCAAATATGTTGGGAGAATAGAGTCAGAGACAGTGAACTATTTGTTGGAAATGGGTATTAAAAAACATGGAAAGACATGCAGAAACTATTTTGGGACAAAGAAAGAACTTCTACTGAACACAGTAAGCATGGGACCACGTTAACGCAGTCTATAGGAGACTTGTTTTTCTAATCCAGCTGAGACTCCCAGCAGCCCATCTCCAGTGTTCGAAACTGGGCGGTTCCCGGGGTTCGCCCAGCCTCTAGGTAATGGGTACCAGAGTTAACACTCTGGGGAAATGGAGGAACGTCGATGTAGCTACAGAGTTGCGTGCGGACGGCGACACAGGCGGACAGTTTCTTATCAGCTGTCCGTACTGGTGGCAGAACACTTATGGTTTATAACCGTGTGCAAGGATGCTGGTTCACATCTCCCAACTTTACCTTTTTTTGAACAGTAAGCATGGAGACACTGAGGTGGCTGTTGCATCAGAGAAGGGAGCATGAATGGGTCGGACCAACTGGCTTGGATGTTGAAATGGATAACAAGCAACCTCTATCTCTAATGGAAATTTTTATACAAGAAACATACCTTCCTCTTTTCCACAATGTAGTTACCAATTTTCTCCCCACCATCATCTTTTGGTGGCTTCCAGGTTAAAGTAAGTGATTCTCCATCTATTTCACTGGCTTCCAGTGGTCCTTGTGGCGGTGCTGGCTTATCTTTGGACATATTTGTTGAAGTTAAACAAGAAAATGAAATATTTTTTTTTTAAACCTAAAAATAAACCACAGACAATTAACACTGGTCAAATAACAAAAACAGACTACTTAAAGTGGTCAAAAACCTTGGTTAACATTGGTAAAATGCTCTTGACCAACACAGGTCAAATACTCTGGTCAAACTTGCCAGCTAAGCACTGCCGGGAAAAGAGTAAAATTCTGTTAAAAACCTGCTGATTGATGATGGTGATTTATTTTATAATTGTAATACAGTTTTGGTCATTACTATTTTCATTCTGATTACTGAATCACTTCTACCACCACCTGAAATTACTTAGTTAGTCAGTCTTTCCTCTTGTGTCGAGTGCGGCACATAGGGCAGAGGTCATGACTCTCCATGCATGGCGGTTCGTTGCAATCTGTTGTAGGTCTTGGATGTTTGAGTGGCCCATGAGCGAGCCTTCCCTGATGATAGTTCTACGTAGGGTTTCCCTTGGTCTTCCACGAGATCTTTTCCCCTGTGGTGTCCAAATGAGGGCTTGGTAAGGAAGTCTTGATTTATCCATTCTAAGGGCGTGGCCGACATAGTTCCAGCGGCGTTTTCGTATAAAATTAGACACATACTCTTGCCTGGATTCTTGCCTTATTTGTGTATTGGTTCGGAAATCTGACCATTTGAAATTTAGTATTCTTCTAAGGCATTTATTTTCAAAACTGTCTAATTTTGTGTCTAGAGTTTTCGTTGATTTCCAGCTCTCGCATCCATAGGTTAGTACTGGAATCACACAAGAATTGAAGATCTTGAGTTTTGTGTGTTTGCTAAGTGTCTTTGATTTCCAGATGTTGGACAGTTTATTGGAGGCACTAGATGCCAGTGCTATTCTAAATGGTATTTCTGGTGCGGTATCTCCTGTAGATGACATCTTGCTCCTTAGATAAGTGAAACTGTTGACTTTTTCAAGGCTGTTGTTGTTCAGAGTGATTTCAACTGAACTGTTGGTAAGGTCTAGAATTTTTGTTTTTGCTGTGTTAATTTGGAGTCCAATTTGTTCTGAGAAATTCTGGAGTCGATTGATTTTTTCTTGGGCGTCTGTGTGTTCTGAACTCAGGAGTGCTATGTCATCGGCGAAGTTTAGGTCTTCCAGAATTTTGTCAACCCATGTAATGCCTAAATTTGCGTTATTTATGCACTTGCGCATGACCCAGTCGATTGCTATACCAAAAAGCATCGGCGATAGGACACAGCCTTGCTTCACTCCTGTTTCCACCGAGAACCAGTCAGAATTGTCGGAATCAGTTCTTACACAGCATCGTGTTTCATTATAAAAAGATTTTATGATGTTGATATATTTGATGGGGAAACCATAAATGTTAAGCAATTTCCAGAGTGTTGGACGATGGATACTGTCGAAGGCTTTTTGGAAGTCGACAAAGTTGATCAATAATTTCGACTGGAATTCTGTAGAATCTTCAACAATTATTCTAAGAGTAAAGATGTGGTCTATGCATGACCGCTTGGATCTAAAACCGGCTTGTTCTTCCCTTAATCTTTCATCTATGGATTTTTTTCAATCTTTCTAGTAGCATACTACAAAATAGTTTCCCTGGTATCGAAAGCAGGGTGATGCCTCTCCAGTTGTTACAATCAGATAATCACCTTTTTTAGGTAATTTTAAGATTACACCATCTTTCTATTGTTGTGGTGGGTATTCGTTTTGCCAGACTTCATCCATCAGCTGGAGCAAATGTTGCAGGGTGTTTTTATCCGCTGCTTTGAGCATTTACCCTGAGATGTTGTCCTCTCCGGTAGCTTTGTTTATTCTTAATTTTTTAATAGCTGTTTTAATCTCCTCTATTGTGAATGACTCGCTGGAGGCAACTAGTGTTGGTGTAATAATTTCTTCTTCTAGATTGGGAATGATGTCAGGATTTGGTCTATTTAATATTTCCTTGAAATGTTCTGCCCATCGCTTTGTTTGTTGGTCGTCGGATAGCAGTAGTTTACCCTGCTTGTCTTTAATGGGTGTATTTAGTGTAGGTGAGTGATTGCACAGTTGTTTCATAATATGGAATACGGCTTTGTTGTTTCCAATCTTGGCAGCTGTTTCAGCAGCGGAGGTGAGGTCGTGTATGAAGTTCTGTTTGTCTTTCCTTGCATTTGATTTCACTTCTTTGTCTAGCGTGCTGTATTTTTCGTATGAAGATGTGTCTTTTTTGGATAAAAGTGTTAATTTTGCTTGTTTCCTTTCTTGGATTTTTGACCAAGTGTTGTCGCTTAGCCACTTCTTTTTCTGCTTTTGTTCATAACCAACTGTGTTTACTGCAGCCCTGAAATTACTAAAATAGATTATATCAGCACTACCTAACAAGTGGTCTAGGAAGCCATAAAGGCTCTGTATGCTTTCCAGGGGCCCCACAGCCATTTGAGGAAAATAAAAAAAACTGGAATAGAATTTAAAGATGGGAAACAAAAATTAGAATCTGCTGGCACTAGATTCAAAATTATTGACAGACAATGAAAGTGAACGGACATATTACAAATTCTATGTCAAGTTCCCTTCCTGGAACTGAATGTTCGGAGTGGTTACTTGGAACTGTGCACTGGAGCATGTGAACATAAAATGATGTGACGAAATGGACCTCAGAAGTTATGTTATATTGAATAATTTCTAATGTTCATAGAGAAACAAAGAACTATATAATTATCTCCTGAACACAGACCCATAGGGGAAAGCACCTGGTCATAAAAACTAATTATCCCACCTGAGGTTATCTTCTATGAACTGCAGGCCAAAGACCCTAGTGTCATAAAATGTTACATAATAACGGCTAGACTGGGCCTTTTGAACAGACCAGATGAAGGGAATTAACTTTGTCTGGTAGACAACTCCAGACATACAGCATCCCCTGTTCCAGAATTTCACACCTGTCAGTGAGATTGGCTGCAGACCAGACGTTTACCACTTAAGAATGTTTGATCTTAGTAAGGGAAGTCAAAAGTGACTGATAAGCACACTGATAGCTAATTGAATCTGCAAAGTACTTCAGGGGCATGGCTTAGATGCTCTCCTTTAGGGTAGGTTAGAAACTAGAAAAAGGGAGTAGTTTAACTTTGCAGAGAGATAAGGGGACATATGATTACTGTTAGGCATCTTGACTTTACTTCATATTGCTGCCAGCAGGCCACAAACTTAGATCAAGATTAGAAAGTAATTCTAGCTGTTTGAGTCTTGTTTGGCAAATTGCTGGAGGTGGAGAACGAGGCGGAGAACGAGGCAGGAACCGGCGAACAAGAAGCTGGAAGAGGTGGAAAACCTGGAATGACTATGAAAAGCTAAGAAGGGCCTCAACACAAGGGCTCTCTGAGGTTCTACTTTTAAAATTTCAAGTTACATGCTGTTTTATGTTCGTAAACATATCAACACCACTATAACTTCACTGGTATCATTATATAAAATAATCTAGACATCTAAAACCCCTTTCCTTTTCCTGTGGGTACCAAGTGCAGCTACTGTTAAAGTACTTAATGAGCCAATATGACTGTTTTCTTGGTTATTCAGGATTTTTTCTTATATCACATAACTTGGATATTAGTTCAGTTGCTCTGGTGAAGGTGAAGTTTTGAGAGGAAAATTTATACTCATCAAAAAAGCATCTACCCACTCCGTTTCATGATAAATAGCAAGACAAGATCCCAGAAACTGGTCCTTGAGGCAGCTGGACTGCCCAGTATTTACTCATTTTTAAAACAATCACAGCTTCGCTGGGCAGGTCATGCATTTCACATGCCTGACCACCGACTGCCAACAAGAATTTTCTATGGTGAGCTACTAAAAGGAAAACGCTCTCAAGGTGGACAGAAGAAATGTTTCAAGGACAGCCTCAAGACCTCACTGAAAAGACTTCTATATTGACAATAAATATTAGTGTAAAGCCAACAATTTGATTTATTGTTTTAGAAGAACTTTTATGTGACCAGGTTTTGACAATAACATGTGAACTGGTTGTAGGTGAGAATTAATAGAATACTACGGTAAATTTCAAAGTTGTTAAAATACAGTTCCATTGCATGGACATTGTACAATTGTGTAGATACCTTTTTACTTTAAAATATTTTACTGTCTACTCCCTCTTCCTCCGCTCTATAATATTATTTCTTCATTACCATTAACTTGTAAGATATGGGGTACCGTAGGCTTAAGGGGAATCTGCCAAAGAAATTAACTTTAAAAAGGGCTGCACAAGTCAAAACTGCTGGGAAATGCTGGATTATATTTTAACAGATTAGAAACCAAATATAAAAATATAAAACATCAAAGAAAAACTCACCTAAAACATTAACATTAACATTAATAGACTCTGCTCCTTCACTGTTATTCAAAGTTAGCTGATATTTTCCAGCATCATCACGTTTAGCCTTGGCACAATAGAGTATTGCATGAGTGTCTGTCAGCTGAAAAAGTCGTGACAATATGATAATTTTCGAAATATCTGTGATGTTTAACTCTTTGAGTCCCAGGGGGTTTAGCATCACAGGCACAAGGAGTGGTCAAAAGAGACCTAAAATCGGCGCATCATGCGTTCATTGGGCCTCTAGGTAGGAATCTATGAATGTATGATGCGTTTCTTGGGACTCAAAGAGTTAAGTCTTTCAGCTTGAAGCCTATGATGGATGTTAGATTTACCCTATCTATTGAATCTCAAAAATTGCATGACACACCATCTTATTGTTTAAATTATGGTCACAATAAAGTAAAAGAAAGCTATGTACATTAAAGTAAAGTAACATGAGGCAATGCAAAGTAAAGTATGGTAAAGTAAAGTGAGGCAAGGTAAAGTAAGGTATGGTAAAGTAAAATGAGGCAAGGTAAAGTAAGGTATAGCAAAGTAAAATTAGGTAAAGTGAGGCAAGGCAGAGTAGAGTATGGTAAAATCAAGTAAAGTATCATGAAGTAAAGAAGAGGAAAAGAAAAGAAAGTAAGTAATGGAAATGAAAGTGAAGGACAGTGAAGTAAAGTGAGGCGAGGTCAAGCAAAATATGGTATAAAGTAAAGTAAGGTAGCATAAAGTAAATAAAAGGAAGAGAAAAGAAAGTAACGTAAAAAAATATCAAATGAATTAAAATAGGGTAAAGTGTTCTTTTTCAACAATTAGTTTAAGAACACATTAAAGAGCAAATTATCAATTATGTTTATATATATATATATATATATATATATATATATATATATATATATATATATATATATATATATATATATATATATAATTATATGAATGTGAATTTAGGATGATCGTAAATACGTATAACAAATCTACTGAAGCCCTATAAATGTGATTTAATAGGATAATTTAAAAATATTACACTTGTGACATATCAAAATTGCATTACCACCCCTTGGGCCACTGATGCTAAACCTTCTGGGACTCAAAGAACTAATGAAGGCACAATCACAATGCTTGAGCTCATTTTGAGAGGAGAGAAACTGGAATATTCTAAAACAACTGAAAAGATACTGGAAAGTGCAACAGAAAAAGTCAATGAAGAGAAGACTGTTAGTAATCTTTTACCGTGGTATATAAAACAAACACACCTTAATTGACACATTCTGTCACAGTACATGAAATATGGATAAGTATGATCATCACCATACTTTTTAATCAGGTATTTTGAAATGAAAACAAAATCAGTTACATTGTGTTTCTCCATTACAAATGAGGAAGACGACTTAAGCATCCAAAAAGTAGTTTCAATTAATGTTTTATGAAAATGCACTCAAAATTACCGTCACAGTTACTCGTGGGGCATCAGAAACATCGTTACCATCAAGAGTCCATTTAGCTGTTGGCTTGGGGGTGCCAGTGTATGGCACCTTAACAGTGAATTCTTGGCCAGCTTTTACGTTGATGTCCTTAACCCCTGTTACATCAAATCTAGGTTTTTCTGTAAACATTGCATAACAACTATAGTTTTATTATAATAAACATATTATATGTTTTTTTTGGTTTATCAAAACATTTTTGTCAGCACATCATATTATCGTCGGCTCTGTGGCTAAGTCGACGCGAATGCTTCGTAATGTCGGGGTGCCGGGTTCGATCCCATCTGCGGGCCATGCGCCTTGCGTTGGTTTTGACAGTGGTGTCAGGGAGCCGACTGTCCAGAAAGCAATGGCAAACTACTGGAAGTAAATTTGCCTAGAGAAACCACACAAACAGCCAGGGGCTGCTGGGGTTGGTTCTGTAACGTCCTGTAAAGGATACACAACTAACTAACCATCATATTATCTTATTTCATCACGGTATCTTGTCTTACAAAGATTGATGGTACCCATGTTATGCTGGACTGACCAAGGAGCCAAGGTCAATTCTGAAAAACTTATTTGCAGATTTGAACTCAAGAACTATGAGTCAGTAGGCAAGCATCTAGCCACATATAAATATATTGCATGTTGAACTATCTATATCTAGCAGGATTCATTAGTATTCTCAGATGTAACATTAAAGACAACATATAATAATTCATTATGTGTTGTGGGATAAACGCAGACAATAATTGATCACACATGATGTATAATTTTAAAAAATCAGAATGAAAGACTATTTGTTGAATGAATTGATGTGTTTGGAGAACCCAAAAATGAGTAATCTATATTTAAAAAATTATGTTTTAAATATAGGCAAAGCTCCAAAGACAACATATTACAAATATAAGAAAGGCAATTATTGCTTTTTTTTAAAAGGGGGAGGGCGTGTTGAGGGGGGGGGGGGCGGGAGGGCACTGTATGTGATGAAAAGGAACATTTTGTGACAACTAGGGAAATTTATGGAAAGAGAAACAGAGAAAGACAATGAAAGATAATTCTTTATAATTTGTTATGGTACACAACACACACTGATGTAAGCTGCTGGAGATTGCAAGATGTAGAAAGGCATAATCACTCATGCCAGGTGTAAGATACTTGATGATGATTTTGATATGCTAGATACATTATCTATCTACAATGAAGAGTATGGACAATACATTGCTAGATAAATTATCTTTCTACAATGAAGAGTATGGGGACAATACATTGCTAGATAAATTATCTTTCTTCAATGAAGAGTATAGGGACAATACATTATAGCAATGGAAAAGGGGCTAAGGGTAAGATACAACAGAAAGGGTTTACTAGTAAACTCTTTATAACCTTATGCAGAAAAAGCTATGATTTTTTTTTGGTGCAATGAAGAGCTTGGTGACAATCTATTCTAACACTAGGGGAAAAGATACAAATATATTATAGAAAAGATGAGTTAGTAAACTTGATAACTTGCAGATTATCAGAGGAACATACCAGGCTGGTCCCGTACTGTGACAGCACTCGTAGGTTTACTGGGTTCTCCTGAACCTGCAGCATTGTCAGCTCGAACTCGAAACTGGTACTCATCGCCTTCCTTTAAATTTGGCACTGTTGCAGCGAGCTGGTTGGCTGGTACACTGGCACATTCTATCCAATCCTCACCTTTCTTTTTCTTCTCAATGACATAACCAGTGAGTTTACTACCTCCATCGTTGGCTGGCTTGGTCCATGAGAGAGCAACAGAGTTTTTGGTGATTTTATCCACGTTGGGTGTGTTCGGAGCACCAGCAGGGACTGTTGGGATGTGAAGATAACAGACAAATATGTTTAAACCAAGGCTTGGGGGGGGGGGGGGGGGGGTTGGCAGAATGAAAAGTATCAGCCCAATTTTTTTATAGGCATTATTTTTTGTCAGTGCTATTGTTTTAGGTACTTCGAGACCAGAATCTCTTCTCTAAAAACAAGCCATGGCTTAAACTAATTGTGTGTGTGTATATGAATTCAGATAACGATGTGAATGGGGATTCCAGTGGAATCACCTCCTCCAGTAGGAAGCATCATGTTCTACGGGTGATACCCGACCATCATCCAGCTACTGTAGAAAAAGTTATGGTAGAAACATCCTGAACCTTGGTACATGGAATGTCAGAACAAAACAGAAAGCTGGATAACATCAAGATGGAAATGAAGAGAATGAACATCAACACATTAGGAGTTAGTGAAATGCGATGGTCAGGAGCAGGCAAAAAGTATTAGAGAGAGTACTATTAGTAAAACTTCGCTGCAGACCGTTTGACAACTTAGTACAGATTTATGCCCCAACAGCAGATAGTTCAGTGGAAGATATTGAAGTGTTTTATGACGAGTTAGACATGGCTGTTGATCAATGCAAAAATTGTGAAGTAACAATAGTACTTGGAGATTTCAACGCGAAAATGGGAAGTGAAAAAGTGTACAGAATAACGGGTGGCTAAGGCCTAGGAGAAAATAATGTGAGAGGTGACAGATTAATAGCATAGGCTGAGTCGCCCAGCATGATAATAGGTAACACCTGGTTTAAACACCATGCTTGAAGATTGTGGACTTGGAAAAGTCCTGGTGATAATGTCCGCAATCAGATGGATTATATTTTGATTTCAAGATTCTGGAGCAGCTTAGTTGGAGCAAAAACTAGACCAGGAGCAGACTGCTTTAGTGACCATGTTCCAGTTGTAGGAAAAATTAGAATAAAACTAAAAAACATTAGAAAAACACCACAGAACATCAAGTTAAATTTAGGAATTCTTAGAACGGATAAAGAAATTAAGGAACAGTACAACGTCACTGTACAAAACCGGTATAATGTAATGGAAATTATACAGACTATTGATGAATAGTGGGATATGTTGCGTGAGTCAATTCAGCAGACATCAAAAGAGACAATCCCACCAACCCATAGAGTTGCAAAAAAGGAATTGATGTCAACCGAAATTCTGCAGTTGATGGATGAAAGAAGGAAGAAAAAGAATGATACAGAAGAATACTCTAGAATACAAAAAGAAATAGTGAACAAATGCAAAGGGGCTAAAGAAGCCTGGCTGAATCAAATGTGTACAGAGAATGAAGAAGTAATCAAACTGTTAGAAAAATTAAACATTGAAGGGAAAGATCTACAAAAAATAAAGAATATGTATTGGCAGCAAACAGCAGCTGTAAGAATTAACAACTGTTTAGGTACATTTTAAAGTATAAAGAGGGGCGTACGACAAGGATGTGTACTGTCACCTGATTTGTTTTCAATATACAGTGAATATTTAATGAGATCTTTAATTGATATGCCCAGAATTGTGGTTGGTGGGCACAATAAAAACAATTTACGTTATGCTGATGACACAGTCTTGATAGCAACAAGTCAGAAAGAACTACAGGAAATGATAGACATTGTGGTGTTAGAAAGTGGAAGAATGGGACTCAATTTGAATAATGGGAAGACAGAAGTAATGGGGTATCAAAGAAATGAATTATTCCTAAATGTGTAATAAAAGTTGATGGTGTTATTTTAGGACAAGTACAGAAATTTAAGTATCTGGGCACATGGATAACATCAGATGAAAGATGCATAACGTAGATAAGAAACAGAATTGGACAGGCAAAAAACTGCATTTTATAAAATGAAAAACATCTTGTGCAATTTATCTTTTTCTTTACGAGCTAGAAAAAGAATCCTTGCTTGCTATATACATCCAGTTTTAACATATGGCTGTAAATCCTGGACAATCGGTAGGCAGGCCAAACAATTTCTTGAGGCCTCAGAGATTTGGTTTTACAGAAGAATGCTTAGAATACCTTGGACAGCCAAAAAGAGCAGCCAAGTGGTTTTGAAAGAGGCATGAGCCCAAAGACAACTTTTCACAGACATCAGAAGGAGACAGTCATCATTTTTTGGCCATGTTATGAGAAGAGGGAAAATAGAACATGGTGTGACCACTGGAAAGATCTGTGGAAGGAGGGATAGAGGAAGACAACGAGAGAAGATGCTTGACAGTCTTGTTGCATGGCATGAAGGTGTGTCGGCACATGAACAGTTACATGCTGCAGGAGATGGCAGATTATTGAGAGGCATGATCGCCCACACCAGTCAGCAAGGCACCTGATGATGATGATGATATAAACACAATAAAAATACAGAGATGTGTGGAAAATGCATCACAATATGCTACTTAATATCTTTTTTTTCTGCCACACTTGGCTGCTGGTCCAAAGTTTGTGTAGTTCAAATCTGCCCTGAGGCAAATTTGTATACCTAGGCAAACAGATTCACAAGCTTAAATGGATACAAGAAACTGTTCAGTAAAGTAAAGGTGGACATCATAATGTGAAACTCATCCATAAAACGCAGAGTAGTTTGTGAAAATATTAAATATTTTCCATATGCCCAACATATCAACGACTTGTTTAATGAAGGAAATTATTTTTGTTTTGCAACACTACAAAACATTTTTTCATGAAGAACAAAAAATAAGAAAAAACATACAATATATAAAATATTTATAGATATAGTTATGCATCGTTTTGATTCATTCATTTTGCTTCACATTTTCACACGCAGCTATGGATGCCACCGCGACCGACAAAATCAGCCTGAATAAACCGTTATTGAGAAATTATATTTCTGTGCTCTTTACGTGAAAGATCAAATCGGAACAATTATTAAGAGTTATTCGAGAGATACTAGGCTTTGACCTGACATGGTTTTGACGTGCATGCGACAAATCGATTTTTTTTTTTGCAGCACGCAGTGAATTAACGGTAAGTAAGTTCATAAATATCTTCTCAATTAGCCAGTTTAAAGCAATTTGTGGTGTATTTTTGTGTTTTTGCTTCAAATCCAATATGTCTGCACTAGAAGACCGTTTGTCCCACTTTATAATTAACTTAAAATAATTATTCAATTAGCTAAGGTTACCACCTCAAAATTCCAATAAATAATTTTTAAACATCTACAACTCTTATAGCACTTTTTTAATGCGTCGGTCATTATTCAGAGTTCACAGAATTTTCTGTCAGAATTGTTAAGTGGTAAAGAAACAACAGCAGCGCTGACTGTGCTCCCGTCAATCATGCCTGCCAGTACTTGGGCTTTCCTCCTAGATCTGGGTTTTTATATGACACTTTGGGTTAAGATTTTGGAATCTTGTTTTTAAAAAAAATATATATATATATATCCTTATATAAAAGTGGGTCAATGTTTCATTTCTCAACTATAAAATATGTACTATTTATCAGTTTTGGGTTTTTTTTTTTTTTTGCTTATGTATTGCTTGGGTTTTTGGTCAGCTTAGATTGGGTTTTGACAAAAATCCCACTGGCAACCCTCCCGTGCTTGGCTGTCTGCGTGTGGCTGCTTTAGATCCATTTCTTCCATTCAATGCTGGGTGGACATGGGAGCCAAAGTCATTTTTTAAAGTAAAAAAATCCGGCGTGACCTGATTCCCAGAAATAACCACACCTGCTGTGTTTGCCCTGTTGTTAACACTGTCATTGCCCCATTATGAAAACGGGCCATGTACTACCAGTGGGCTCATGTTTTCTTCTACCATACAGAACGGAGAGTTGGGGGGGGGGGAGTTGAGTAGAAGACTGAGAGGGGGAGCAGGAGGAGGAGAGAGGAAGAAAAATAAAATAGACTAAGAAAAGAAAGTTGGCATTGAGACATGGGGATAAAGAAAGGAAAGGAAAAAGAAAGAAAGAAGAGGAGAGATGTAGGGGGAAGAAGGTAACAGGAAGGGGGTGTGGCTAACCCGAGTATCATTTCTGTGGGGGTGGGGAGATGCGACCCCCCCGGGTGTCATTACTGTGCATAGATGCGACCACCCTGGGTGACATCTCTGTTGGGGAAGGGGGAGGGGGATTGCGGTATATGTTAATTAGGTCACGTCAACCCACATTTGTGTGAACTTAATGTGCGCCTTATCAGGACACACAATATGTTGTGCATCTTGGCAGGCTCATTGGCAGACAACCCTAAATGTATATGGTTTTTGCTGAAAAAAGGCAATTGGCGGCCGTTTTTATATGTTAATTAGGTCACGTCAACTGACATTGGCACATTTATATGATCTTTATGTTCGCCTTGTCGAGACACACAAAATAATATGAATCTTGCCAGGCTCTTTGGCAGACAACTGTAAATGTATAAGGTTTTTGATGAAAGATAATCAGCCTGTGGCCATATTCATATGTTAATTAGGCGCATATTGTAGTGTATGTATTTGAGACATGCATAAACAGTTAGGTCTCACATCCCGATTCCAGCAATATATGTTTGCTAAGGAACGTGTTCAGAAACGAAATAGTTATGGCTGTAAAATGCAAATATTGCGTCGTTTCATCTTACTTGGTCGCAGCCCGGAATCCACGTTGGGTCCATTTCCACTATAATTTGTTTGTGGTGGTATTTGCCACTAAAATGTTAATATCTCCGCTTAGAATTGTCTTACAGGCTTAATTAAATTTCATTAAACACATTTTATTTTGAAGTGTTTCATAAAATACACACAATATTCTTTTAGGAATTCAACAACTGTAAAAGGAGATGCATAATATAGAACAAGTTGCAGGACTGGCAATAGAAATGACAACTCACAGACAGGATCTCGAACAATGTGTTTTGGTGTGGCTTTGCTAGGTTTGCCAGGACCTCCATCATTGACAGCCATGACTCGAAATTCATACTCTGATCCCTCTTTTAACGTTGTGACACAGTATGTCATCTCTGGAACTGGGAATGTTGAAGCCTTTGTCCATTCTTTTCCTTTTTCTTTCTTCTCAATTATATATCCTGGACAAAAAAAAGCAATATAGATTTGTTAGTTCTGAAAAAGGTATACCTACATATTTAGAACGTTCAGTCCCGAGTAGTTAATTTAACTTGTTTAATTGAAAGAAATTATAAAAGTGATAAATGTTTGTTTCTGAATAAGTAAATAACAACACAAGAAAGGACGTAAAGTAGTAATCTGGACCCAGTGAATTAATGTAACAGCTTAAGGAGAGCACTGAGAAAGCTATGAATTTTTTAAACATGACACCATTTCATCTATGATCTGTTTTCTGTTTTTTAAACCTAGTCTTGGGAATATGGCCATTTCCATGTCAAAAATGAATCTGATATAAAATAATTATCGATTACTAACATCATGGCTAATCAGAGACATGATAAATCTAAAGCTGAACAAATATTTACTCGCACTAGAGATGTGGTCTGAAGATGCAAAGAGTAGCAAGGAATGAAACAAATGAAGCAGTCTTCCTCAAGACAAATGAAACACTGCAAACTGATCAGAGAGATCTGATGTTGATAGTGAGTGTATCAGCTGATCAGAGAGATCTGATGCTGACAGTGAGTGTATTAGCTGATCAGAGAGATCTGATGCTGACATTGAGTGTATCAGCTGATCAGAGAGATCTGATGTTGATAGTGAGTGTATCTGCTGATCAGAGAGATCAGATGTTGACAGTGAGTGTATCTGCTGATCAGAGAGATCTGATGTTGATAGTGAGTGTATCTGCTGATCAGAGAGATCTGATGCTGACAGTGAGTGTATCTGCTGATCAGAGAGATCTGATGTTGACAGTGAGTGTAACTGCTGATCAGAGAGATCTGATGCTGACAGTGAGTGTATCTGCTGATCAGAGAGATCTGATGTTGACAGTGAGTGTATCTGCTGATCAGAGAGATCTGATGCTGACAGTGAGTGTATCTGCTGATCAGAGAGATTTGATGTTGACAGTGAGTGTATCTGCTGATCAGAGAGATCTGATGTTGACAGTGAGTGTATCTGCTGATCAGAGAGATCTGATGTTGACAGTGAGTGTATCTGCTGATCAAAGAGATCTGATGTTGACAGTGGGTGTATCTGCTGATCAGAGAGATCTGATGCTGACAGTGAGTGTATCTGCTGATTAGAGAGATCTGATGTTGACAGTGAGTGTATCTGCTGATCAGAGAGATCTGATGCTGACAGTGAGTATATCTGCTGATCAGAGAGATCTGATGTTGACAGTAAGTGTATCTGCTGATCAGAGAGATCTGATGTTGACAGTAAGTGTATCTGCTGATCAGAGAGATCTGATGTTGACAGTGAGTGTATCTGCTGATCAGAGAGATCTGATGTTGACAGTGAGTGTATCTGCTGATCAGAGAGATCTGATGTTGACAGTGAGTGTATCTGCTGATCAGAGAGATCTGATGCGGACAGTGAGTGTATCTGCTGATCAAAGAGATCTGATGCTGACAGTGAGTGTATCTGCTGATCAGAGAGATCTGATGCTGACAGTGAGTGTATCTGCTGATCAAAGAGATCTGATGTTGACAGTGAGTGTATCTGCTGATCAGAGAGATCTGATGCGGACAGTGAGTGTATCTGCTGATCAGAGATCTGATGTTGATAGTGAGTGTATCTGCTGATCAAAGAGATCTGATGCTGACAGTGAGTGTATCTGCTGATCAGAGAGATCTGATGCTGACAGTGAGTGTATCTGCTGATCAAAGAGATCTGATGCTGACAGAGAGTGTATCTGCTGATCAGAGAGATCTGATGTTGACAGTGAGTGTATCTGCATTAACCCTTGGCATATTTGTTGTTTACTGCTAGACTGCAATATTTTAGCCTTTTGACTAAACACATCTGTTTCAAGATTAATTGGTTGCATTTTATGACAAGCTTGTTAGAAGGCAGTGTGTCGATTCCCCAGACCCACCCTAACCTCCCCCCCCCCCCCCCCCCCCCCCCTCCTTTTTTTTCTCCAGCCGATTCTTCAGCCCAATATGCTGTCATATATTTTCATTTGCAACCATCTTTGCTGACGTCAGCATTAGCCTCATTTTCCGGAATTTGTACTTGAGTCTTAATAAGTACTGAACGTTAATGCAATATTTAAGATACTCTAGATTACAAAAGAATGGAACACGATAAGTAAAGCAATGTATACCAAACAGAGATTAATCAATAAACTATTGTGAGTTGCCTGGTAATGAAAGAGTTTTAACGTCTTCACTGCTTTTATATAGTTTGATAAGCTTATTCATGTTTTTGGCATTATGCCAAAGATAAGAAGAAAAAGATGATGAAGAGGGAGAGGAAGAGGAAAAAGAAGAGGAGGGGGAAGAGGAAGAAAAAGAAGAGGAAGAGGAGAAGAAGAATAAAAGACACAGATGATGAAGGAAGAGGAGAAGCAGAGGAGAAGAAGTCTTCTAAATACAATAAAAGTGGCACTCATGTGAATCCCTACTTCATATAGGTCAAAATAACGATTTTTTTTTTAACGTAGCTATACAATTTTCATTTGCCACAATGTAATTTCTCACAGAAATCTCATGTTCAAAGATGATTTTCTTGAAATAATGATTAGCACTTAGGTGACTGTCAGAGCACTAACAATTTGTCAGTGTTTTCTAATATAGCTGGTTCTTGCCATTTTTTTGGGGTAATACCAAATCTCACTTATTTCTACATATCATTTATCACAGTGATTCCCAAACTGTGTGCCATGGCACCCCGGGAAGCCGCGACCTCTTCACAGGGGCGCCGCGACCTCTTCACAGGGGCGCCACGAAATATTGTAAAAGCTTCATAATCAATTTAACCAAGACACAAATATTCATTCTTTTTCTTAGGTTAGGGTGTCGTAAAACATTTTCAATTGAAAATAAAAGCGTCGAGACCAAGAAAAGTTTGGGAAATACTGATTTATCACATTTATTCACTATCCCTGTTTCAGAACCAGTTAATGTTAGCTAGTTAGTTAGTTAGTTAGTTATTTGGTTGGTTGGGATATGATCATTGCACTCCGGACATATCCATAGGTGCTTAGATCCTTCTCTCAATATAAATCCCAGAGTCCTGTGAATAACAGTGCCAGTTATTTGTTGACTGATAAGTCTTTTTGTATGCTCGGTGTGTCTCTCGCTTTTGGCTATGCCGATCTTGACTCCCGAGTCTTTCATTCAACCAGATAATGTGTTTCAGGCAAGCAAAAACCTGTACAGTGACATAATGACAAATCAAATAAACAATGCACCACACCTTTGATTGGATTTCCACCATCATCGTGTGGCTCCTTCCAACTCAAAGTGACAGAGAACCTGTCATATTTGGAGATTACTAGATCTCTTGGTGCCTCAGGAGTATCTGAAGAATACACAAAGAAACTATTTAATATAGACATTCTTTTAAATAACTTTCCTATTGGTATATAGTTTCCTATTTATGAAAACAAACTGGCTTTCTTTTAAGTAAATAGTTCTGTATGGAATTTCATATTCATCTACTCAGAGGCGATTAGCTTCTGGTGTTAAAAAGCAACAAATGAGACAAAGTAACACAATAACAGGTTCTTTATTAATATCTTACCCCCAGATGACGTCACAGGACAGTCCAACATTTGAGAGGGTGGTCAGACTGGGTTTCCCGGCTTTCTGATGCTTTGAACAACCCAAAACAGAACTAGCCCTAACCCCAACCCACCTATGTCCTATGAGGGAGTGCGGCCCTAAGTCCCACAAATGCATGCAGTCTAGGTTACACAGCAGCATGCAACCTATCTACCACCCCCTGAAATATTATACAGTCCAGCGACCTGTGGATTTCCCCTGTTTGGGGTAGGATATTAATAAAACAACCAATAATATATGAAACATTAACCAACTGGAAAAAACATAGTTTGTGAACTACTGCTTGATGGGTAGCACTGGTTAATGTCATTCCAAGCTGATTTAGAATGTCTTCAATGTCATCAATGAATTATTTTCATGGGCCTCACTTGCTATTACATCAGATCTTTTTATGAGACATGCTTGTGTTGGTAGCTTTTGCGGCTGCATTCTAACGAGATGACCAAATCAGTTATTTGGTTTCTCAATTAATGTGGTGCCAGGTGTTTGTTCCCAAGGTCTGACAGATAGTATAAGTTCTCACTTGGTCTTGAATGTATAATTTGGTGGCTTTCCCCAGGTATCTCGTCTCACATGTGTTGTGTCGATTTTAAATGGATTAGCTTTTGATAATGTCCAAGTTTGGCCCTGCTAGCACAGTGTTGGTATGAATATGTTGTTTATATTCTGTTTCTTGGCATCTTAATAAGGATATTGGTTGGCATAAACATACAATGGCTCTTTGGCATCTTGTTCTTACATTTCACACTATTCTTAACTTAAGTTCTCTGAGAATATACTTCCTAGATATTAAAATTCTTTAATTTGCTTAAAAAAATGCACATTCAACACTACATATAGTGGATAGTTAATACTATAGACCTGCATTATTTCAGTTTTAGGTGTACTGTTTTTCTATATTTTATCTTCTGCATGTTTAAGCAGTCTTGTTCCACCTCAGTGGAATAGTTAAAACCTGTTTATTACAATGAGTCATGACTAATGTGAAGTTTTAGCACCAGTCATGCACAAATCATTGGTTTCTCATCTTAGAGAAAGAATGGAAAGCCCTGCTACACAGTTCCTTTGAACATGGGGCTTTGGTCCCAATAAAAGTCTCTAAAGCAAGCAAGTTTTCTAGAGGATTCACAACCAACAATAAACATCACAAAATATATAACATTTTCAATAGTAACCACACAAAGATTACCATAAGGGTTCTTGGCTGTAATTTTCTGACTTTCCAGCGGATCACCAGCTCCATAAATGTTTTCAGCCTTGACTCTGAACTTGTAGTTCTTGCCTTCCTTGAGACCTTTCGCTGTGATTGACTCTTTGTTGACTATACCAGGAACTTTCTCCCACACATTGGAACCTTCCTCACACTTCTCAACAATATAGCCTTTACAGGAAAAATAAAAATGCCCTTAAAATGGAATCCATATTCTATTTTGTATTTAAAGTAAAAACTGCATTCTTTACTGATGTCTAAAAGGTAACAAATAAATATCTGGACAACTTTGTCAAATTATAAAATGGGAAGAGAATACAGACCTGTTCCTAGAAGCTGACATTTGTATCAGTGTGACATAAAGTGATAATGATTAAAAATATTTATAATGCATATCAATTTTGACATAAATCACCCCAAAAACTGGAATAAAAATTATACTTCCTTTAAAAAAAATATTAATACAGAAATGATATTAACTTAACTATGGGACCAGAAATATAACAGACATTACTCCATGCTTTAAATTTGCAGAAAGGCAAACTAGAGTGGTACTAAAACCCTATAGTCTAAAAATACACTGGATATAGTACTTCCAAGGAAGTAAAATGAGACAATGGATAAGATCTACCAGATGACAGATTTGGCTCAAGACTAAGTTTCCTACCCCTGAAAGGTCCAGTGTCGACTAAAAGTACTTTTCCAGATGAAGCAGATAAAAAGACCGACAGATAAAGGGGAATTTTGAAAATTTATTTTTAAAACGTTAATAATTTGGCATGAAGATTTGTCTTTTATTATATTCAACTAACTAAGAATAAACAGAACAATATACAGACAAACAAGGAGGCAGGCAGTCAGCTAGACAGACAGTTGGATGGACAGATAAATGAACAGATAAACAGACAGGCACCAGGCATATAGACAGGTAGGCTGACAGACAGACAGATGTATAAAGTTACATATTTGAAAATGAAATCATTTTTAAAGTGCACATTAAAAACAAGTAATAGTTAGAACACAAATATGTATCTTTAAAACTATTCATTAACAATATAATACAAATTTACTGTCAAATACCCCTAGTACCTGTTATTTCAGCTGCCCCATTGTCAGCAGGTGGTTTCCAAGACAGCTTACAACTTTCAGCAGTAATATCTGTAATGTCCATAGGTCCCTCGGGTGGTGCAGGCTTATCTAAAAACAAAAACAAAATAGTTGCACTTGCCCTCAACATTGGCTGTGACCTCCATGCCTCCCCATAAACACTATAATACTAAACACTATAACACTAAACACTATGACACTAAACACTATAACACTAAACACTATAACACTGTCACCTGGAAAGAGAGAAAAGTGCCAATAAATATTATATAGAAACTCAGACTAAAAGAAAGAGAGAGCCATGGTAGCTAGCATGTTTGACTGTAGGACCATTGGTCACAGGTTTGAACTGTCATCTGTCAACTTCTTCAGCATTTCCAGCCCTTGAGGTTCACTGCTGCAGATGTCCCCCACCTCCTTGCATCTCTTCAATTCGTCTTCTGCTTCTAGCCGGTGCCTCCGAGTGTTTGCAGGTCTGCTTGTAAATGATCTTTTCACTATCTTCTTGGTCTGCCTGATGGTCGACTCCCATTCAACTCTTTTGTAACAGTAGCCTAGCAAGGTCAGGTGCTACCTAGTGCAGGTAATTTCTCCCTCACCTCCCCCCTCCCCCCGGCCTTATCAAAGGTCAGTCCATTTCATTAAAAGATGGAGGATGGAGGAATGCTGTGGGTCTATGTTTAAAAGAACAACATGTCTAAAAATTTGAGCAACATCATAGAGTAACTACTAAAAAAAAAAGGAAAGACCAACGATAATATCTTCAGTAGTAGTTAAAAGAAACAAACCAGAAAAAGAGACTATCATCTCACAAGTGAATAGATAATCTAGACAAGTAGCTGGACATTTTGGAACACACTGGTGCAGTTGAGTTGAGTTGAGTCAAGAACTGACATCACAGCACTTGGGGCATTCCCATGCATGCTCCGTCTCATCTTTAGCAGCCAGCGCAGAGCTCCAATACTGATGGTACCGGTCACAATCTGGTTATATGTCCATCAAGTCTTTCCTCTGAGTGTAGTGATCCGGCCAGACCCTCTGGTTACACCCAGATGCCTCATTCTCTCCAGGTTTTAATAATTTTTTATCTCTACTGATTCTGTTGCTTGTTCACAAAGGGCCTTGACCACATCTGCCTTGTCATGTATCAATTCACCACCTAGTGGTGCAGATCCAGCCAATCTCTCTGCCTGTGGCAGAAAAAGAGACAAGAAAATAGGGAAAAGTAGATTTAACTGTAAAATGTTCCTGAAAATTTTTTATAACAGAGGACCACGTGTGGCAACAAGTCGTGTAGAGTGTAGTACAAGAGGATATATTCCAGTGATCCCCTATATTGTTGTGACAGAAAGCAACTCATCATCATCATCATACAGCAGGCTGTTTCAGAACCTCACACTTATCGGGGGAAAAGTCACTCAGTCCCTTGTCAGCTTTCCTGCCTTGTGAAGTGTCACAACTCAAGAAATTTCTTGCTGAGGGTGTCCTTCATATTCTGTGCTCACCACCAAGCTGGTCAACTCCTGCTCCTTTCTTCCAGAAACCAATCTCTCAATTTCTGGTCTCTCTAGATCATGTCTGGTGTTTAAATTGGCTGAATTATTTCAATTTTCTTTGACAAGGGCAACCATGGCAAACAATAACTGAAGCATCAATCAATCAATTAATCAGTCAACCAATCAATCAGTTGATCAATATATAAAAAATCCACCAATCAATCAATCAATGAATCAGTCAGTCAATTAATCAGTCAGTCAATCAATAAGTTGATCAATCAATCAACCAGTCAATCAATCAAATAATGAATAAGTAAGTCAGTCCATCAATCAGTCAGTCAATCAACCAGTCAGTCAATCAATCAGATAATAAATTGATCAGTCAGTCAATCAATCAGTCAGTCAATCAAGCAACCGAATTGGCTGAAGTATTTCAACTTCCATTGACGAGGACACTATTGCAAACAATAACTAAAGCATCAATAAATGAAAAAAAATTTTAAAAATAAATAAATCAGTCAATCAATCAAATAATTAGCTGGTCAATAAACTGATCTATTAATCAATCAATAAATCAATCTGTCAATAAATCAACCAATCCAAAAACAGTCAGTTTATTAGTCAGTCAATCAATCAATAAATAAGTCAATTAATCAGTCAGTCAATCAATTAATTGATCAATCAATCAACCAGTCAATACATCAAATAATCAATCAGTCAGTCATTTAATCAACCAGTCAGTAAATCAATTAATTGATCAATCAACCAGTCATCCAATCAGTCAGCCAATCAAGCAATCAATTTGGCTAAAGTATTTTAACTTCCTTTGACAAGGCACCATGGCAAACAATAACTGAAGCATCAATCAATCAATAGGTCAATTAATAGGTCAATCAATCAGTCAATAAATAAATAAATAAGTCA